AGAAAAAAATTATATGGCCTATAAAAATAAATCTTCAGTAGTATTTATCAAAATAAATATTTTTAATACAAAATGAACATTAATTATAGATAAAAATGAATATCTGTAATATGTATAAATGTATATGTATATCTATAACATGTATAGCAACCACACTATCAAAACAAAATTTCAAACTAACACTTTGTGTTAGAGCAGGCCATGTTATGTATGGATGGATAGGATTCCTTCCTCGTGCTTTTTCCTCCAGTCTGAGGAATATTCATTTGCACCTAATTCATCCCAAAGGAATGCTAAGCTTTAGTCTGCTCTTTTGATTGTAAATTGGCTCAAAATTACTGACTTACTAGTTGCCACCTTTTCTTTGGTCTATGGATTTCTGTCTTCTCTTGGACCTTCTTCATGAAGTTTTGCACTGTTAAACAGGAAAAAAATATGTTCTTTATCTTCCTTCTGACTCCTCAAGAGAGTTGGCCCCTTTTATATGAAGCACTGATGTTGGATAAAATTTCAAGCATCATTCATGCCTTAACTCTGCAACTCAGAGTGGTTTTTGCCACAGAAAAGACTTAGATTGGAGGATTTTTGCCTTTTTTCTCCTTAAAAGTCACATGTTTCCTCCTGCATTTCTGCAATCTGTAAAGAAGACTGGTGGAACAGGCAGGTAACTCATTTTGATATTACATCGTTCATAAATGGTGAAGAATTTATAATTAATATAGAGAGAAAGTGATCTCTTGGAAGTTGCTTAAAATCAGTTTTAAGGATGGACTTTATTTGGTGAGAATCTTCTTAATTTAGGAACTCAGGAAGAAATTTGACTAATGTAAATAGATAGAGGGTACTTTTTGAGATATTTTAGGTCTTATTATTGATTTCCCAAAGTAGCTAAATTGTAATTTTCTGGTTTGATTTGTTTGGGTCACTTGCATATTGTGGTCATAAATTTATTGCATATTATTTAGTTAACTAAGCAGACTTGTAGACAGAGGTTTGAATTCACAAAATAAAATAAATGGGAGATGAGCAAAGCTTGGAAACCTGCAATTTTATCAAAATCATTGGTTCTTATTTAGGAGAAAATAAATTATTATTTAAAAAGTGAGTGTAGCACTTTTTTTAAAAAAGTGAGTGTAGTGTATTTGCACTTGCAGCACTTCCTGACATTATGGCAGTCTTAGAAGGATCATGTTACATTGCTTATTATGTTATTCCCCCCTCCAATTTGAAATTCTATCTCTAGGACTATGCAGTATTTTTCTTCTGTCTTCAGTAATGTTTTATGTGAATGAGAGATTTTTAAATGAATAAAATTATTGCATTGATATGTTATTTTTTTCTACTGAAAACAGTTTTGTTTTCCACTTTTTTCAATGTTTAGACTTACAATTTCACAGATTGAAAAATATTTAGTGTAGATTACAGGTAGGATCTGTTTGACTCTGCAATTCAATGAATACTTGTATTAAGGGATAATTGGACTAATGAAACTTAGAAAGATATATTCTATTTAAAGAAATTGATTTAGGTTCAAAATATATTCAAGTGGTAGGAAAGCATGGTGGTTTAGATGTGGTGTTTTCATAATAATTTTATATTTTAAACAATAAGGTATATTAAGGATTGTTATAACTGTTACCAAAGACAGTGCATGAGGTTTACTTGAATGCATTATTTTTAGCTACTCTGTATTTGAAGGCCAAGTGATACTTGTAAGTGACATAAAAATTATTCACATGAAGAAAAGTATTTTTTTATGCTGGAAGGAACTCAGAGTCATTGCAAGACATTCGATTAGTATTCATGGCATAAAAGGAAGTTATTTTCAGGGTAAAGGAATTTGTGAAAAGATAATTGGTTAGACCAACATTCTCATTAACCTAATTTGCATTAAATATGCTATTGTGAATTGTAGTTATTCTTTTCCATTTGAAAGGCATGCTTTGTTAACTTATTTAAAGAGCCTAATTAAACTACAGTTTAAGTCATACCCTTTAATTCAGCAATACAATATCAAACTGAGGATCTGCGATTACCAACTTTGTCAGTGTGAGGAATCATAAAGCAGTTCTTGATCCCAGTGGATTTTCCTGATGAAGTAGCTTGGTTTAGCTGCTTTATATGTGGTCATTCTCAGATACTGAAAGCATTTTACTAATCCTTTAGTTTAATTTTAGTCCTTTGTAAGAGCAGAGAAAACTCCTATTTTCTCTGTAGTGCAACATGAGAAATAAGTAAAGCAGTCTTGGGTGTATTGGAAGAAAGTACTTATGCCTTTGTTCTAATAATAGGAAGATTTTGAGGATTATTTTGTTTAATTACTTTTCATAGAACTTCTTCACATATATAACTAAATAGAGCCTTTAAAATGTGAGCTGTTAAAACATAAATTAATTTGCACATTCTAGTGCCCATTTTAAAATCATGAGACTGAATTTATATGTCTTTGGTTTTCAGCGTTACTTATTCCATATTAGCAGTATTCTAGATGTTTGGAAATGGAGGGGTTTATTTCCTCTTGTGCTTTGTGCAATGAAGAGGAAGGTGCCTTTGTCAGCAGTGAGATGACTGTGAGTGCTCATTAAGTATTTGCATCTGCAGACAGAGGCATAAAGACACAGGGTCTAATTTTTCCACACTGCTGAGCATACCTAGCCATCTTGGAACCTGGTGTTTGTATTGTATGAACTAAACATTTGTAAAATTAGCCACCTTAGATATCTAAATGTTAATTTCAGTGCTTAATTTTCATTATTTGCACTTGTTTGACAGTGGTTGTTTTCAAAATAGTAATGGCTGGAGACACTGAGTGTAAACCAAAACCTAGCTGATCAGGCAAGGTTGTATATCAGCACAGCAATGCTAAATGATGTTGGATAAATGTCATGAAAACAGAGAAATGCAAATTCAAGCTGGACATGGTAATAGTCTTAAATATCTCTGCAAATATTCAGTTGAGAATGTCACTTTCTTGCTGTAATGGTTCAGAAGATTACAATAGTGGACATGCCAGGCAGACAGTGTGATTAGCAAATGAGTACATTTTTACATACCCAGTGACCAGATATGAAATGCTATGAAGTAGAAATGCACTTTAGATTCTAAAAAAAATAAATTCCATTACCAATCAATTTTAAATTCTGGCTGGAAGATGGTTAGATCTCCCTTTTCTTATTATTTGGCAGGGGAATATGCTAATTACTATACCATTTTGCTGCTTATTCATTTTGTTTGCAAAACAGGAGTTGGCTAGTGCTTGCACTATTGAATGAAATTTCTGAAAGGCTGAGCTTCCCTACATTCTGGGACAGGCAGACAGTGGCAAAGAAGCCAGTTGTGGGGACAGCACATAATATGTCTGGATTTTGTCTACAGGATTAAGGGCATGATTCAGGAATTGTCAAAGGTACGAATGGCAGTTAGGATATCGAGAACCAGACAGAAACTAAATGCTCACTTGTTGATAAAGCCACTGAAAACTTCCTCCAGCACATGCGTTCTCTAATAGAGATTAGGAAAGAATGAGCTGTTGCAACGAACTGCTGGAATAAATTGTAGTGACTTACAGGTGATCACAGAATGGGTAAGGTTGGAAGGGACCACAGTGGGCTATCTGATCTTACCTCCCTGTTCAGGCAGGGTCATCCTAGAGCACATGGCACAGGATTGCATCCGGACATGCTGAATATCTCCACTGAGGTATTCAGCAGCCTCTCCGGGCAATCTCATCCAGTGCTCAGTCACCCGCACAGTAAAGAAATTCTTTCTCATGTTCAGGTTGAACTTCCTGTGCATCAGCTTCTGCCTGTTGCCTCTTGTCCTATTGCTTGGCCCACTGAGAAGAGCCTGGATCCATCCTCTTGACACTCTCCCTTCAGATACTTACAGACATTGATGAGGTCCCTCTCAGTCATCTCTTCTTGAGGCTGAGCAGGCCCAGCTCGCTCAGCCTTTCCTCGTAAGAGAGACTCTTGACCAACTTAGTAGCTTTGAATTCTCAGGATCAAATTTCATCTTCTTCACGTAATATTTCACCGTGGTTTTTTTTCTAATAGATCTTCCGAAACAGCTATTTGTCCTTAAACTGCACAGTCCAAGATGACACGTCACATACTCCGCGTCAGCAGTGTCTTTGCTTTCTGTTTCTCTAGACCTTTGACCATCATCTTGCAACCCGAATCTTTCGTTTCCTCTGTCACAGACCATACTGATTTTTTTGAGTTACTGGAATTCTTGTATGTTTTTTTCAGTAAGTAATTCATAGGACTAGAACTGTCTTTTGCAACACGGCATGGTACTGCAATAAAAATATCATATTTAGAACAAAATGGTATTTCAACAACCGTTACAGTAAGAGAAAGTTCCTTCTGGCTTGAAGAAATGCGGTAGGTTAGAAGATCCTGTATCTAAATTATATATGTAACTTAATTAGCCCTATTTAAGTGTTTCTTTTAATTCAATTCCTCCTGCTATGAATTGGAATTTGGAGTTCAGTGCCTTTTTTGATGATGTGCTGGAGTAGGCACAAGTTCAAGGAAGAGAGCTATTTTAGCTACCAGACAACAAGAAGTGTTTATTTGGCTAGTACAAAGTGATTTCATAAAATAATTATAATCCATTTTAAGAGAAGGTCTATAGTACTTTCAAAGCTGTTCATAAGAAATTACCTCTGTAAATACTGTCTGTATTCCTAGGATATTGTCCAAATTGGAATTTTGGATGACAATCTCACTTGTTGACATGGTACCCAGCACCTGCTCATTCACATTTGAATTTGTTGCCCCTTTTTCAGTATTGTTTTGCAAATAAGTGATTAAAATTTCTATAGAACTTCGACATAAATAAGTTTTGTATGGTGAATGCAAGCAGCATTAATATTAAATGCAAATTTGTTGAAGAGATTAGATTTATTTATTGGTGTTATTTCTTTAGGTTGCGAACTTCAGATAAAACTTGTTAATTTTTTTAAAATAAATTTGTTTTTTATTTCTTTTCTTTAGGAGATTCCTTTACACAGTTTCGATTTGCTGATGAGAAAGAATGGGATAAAGAAAGCACATGCCATAAGCAGGTAACAGAAATATCATTCAAATGATTTTATATAGATAATCATCCGGGACAGATTATCTAGGCAGTTGTGCTTTCAACAGCAAATTGTTAATACAATAATAGCACCCTTTACTGCGTATATTTTATTAACTTCTCCCTGATGCTGGACACTAGTGGGCCTTGTCCTTTTTTTTTCTGCTGAAGACTAATCAAAGCATCAGGCTAGGTTTTTAAGTTCTGTTGGGAAATAAAAACAAGAAATCTCTCAGTGAAGAGAACTGGAGACTTCTCTTTGCTTTACTGAAATAGCAGGTCAACCTTCTTTTTTCAACTGTGTTCAAGAGAAAAGAGTTTAGTAAAATGACTGTAACAAAACCCTTATGAGTATATTCATATATTGAACTATTAAACATACTCTAGTTCCTTCAAATTAACAGTTCATATCCTCTGGTTGAAACTTCATGTCCTAAAAAGTAGGACACCAACTAGATTATTTGTATGTGAATTTTTTATGCTTGAATAAAAAGGAGCACAGCAATAGAAGTCTCCTGTTTTCTATATCAGGATACTTGAAAGTGTCTCAATCTGTGCAGCTGTCTTCCTCATGTAAGTCAGCTGAATTATTGCAAGATAAATGCTTTTGTCTTCCAGGCTTTTCTTAAAATTGAAGTGAAGCTTTGCTTGAGTGTTTCTTGAAGCATGCATATGTATTCACATTTTCAAGATTTGCTATTTGTTTTCTAAAATATTACAATATTCTAAAATATTACAATAATTACTCCCTGGGAACTGATATTTAAAGGTACTTTAGGGTTGCAAAGTCAAATTAAAATGACAAAATAAACCCAAATGCAACAGTTCTTTAAACCACCACCTGTTTCTTCAGTGGGACACAGTCTTCCAATGACTGTGTATTTTTTCTTGTCAGTTCTTCTGCTTCTAATGTTCAGGATGTTGTCAGTAACCAGAATATTAATTTCTTTTTAACTTCCTCATAGACTTGTCATTATAGCATTTAGGTGACTTGAACACATTAATTCCTGAATGGCTAAAGCCATCGTGAGAAGAGTGAAATCGCATGTTGACAGTGGTTTTCACAAATATTCTTCTGACTGCCAGTGATGAGACTGCACAGTTCTGGAGCTGGTCCCATGCTCTTATTGCAGAGTGTGCTGTGGTGGGCACGTTCTTCTGCCTCTGTCCCTACCAAACTGTAGCAATTCATTCTGCCTCATCCAAATTTGTTATTTAAACTGTTTCCTGTCTTTTACTGTCCTTATGTCACTTTGAAATAGTTTACTGCACTAATCTCAATTACACTCCCTTTGCTTTCTTATTTTAGTCCAGAATCCTGTCCCAGATGGTTTGATAATATTATCTAATTTTTCACATTGTCTTTGATCTTTAGGCTGATATCTCCTTTTTGTTTCTGACCCATCTTTTTTTCCCCTGAAAGCCAAATCCAAATCTAATTTTCACCTTACATCATTCATACTATTTGCCAAATTCTTGGTCTTTGCTTCTTAGCTCACCTCTTTCTAGTTCTTTGCCTGTCTACATGATATGTCCAGGATTAGAGAATTGTAAACTGCATTTATTATGAGGGAACAAAATAAAGAAAAAAGATATAAAAATAGTTGCAGAATGACTAGATATTTCTCATACCCTACTGTTTGTAGAAAGCAATGGCAAAGCATCAGTTTCAAATGGGGAATGGAAATGTGACAGTGTCATCAACAATAAAAAAATTCATTTTATTAAGAATACTATCATTCATTGCTAGAAAAAGTAGATTTGGATCCTCCATTGTATATTGATAAAATACAGTAAAGAGTGTTTCAGAACATGATCTACAATTGAAAGATCAAACAGGTAATAGTAATTTGGATTTTTCAGTAAAAAATAGCAATTCCAGCAACAAAGTATGCCTCTACTTATTTTTTGAACAAATAACTACATGTGCCATGAAGTATTCATAATTTGTTAAATACTGATTGGATTTCTTTGCTTTTCATTACAACACCACTTTTAGTGAAATATCTACTTGAATATTAAATTCCTTCTTCCATTATGTTGTTTTTCCAAATTCCTCTTTTCCTTCATTTTCAACCTTTCCTCCTCTTCCCTATCTCCAGTTTTTAATATTCCTTTGTAATGTTCATTCTTGTTAGTATTTTTGCAAGTTACGTAGCTCTTACCAAATGCACTTAAATGTTATTCAATGATACTTCACTTTTTACAATGTTTTATGTTACCAAATTCATGCAATTCACTTGTCTTTTGTAACTGTGCAGAAACCATATTTGATCTTCAATATCTGTCAAAATAACTGGGTTTTCTGAAGATTTGATCCATTGCTGGGCAACAAGGCTTGCTTGCTGAAGACTTTGTGAGGTTATTTGCACCAGTGAATCATCTTTGATGGTGATCACCAATGCATTGAAAAATAAATTTGTTGGTAAAGGACAAAAATTCTAACCATCAGATATTCGTTTAGATATCTAACCATTAGATATTTCTGGATACCAGAACCAGAATTTGGATACAAGAAACTGTTAAATCAACTGCATTGCTTCCTTTTAAAATTCATTTCACTTTTGCAAGAATGCTGTCAGAACACACTGTGTCTTTGATTCATTATTGCTAGGGATGCAGATGTCAAAAGCTGGCTTTTGGAAGCAGTGTCAATTTCTTTGACAAATCTCTTATGAAAATGGCACAAAACACTCTCTCCTAATTTATGAGTATTTGGACTTCTAAATGTCTGTGCCAGTCTACATTGGATTGAGAAGGACAAGTTTTCGTCCCTTTAAGTGAGATTTGGAAGCTACTTCTTTGCGACCATGAAAATGAGAGTATAGACTGAACCTAAGCATTTTGTTGTCAGATTTTAAAATACGGTATGGATATCAAATGATCTTTTCATCAATAATGAACGTCCTCAGAATGTTCTGTACTGTGAGCTTGAAATCTGTTTAAGACTACTGAAATCCGTGTTGTTCTGTAAAAATGTCAAATATTGCTGGTTCATTTTGTAAATCTGTTTTTAAAAAGGGGTCAAGAGAAAATGAAGCTTCAGTAACTGCCACAGTAATAAGTTGTGATTTAGCAGCAGTAACATCTTGAATATAATTTTAGAAGTGTTTGTAACTATATACTTTGTTGCTTTTGCAAGTATCAAAACATTTTAAAAGATGTGGAAGTATAAAAAGGCCCCTGTTTAGCCATTAAAACTAATATAGCTACACAGGAGCTATGGGTTGATTGCTTAGAAAATAGTAGCAACTCACTGAAGAATGGCATTTCACACTCCATGAAAGCTTCAGAGTTTAAAACATGTTTCAGTTGGAAAAGCTTCTTATGACATTTTCTTATGACTGAACTTAGTCTTATGACTATTTTGGATATTCAAGGCATTGTCTAAAGAGTGTTCCATTTATACCTTGTTTTTTAGCTGTAAGTGATTATTTGCAGTGTAAGTGTTTATTTGGTAATTTAGCCAAACTGCTCCGTACAAGTGTAATTCAAACTACTAATTTGTGTATTTCATTAGATTGTTTTCCAGATTCCTCAAATAAGTGGAACAGGAGGATGTAATAGATTAAAATTATCAGATTTTTTTGTTTGTGTTCTTTTTTGTATTTGATTTTATTATTCACAAGTGTGCTGTATGTTAAATTATATTTCAGTTCTCTGCACTTTCTGTTGACTGCCAGTCTTTGGTCCAGGCCCTTCAGGAATTACCTCTACATCTGAAGTTGAATGTAGCTGCTGACCTTGTACAGGTAATGCTGTGTATTTACACTAGAAAATGCAGATATGTTTGAAGACTAATCATTCTTGCATAGATTTTTCTCTTAAAATAAGTACAACGTATTATGTAAGTAAATATATTCTGTTAGACTGGCATGTCAAGTGCCATGTAATGCAGGATACCCCTCTATCAGCACTTTGTTTGTGCTTACTTGGCTTTAAACAAAATGCTTGGATGTGCAGCATATTAGATTTGAAGCCAGGTATCATAGTGTTTGACATGGAATGATTGAACTGGTTTTGTATTTGCTTCTTTTGTTAGCAGCTGATTTTAGTTGCACCAAAACTTTGAAAGTGTTTTCATGTTCTTTCTTATTAATTACTTTGTGATTTAGTCTTCTACATAACTAATATCATACACATTTTTTTCTGTGAACTGGTCTTATATCAGTATTAGAACAGGTAGAACACTCAACCATACAGGTGGAGGAAATATTATTTATGCTCCAGTGGCAGAGGGAAGCAACAATATTATTAAAAAATGTTTCTTCAGCTTGTGAAAAAGAAAATATTAATGTAAGAGCAAAAGAGCCAATGTGACAAATATCAAAACAAAATTCTGTGAGGCACTGACACAGATTGCTCAAGGAAACTGTGGATACCCTATCCCTGAAAGTGTTCAAGGCCAGGTTGGATATGGCTCTGAGCAATCTGGTCTAGTAGAAGATGTCCCTGCCCATGTTAGGGGGTTGGAATGAGAGGATCTTTAAGTTCCTTTCCAAACCAAACCATTTGATCATTCTGTGAGTATTTTTGAAACAATGGAACATGCTGATTTAGCATGCCATCTCATATTCTGTAATAAGGGATAGAAAGAATTTGTATTTTGCATTTACTTAATAATACTGTAATAAAGTATCATCCAGATAACTTTACTTTCACTTCTGAACTGAATTCTGCTCAATTTCGCTGTACCTTCTAAAGTGATCAAATATAGGAAGTATGAATTACAAACCAAATTAGACAGAATAATAAAAATAGATAATAATAGATAATAATAATAGATAATAATCATTATAAAGTCCTTTCTTATGCTCTTAGGCATCAACACCTGTAGAGCTCCCACAGATGAAATCTAAAATTTTTGAAGATGTCAAGAGGAGAGATCAGCTGTTCCGACAGTCTCCAGCTCAAAGTGACACCGTGTTGGTCTCCCCTCCTGTTGGCAATTCTGTTGCTTCATCAGATCCTGAAAGTAAAAATGGTTCTAGGGAAAATGCAAGAGAACCATTTCAGAAAATCCATCCACTATCAAAGCAAGCGAATGACCATTTGGATGAAGAACTGGATCTTCTCCTGAATCTAGAGGCTCCCATGAATACAGGAAACAGACCTGTGTCAGGTTCATTATCCTACAACATATCAGCTGAGGAAGATTTGAAAATGGATTGTAAGGAAAATGGTAAGTTTTCTCTTCTCAGTATGCCCTTATTTCATTTTCGTTGCTCTCTGTTTTGGTGATGTTTTTGAATTCTTGATTAGCCAGTCAACAGTACTGCTGTCATCATTGCTCTTTCATACTGCATTTCACTTATCTGGTGCTGTGTTCTGACCCTTTTGTTCATTTTGAGTTTTAAATCCTCATAAACTAAAGTTTCACCATTTTCAGTACACTTTAAGCATTAAGAGAAATTCTGCAAAACAGCATTGGGGTTATGATTCAGCAAAATTTTAAATTAAAAAAAAATAAATAATGTACTGCTAGAGAGTTTTATTGCGAGGAAGATAAAGTATGTATAACATTATCAGTCCTTAGTTCACCATGCTAATTGACAGCTATTGACAGCTATTTCCGATGGCTTGTAATAAATGCTATTTTCAAACTTCTAGCATTGATTTTATAAAAGTAAGTTTAGCATGGAAACTATTTTTGGAATATGACTTGCTGTTCTTCAAGAAAGAGAGATTATGTTTACATACAGTCAGTTGTGTATTAAAAAGCAAAATGACACAGGACAAAGAGCTGATATGGAATTGTTTCCAGATTATCAAGCCTATTCTTTTCACTTTTCTAGACCCTTTGAAAGTAGATATGCCTGAAGAGAAGAGTACATCATCACAGCAACAGCAAAATACATCTAAAGATGTTACTGAGGAAGAGCTTGAAGATTGGTTGGACAGCATGATCTCCTGAAGCTCAAATTTCCTCATGTGAATAATTGAATATAGCAAACATTACATAAAAAGTTTAATTTTTTTTATCCCCTTGTTATTTCCTTTCTCTGTTTCACCTTGTTCAGTTTGCCAGTGTGCTGGCTCCTAAACTTTTGTGCAACAAAAATTAGTTTAGAAGGGGTTGAAAATTGTCAAAGACTAATAATACTATTAGAAAGGAAGGTCTAAAATTTGTGATGAAATTGGAATTGTCTTTAATAAAGAAGCAGCCTATAGCAGACTAAGAGAACAGTTATTGGAGCTTGTACTTGCTCTGTGTAGTCCTTCAAATAAAGCTGTGAATGAACAGTGAATGCATGTGTTTTAGTCACCATTCTCACACAACTCCATATTGCAGAAAAATGGGAAAGATGACAGCAACAGTAATATTTGGTTTATAATACTTTATTGCAGTGGGCACTTTTATTAGAAGAAAAAAAAATGCATAATCCTAACAACTTCTATTTGCAGGTGACCGTAGAGCATTGTTTATTTTGGCCTAAGATTTAAACTGTGTTCATTTTGATACAGTGTATGTCTTTTAACAGCAGCATCTAATAAGCTGTTATTGAAGGTAGTATAAACAAACTTCAAGTGCAATTTGATACAGAAAGACAGAAAAGCAATACAGTTAATGGGTCTGTTCATCTAGAACACTAACATAAATAAAAAGTTTGCATAGCTATGTCTACAGAGGTTTTAAGGCACTTTAATGTTTCAAGGTTGACAAAGTGTTTGAAAATGATTTCTTTTTAACTGCTTAAAGCTTTTCAAACTGTATCTTAATACATTCACTAGCAAATACCATGGGGAAAAACTGGACAGCAGTTAGCTGAACTATTTTCTCTGAGGCATGGCCTCTGATGTTCAAGTTCTTCAATGTCAAATGTGCAATTAAGATGCCTTTTAGCCCTTTCAACTGTACTTCCAAACACCAGGTTAATGATGTGGTTAAAAAGTTGTTATAATTTTAGGCCATGTTTGAAGTGGAAGGCTTAAGTTAATCTGGCATAGTTTTCTCTTTTCTAATTAAAATTCCAACAAAAGACCAGTTTCACATGTGGTAGGTACAAAAAGCCTATGAAATAGTGTCAAATTTTATACGTGTCTTAAAGTTTAAAGACATTTAAAGCAAATACAAGCTGTGAAATTGCATCATGAAAAGATTTCTTTTTTTTTTTTTTTTTTAATCTTAATAGTTCACGAATAAATAATTTTTTTTGTGATATTAGCCAAGTTGATCCTCATACTGTTTTCGGAAGCAGTCCCCTGCTGGGAAAAAATCCCAACATCTTTCTTGGTACATCTTCCACACAAATGACTCCTGAAAATGAGAAAGAGTATTCATTTTAACAGTCAGCATGCAGTTAGTGTCATAGATAAACTTTTAACTATAACCACATACTGTGCCTATTTTCATGGAGTAGAACTGTAAAGACACTGAACTCTGAAGATTATAACTCAAGAATGATTTTAAAAGTTTTATCTGCACTTTTTCTGATTCACTACTACCAAAATTTAAAGCCTATTAGTAAAATACGTAAGTGTAAATTAATCAGAACAAACCTGTTCGCAATCTGTGTATATAAAATGTGTTTTGCATTGATTGGAAAACAAAGGTACTTTATGCCTAACACTTCTTATTAGAGATAAGATATAATTAAATACTATTTATTTTCTTATTTATTTACATTTAGGCTTAACAATGCTAAACATACAGACACGCATATATCTATCTATCTACACATATATGGATTTTTACTATAAAAATAGTACCTTAACTGCTTCAATCTTTTGTGAATAAACTGTAACTGGTACATTTGAGGTTTTCATTTCAAAGATGACAGTAAGATTACTAGTACCTAACTTCTGACAGCTTTCTGTTCACTGCTTGGTAAAATAGCACTTTGCAGTGCCCCACCCCACTCTGGGGTTTTTTTTTAACCCTTCTTTTCTTTCACTGGCAGTAGACCCTTGGAGGGTGGCATCATCCCCACTCCTTGGTGGTACATCAGTTCCACCTGGTGGTACACAGCTACAAGGCTCAAGAAGATAAAAATGTTCAAAGATAAGAAAATCATTACGTTTTATTTTCTACTCACCTGGCCAGTATGCTCAGTTTCATCCTTGTTAATTAGATACATTAAGAAGAACCTGAAACAAACACATGAAGCAGGTATTAATGCAGGAAACATAACATCTCTGCCTGACCTTTCCTAGCCTGGGGTGTGTGAGAAAGATTGCCTCACACTATAAGCTGACACTGCTAGACATGTAAAGTGCCTATTTTAAGGGAGAAAATTATGTCCTGAAGCATGTCTCCTGTGGAAGCATTAACAGATAAAAATCGGTAGAAGTAGAAAAATATGGCTTAGCATTTTATTCATTTCATTGTGAAGAGCAATACCTGAAGTAGGCACATACCAAATCCTATGCACATATGCTCCAACATCTCACCTTGGAACAAGTTAGGATGGCTGCTATATGAGAAGTGTGGTAAATACTGAGCTGCACCAGGAATTCCAAACATTCATGCCATACAGCTCGTAAGCTATTTTTCTCCAACACCTATGCTCTCTCAGATGTTGAAAGCTTAAACTCATTAAGAAGGACTGTAGAGCACTAACTAAGGTCTGTTTACAGGTAACACAGCTCTTGGTTGGACATTTTGGATGCAGTGCATTTGGAATTAGATTTAGTATGTGCTTTTGCTGTGAAGAAAGGAAAGTATGCTGAATTTAACAGTTGTCTAATTAAAGGGCAAACTGGGTAAAGAGATTGTTCACTATGTATTCTAATATTAAGGAAATGGTCACTTTTAATTTACTGTGAATTAGAGGTTCCCATGTACCAGTTAAGAAAATCAATATAGTAAGAAAAGTTTGGTGGTTGTAGACTGGTAAAACCATGGATGTTAATGGAAATTTGCATCCTATAAGGCAATTGATTTTACTAATGTCAGTTAAGGCAGCCTCCACTCCAAGAGGCATGCTACCTTTTTTTTTTTTTTTTTTTTTTTGCTGGCGCAGTGCTCATATAATTATCTTTGTTGTATTAGTGACTACTGCCACCAAATTAACTTTTTTAATATCCTCTTTGGTTTGCTTTGTATTTGCTAATGAAAGTGGAAGATCACTGTCTTGGTAGTCTGGCTGATACTCTAAACATTTACAACTCCTCGATTGCTTCAAGGTTTGAAAAGCTTCACTGTCATTAAAGAACTATACAATTAGAGTTGTTATTTATGGGCAGTTGTCTTTCAATAACCTTCAAAAATGCCCTTTTTTTGCTTTGTTTTGGTTTGGGTTTTCTTTTTGTCAAATTGAGGCCAATTTTCCATGGTCTCATCAGCGTTACCAAGCTCCCAGAAGGCACAATCAAAACTTCCGAAGTGAAGCAACTCATTAAACTCTTGTCCCCTATCATTCCACGTATCTGGGTTTCCTTCCAGCAAAATAAGGTCTGCCTTCCAGTCTCATTCTACTAAGGTAACTCATATGTGTAAGGTAAACACTTTAAAGATAACCAGCAGTGTGGAGTAGAGGAGGGAAGACCAGAAATGACAGGAGATACTCCTCAGTTCTACAGAATTCTGTCTTGGAACTTTCACCAATGTGTTCACCTATATTACTCTATACCTGAAAAATTTTACTACAATTCCAGCTGTAAAATGTACTTACAGATAGTTTGCCAAGTTATGTTCTTGCAAAGTATGTGTTTCGAAGCCATGTGGGGTTGTGTCAAAATAGTCATTACCGATTCCACAAATAAAACATTTGGTCTGAAAACACAAGTTGCAGATAAACACAGATAAATTTTAACTCAAACACTATTTTAATTGGTGGCAATCTAGATGCTCTAGAACAAGAGTAATGAAAAATGTAATGTGCTTCCTACCTCCATGTCTTCCCTCACTTGTTCTTGCTGGTCTCTTAATTCACCAAAAGCATCAATAATCAGACCTATTTTGAATGGAAAAGTAGCAACAGTTCAGTACTAAGCAATATTCATATTACAAATAATGTCAGTCAGATGTCCTCCACTGTCTAGAGTTTACTCTAGTACTTATGTCTAGGTTGAACAATTCAAGTTACAATCTATCAATTTCCAAACATCCACCATTTTTTTTATGCTGCACTCCCAGCAGTAAGAATTCCTATTACATGAAGGTACAATCCTAAGAGTGAAAAGGCTTTTCTCTCCTTTACTGCAGTCAGTTTAACCTTCCATAAGCTCATCTCTTTTGTCCCTAAAATTAATTCAATTTTCACTCCTTTACTCATGAAACTCTTGTATCCCAACTCTTGTTCAACAAAGGGAGCTCTGCTCCCACAGCCCCCCTTGGCCTGGTCCTGAGGCTGCTTCACATTTGAAGCATCACTCCTCCACTTCCAACGTATTAGGATTAGAATCGGATCATTTTGGGGACTGTGACATGCATTACAGTTTTTCTTTGCCAGCAGATAGATAGATAGCCATAAAGTGGTGGGCGTTTTCCTAACAGCCTGAGGTCAGTTCATGCAATGAATGTTGAATGCTGACTGTCACTGAAGAGAGATCTCATTCACTGTGAACTACAATTGCAAACCAATTACACTAGAAATCATCCTCTAAAGAAAGGAGGAAATGGTTGTGTGACCATGGTGACTTTCTTCATGTCATTTACCCTTTTCAAGGGAAAGTCTCCATTCCCCAGCCAGCTGTGGCGGTTCCAAGGTAAAGTCTTCAGCAAGGCTCTCCAAGTTTAAATGGTAGTTGTAGGAAGAACAGTGATCCTGTACAAGCTGCATCATCTGTGACCCTTACCTGAGGTTACACATCTTGTGGTTTGACTTTGTGTAGTACTTGGGACAAGGCATTATTTATAAATTAAGTATAAAACTATTACTTTCAGAATTAATGATTTCATCAGCTCAGAAATAAGTCTTTATAGCTATACTGCTAAATGTACCTCAAACATAATATGGTTTACATTGCTGAGCTTCAGTAAATTAATTTTGAACAGTCTCTACTAAGGTAAGTGATGTTACCTTGAATAATGGCCAGTAGGATTACAATGACAAAGAAGAAAAATGTGATGTCAAAGACAATTCGATACATTTCATAAGGGTCTCCAGCAGGATCCTCAATTTCATCTCCAATGCCACCACCAGCTCTTACACCCACATACATATGGAACAGGTAACACTAAAAAAGAGAGAGGAAAATTTGCAGATATTTTTACCATGAATTACTCTCTTCAGTAAGTTCAAAAACTCTTGATTTTTTTCTTCTTTTTTAAAAATTATTCTGCTCTGCTAATTCTCTTCACAAGTTATAGTAACAAAGAACACATAGTATCATTCCTCATGTATCACATACAGTGCACCAGAAATCTGTTCCTGTCTTAACTAATGTGATTCCACCTTCAGGTACACTAACCAAGAGTGGGAGTCAGCATGAGCTGTTACTCCCTCCTCATTCCTTGGGTCTTAAGGTTCAGACTGAGACCATCTGGGGGCATTGTTCTTGTATTATTTACTGTGTTCAACTATATGCTACTCCTTAAGTTGATTCCTAAGGTTCTACCTTGCTCTGAGTATGCAGAGGACATCTAAAGTCTTGCAATGAAGTTTAGAAGTGTGGGAAAATATTTCCATAAAAGAAATAGTGACATTCACAAAATGTTTAGGTGGTTTCTTGATAATTTAATTTTGCAATACCAGATGTCTGGTTTAGTATATTGTAAATTAGTTGTAATCTCTGTTCAGTTCAATGCAGAAGAAATAACTTTACGAAAAGTGTTGCTGTGTGTCATATTTTTGAACATATAAATCTTAATGGAAAAATCTTTAAAAATGTGTATATTTAAGCTATGAAAGTATATTAGAATGAAATCTTCTGCAGGAGTGATAAACTACTGATGTTCTTGTATGAACTGGCTACAGAATCTTGTAATCACCTTCAGCTACACAGTGTGGGCTAAAAATAAATCTCTAAGTCCAGCCAGTTTTCTGAAGTCACATTAGATGGCAGTGGGTGTTAATAACCAGTATAAAACCTGACATGAGCAAACACTAAACAGAACTATACATCCATTTTTATAATGCAATTTTACTGCCAACATAAGATGCTGGTATCAGTCTAATCATACTTACAAATGTAACTTGGAAATGATTTACTGCACTTAGTAGAGTGGTTTAGAATGTAATATGCTTTCATTATTCCAATTACTCCTACACCTATTTTATGACCAGACCATTGTATCCAGCTTACAAAGGGACCAGTTTGGGCAGTTTTCATAATTTCTGTAATTTGCATGTCTGACTCATGCTGAGTGTTTAAAAGAAAGTTCAAGAATAGGGAAGATCATTCTGTGAAGTCTGTGATACACCTCTGTTCTGAGGTATTTTATTCTATCTTTGGTGTATAACACAAGGCCGAGAGTTACTATTCCATGGAAGAAATCAGCTGGCCACAAATTCAGAATATTACATTTGTAATACCTGAATTTGTGTTTTCTGTATACAGTGAGAAAATCAAATCCTCTTCATACCATCTGTAGAGTATATTTTATTAAGACATAAATAACATTCAGGGACAATGGGTAGAAATCAGATGGTAAATTGGTAGCATAAGATTATCACCCATAGTAATTTGTAATTTCCACTTTCTCATCCTTGATTTCTTAATTAATAACTAAATTACTAATTGTAATTCTGGAGCAGGCTTTTATAACTAGTGCTAATAACATCATATAATGTATATAATCTAAATAAGGACAGGAAGAGCTTTCCCACTTGCAAACATTGGGAACAAATAGGGTTTATTTGTGTTGTGAAAACACAGCATCTTTTTGCAGGTCTGACTACTTTGTCAAGAAATTTCTTCTGCATACTTCGAGGGTGTGCCATCCTCACCTGTAAAAGCATTGCAGCAAATCATGTAACATAGTATTTAGGAGAAAAATCCAGAATATCTTCCTATATGTCATCTGTTTGCTGTTTCATTTAGATCACTGGAGAATGCAGAGGGAATTTTAAGACCATTCATATTTTCAAAATTACATATATCAAGAAGAAGAGACCCATGGATTTAACAACAAAAACATCCATCCTTGCTTATCATTTTATCTTAAGTATACATTTGAAAATTCAGGATGATATTTGAAGCATGCAAGTGATGTTTTAGTTACCGTCATCATGTCATCACATTTCATATCTGGTTCATCTTCATCTTCACTTTTGTTGTAGAATTTGCGGAAGAAGTTGAATGCCACAACAGTGTAAAGGTACACTACTACAGCGAGGAGTCCCACAGTAAGAACAAGCTGTGTATGGAGACATGACGGGAAAGTAGGTTTCAATTTCAGTTTGTCAGAAGAGGAATGCTAGCTTGATGTACTGCCTTAAATATTGAAAATGGATCATATTGGACCTTTCCCCATAAGGAAACTAAAGATAGCAGTTACGATAGCTTTGAAGTCTCCCTACTGCTTGGATCACCATGGAGCTGTTACTTTATCCTGCTCTCATGAAAATCAAAGGGAATAACAGTATCAAGAAATTGGAGTTGTTTCCATGTTTCTGAGCTATATGCATGCAAACTATGTATCACTGAAGCAATGTTTACACTATTTAATTTAAAAGTTAAATTTAGTAACTTGACACACTGGACATACAGTAAAAATGTTTAAAATAAACCCCTTTCTATAATTTGATAAATAGTTTCAACTAGGACTTATTGGGACTTACAATGACCTATCATAGTCTGTTGTCTGTTCCAAAACTGGTTAGCAAGCCATTGATAAAGTGGATGGAAAATTTTTTTGATAACCAAAGAGTAATTAATTTCCACGTCCTACTTTTAAGCAAATAGAATCCTTATGTGAAAAAGTTTAGCAGTTAATGAGACTAGATTATATTGTTTATTGGAGTTGGTATTAGAAGATACAGCTCTGGAGAGGAGTTACTGAAAGCGATGTATTTTAAAAAATGCAATAACTGGAATTACTCTTTTAAAAGAAACATAAGAGTATTGAACAACAAGCTTATCATTTATCGCTTTCAGCAGATCTGTAAGTATGCTCTCAAAGTGAACATTTCAATTCAGGAATCTGCAGCTGTCTTTCAGTTTTCCTATCTACTAAGAAGAAAAGCAACAGGATTAGAAAAACTAATCTTTGGTTATTAAAAATGTAAGTAAAAGCTCTGGTCTTGAGTTGAAACAGTTTTGTCAACTGTGCTCAGTTTTGACTATTACGTTCAAAAAAAAAAAAAAGAGAAAATATATCAATCATTATATTAAAAGTAATATGATTTTGGTCATCCTGAAGTAAAATGAAAGGAATAAACCCAGAGATTTGTTTGTGTGATCATACACATCATCACATTGTGTGGGGATATTCTTACGCCTCTTCCAAAACATCATGTCATTTAAAATGTTTTGACAAGTCTAGCAGAGTGTAAGAGTGGGCTTAGAATATATGTTACTGCATTTGAGAAGGAATTGAATGTGTATGTTTGAAATTAAATTTTGGGGAAGTTCTGTTAGATTTCCTAAATGGAAATTAAAAAGTAACTGTAAAGCTTGGTTTTTGTTGTTATGCTAGCTAGGAACATAGAGTCCTCAGAGGTCAGAGAGTGATTACCTGCATAAATTTCAACAGTTAGTTTTGGAAGTACATTTTATTAATCTGATTTTTGCATGACAAAGTGACACATAAATGTATTCTACAGTGCAGACTGCCCACACCTTTAAGGACATTCTTACTAAGTAAGTATTGAAATCTCAGTACCCAGGTCATTATTACTTCTGTAGCTAAGGAGAAATTGAGAATTCTTATTATTTATCACCAATCAGTTCATCATTGAGCATATAAAAGGAGCTGGTAAGGTAGTTCATATTCTTGTATTTCTCTAAAATTATGTATTTTCTATTGTGTACGAAAATTCTTTATCTGTCTGCGCTTGGTGGGTATGGATTACTATAATTTCATAGGATTTAACATGTATGAAGTGTGCTGCAGAAGACATGATGTGATCTGTTCTTTAATCCAATCATAATCAAAATCTGTGACTGTGAAAATGGATTGCATTTTGATATTTCCTATATACAACAAATTTTTTCCAGTATTTTTACAAAATGCATTTATTTTCAAACCTTTGCATGTAGCACTAACCTGTTTGCCATTGTGAGTGACTGAAGACAAAATAGTTCGCAGTGTCTTAAAACCCATAGCAATATCCAGCAGATGAGCAGCAAAGAAGAAGTTGTTGTAGTGCCCAAGGATAGACATAGTTGTGTACCAAGCTAAGTATAAAAATGACTGCAGAGAAAGTGAAAAGTGGCAGAGTGTTAGCAGGTGCTAATGTGCATTATTGGATCAAGAATATAGCTTTTTTAAAGTCACTTACATTGTTGTAGCAGGACACTGCCTGTGTAGGGGTGAAAAAGCTCAAACTTCACCCCACTTGTGAAAATTACCAGTGATAGAGGAGGATGTCATGGTGCTTTTGGTGTTGAAGAATACTGAGACAAGCCTCGTTCAACTGCAAAGCTAAATATCATGGGGATGTGAAAAGCATGTGTATCCTGGCACTGGCAGGGATGTGGAAGGCAGATGTTTCCAGATAGAGGAACCAATGAGTGGCAGTACTAATAACTTATTTAAAGATAAATGGTGCTCTGCTCAGCTAGTGTGGCTAGCCTAGAAAAATATGACTTCTAGTCAATCACTTTATATTATGAAAGCTCAGTCTCACTTTTCAACAGTAGGGATTTTTAGCACTCCTAAGTCTGTGTGTGTGTAGATTCTTCATTCTAGTGAGAATACTCCCCACGATCACTCCTTGACGCTGAATGAAAGAGATTTGCCCACCGTCACTGGTATGGGCAAGTAACATCAATCTCTATCTTAGTAATTATTAAGCTACATTTGAAACCATTAATTTAATAAATAATGTACTATACTACCCAGAAAACCTAAGGCACATAGCACAGCTTATTCTTTTTAACAAGCAGTGAACCTGAAGCCACTTTGACGTCAAAGCTTATATTGAAAAACAATGGCTCAGTGTATTTTAGGAGAAAAGGAATTTATACATCTTCACTTGATTTACTTTGGCTGCCTTGTTTGTTTTGGAATACTCAAGAGGATGCAAAAAGAGGATTCACAAAAAAAAAAAAAAAAAAGGGGAATTTTAATATAAACATGGTCCTTTCAAAGGAGAAGGTTTGAAAGAAAAGAATGTCAGCCATGCCAAACAGATGATTCAAGTACAAAAAAGGATAACTTTTTGTAGACTGTGCTTGATTTTGGAAAAGACACCTTTGGTTGCTGTGTTGATTTCTACAAAATTAAATGAATGCACCATTAACATCCAAAATGCTGACATTGTATCAATGGTGTGGAGGTGCATACTGCCCTTTTGAATCAAAAAGAAAATTCTGACATAACAGAAAAAAATATTTTAAAATGGCTCTCTAATGGAATAGTATTTGTGTATGGTTGTTGAAAATAAAAACAGATGGTGAAAGACATACAATCATGTTTAGAGTAAATCAAAGCATATTATTCTAGGCTAACATACTCACATTATCAGTGAAAACAACTCCAAGCTTCCAAATGTGGTACTTTGTATCAATGGAGCTTAACCTAGGAAATACAAAATTTTTGAAATGCAAAAATGTCAAAATTAAGTACTGAATTTGTGTTTATAAACAGCAAACTAGGTTTGGCACTTCACATTTGTTTGCTGAAGGTGGTGATATACATTAACTGTTCATTTTTTTAGAGTGAGGCAGGTGCTTCATTTTTCAGAGTATTCGTTACTTCTGAGCACCTATAAAGAGTTTCTAAACCACTGAAACTGGTGAAACAATTTCAGTAGGAGTGACACTGCCATATTCCAGACTTAAAAAATTAAAATGCATATCAAAAATAGTGACATCTGGAACCCAAACTGCTTGAATTTGAGAGGTAAGTGGTCTGTCTAGTGTAAAATATTGCCAGAATAACCAAAAGATAATGCCTTCTGTAAGATTTTAAATATTTTATTAGCCATGAGATGGCATGCAAAGGGAAATCTTTCTTGTGGGTCTTAAATATCAAAGAAACCAAACTCTTATAGGAGCCTAAATCACTTGAGACTGGGACACTTTCAAACACTTGTCTTCACTGACAGATTAAGTCAGGAAAACATCTATGAATTTTTTCCTAGACACCTGGGAGCTCCATATTTTTTATCATTACTTTTTCTATCTTTTGGTTTATAAACTCTGTTGTTAAAACTTTTCAATGCTGCATTAATTATTGTTTAAAATAAAAGAGTGCTCAGCTATATAAATCAACATAAACTCACAGATTTTTTCTTATTTTTATAACACAAATATGTTTTAGAATGAATAAAAAGCTTTTTAATTTTACTTCCACACTAGGAAAACTTCTCCATTTGAATTTTCCATGCTGAGGAAAACATCACTACAGTTTCAATATAAAATCCATTTTTATCATTGATGGTGAAGTTATACCAACACGTCATTTGTCTGTGAAGTTCAGAAGCCATACCATGATACAAGAGATGCCTCTTCTGGTTCACTCTCTTCCACTGGACTAAAATCAAGGGCACTTTTGTCCAAACCCAGAAGTTCTGCAATGCGCTCTGCTCCATATAAGTCTCCGTACTTGTTAATAACCTAAAAATGGGAGAAGAGAAGCTTTGGCTCAGAGAAAGTCCTCAGTGACATTCACCCTACTTTAGGCCAGTAGTTGTCAGGAATTAAAAAAGAAAAGGTCTTTCACAATTAACATTACTAGAACAGTCAGAACTCCCAGGAAGCCAGGTGGGGTGGAGCATAAAAAAGAAAAATAGAAGCATTAAAGGCTATTATCTGAAAGCTTATGTGTAATTTACTGTCATTTAAGCTGGCATGTTTTTCTTTTTTTAGGGGGATGAGGAGGCTTTGTATCCTAAAGATGACAATAACTGTAAATTAGACCTGCTGGCTGATTGACAGTATAAAGTTATTTCAAATGTCTGAGTCTAGGAAGGAAACCACAGCCTTCTGTCTTCCTCCCTCTTCCCACCTACGCTGCAGCTGCCTGTTCAAAAAGACATTTAACACAACAATGACTTCCATAAAACAAGTTTCAGTTCTCAGTTATTTGTATATTTGTTTGTGCAGGAGAATATCACACAGATATCCAAATTAACCAAATAGTAGGTTATTGCTATGACTTAACATAATAGAAATATAAAAAGCCTACCTTCCGTTTTACAAATTTGTCCCAGTAATTGTTAGGGAAGGACCTATATAGATAAGGCAAAGATATTTCACGTTATTTAACTTGTTAGGGGAAAATTAAAAAAACAATGAAAAAAGATAAAATACTGTGTTCCTGATCACTGCAGATTTTGCTGTAATTTCATTCACTCACTGCAATTCAATATCATTCAATTCCTAAATAAATACTTCATAGTTCCTAGCCATAAAAATCAAGCCAAGCAATGATTTCCAGATGAAAATAAGGGAGTCTTGAAGCACAAATAATTTTTTAAGTTCAATGGATTACATTTCAAATAGTCTTGTTCTCACATGTGTCATGTTGTTGTCATTGGATCTGACATCCCAGACAAGACACAGTAAAAACCATTTATATTTCTAAAGCCACAAGACTGTTCCCCTAAAGAGCATTTTGCATCATCTGCCTCTGAGCAACACTGCCCACACTAGTAATTAAAAGAAAAGCTGTTGTGTATACATAGAAGAATTAAATGGAGCAGTAAATCTTAAATATTAAAGAGCTGTCAGGGTATCTATATTGAAAGTTCTATGCTTTTTTTGAGAGTAGTAAACCATCATGATGCTTCAAAAAGCAACTGGTTTTATGCAGGAGAGATCTTACAACAGACACAAGGAAATACATCAAATGTGACCTGCAAGAAAAAACAGATAGTGTTCTTTCTTATCAGTGACATTTCTTTGGTCTTCAACTTGATCATAAACAATGTTCTTGAACTGTCTTATTAAAGCTGCATTAAAACCCTAAACTCAGTTCATATGAGAGGGAAGGATTAGCCTGCTTAAATTAGCCTTAATCAGCTTCAGTAGACAGTGCAACATGCTGAGAACAGACTGAACACTGTGTCATTAAGGATAAGTGGACAATATATTTCATTAATTCATTATTCTTCTTGCTGAAGATAAACTTACTGGATATCTAGATAGCTTGCAATCAATAGTGAAAGAAACTGATTGGAAGCTAAGCAAGCTCTTCAGTTTCCCAGCTACCCTCTGTTGTAACTTTAATAATATGTACTAGTCCATGTTGCTGACTGAAATTAAGGAAAATTATTCAATTTTAGGTGTAGCAAAACAAAGAATTTCTGGTATTTTAGATATTCAAATCGTAGAATCACAGTTGGAAGGGACCTTAAAGATCTCATTCCAACACCACTGCCATGGGCAGGGAATGTTCCACTAGACCAGGTTGCTTCGAGCCCCATCCAGTCTGGCCTTGAACACTTCCAGGGATGTGGAGTCCCCACCATTATAGTAAACAATTTCTTCCTAATATATAATATAAACCTAGCATACTTCAGCTTAAAGCCATTCCCCTTGTCCTATCCATACATGCCCTTGTGAAAAGTCTCTCTCCAGCTCTCTCGTAGGCCCTCTTGAGGTGGGCCACTTGAAAGCTGCTGTAATATCTCCCCAGAGCCTTCTGTTCTCCAGGCTGAACAGCCCCAACTTTCTCAGCTTTTCCTCATGGGAATGGTGCTCCAGCCCTCTGGTCTTCATGGCCCTCCTCTGGACTCTGCAACAGGTCCATGTCTAACTGTTGGAGGTCCCAGAGCTGGATGAAGTACTCCAGGTAAAGTACTCACAAGAGCAAAGAAAAGAGGGAGAATCACCTCTCTCGACCTGCTGGTTACATTTCTTTGATGCAGCCCAAGATACAACTGGCTTTCTGGGCTGCAAGTGCACATTGTTGGGTCACCTCAACCACCAACACCCTGAAGTCTTTCTGCCAGGTCTAGTCTGGATCCGTTCTCTGCCCAGCCTGTATCCATGCTTGGGATTGCCCTGACCCAGGGACAGGACCTTGCACTTGGCCTTGTTGAATTTCACGAGGTTCACAGACCCACCTCTCAAGCCTGTCAAGATCCCTCTGGATGGCCCATCCCTTCCCTTCAACATGCCAACCGCACCACACAGCTCAATGTCACCAGCAAACTTGCTGAGGGTGTGCTCAGTCCCACTGTCCGTGTCACTGACAAAGATGTTAAACAGTGCCTGACCCAGTACAGACCCGGGGAACACCACTTGTCACTGCACTGCACTGCTTTAATTTTAATGACGGTTCTAAGGCCACTGTTCATAGTGCACAAAAATTCAGTATGACTGATAATATGTATATTTTGGAGATTTGGCAGCATATCCTCAATGTGATGCACAGAGTTGATTCTTTTTGCTGGCTTGTTTTTATGCTTTGACATACTAGCCACAACTACCCTGTAACATGTAAATAACTTTGTTCTTTTACCGCTTTCTTTTACTGTCCTTAAATTATGATACTATTAGGAAAAGACTGGAATTTAGGTCTAGGTATACTAGTACTGTAATATCATTCAATTTGTTTTGAAAAAGCAAATTCTGAAAAATAGCCTGTAGACAAGGCTTTCTTCTAAGGGAAGAGAATTGACTAGCTATATTTGTCTGTGTCACTCCTACAAACCTCTGCAGCTTACTGATGTGTTTGTTTGGGTTTTTTTCCCCTACCCTTGTATCATTCACTCACAGAACAGCAGATGATTCTTTGTGTATGACTACTACAGTGTTTGCTAATGCCTACAATCTCACAGCAATTCCTATCAGACCTACTCAAATTCTGGGACTGATATTTTTCACTAGATTTACTTCTCCTGTCATACACAATTTTTTTTAGCAAGGAGTGGGAAAGAAAGGCAGGAGAATATTGCTATACAAGTGAAATGGAGTAACTAGAATGGATGGAAGTCATGTTTTTAAAACTTTCTCAGTAGTGACTAATATGTGAAATGTCTTGGAGAGACCTTGTGAGGTAGGATGCATAATCCTTGCAAATCCTAGAAAATGAAAAGGAGGTGGAATATATGTGTTATGATAGTAATAAATAAATAGATAGTATGGGGTTTCACATTAGAATCTACTACTGTAGCATCTGATATAAGCTGCTAATTGCCTCTCTTTTAGATGAACGAAATGGCAAGTAGACAGGAAAGGTTCTAGATCTGTGGCTTAATAAGCTATAATATTTATAAACAGTTTATATATAATAATTTTATTTTACATACGGAGTATTTATAACGAGGCGATCCCACTGTCCTTTAATATCGTCTTCAGTTGGCTGTTCGGTTATGTACAGTCCATCAAATTCCAGCTTTCTAGCTACCTCCTTTTCCCTCTTGAATACAACCAAAGGGACCTGTGAAAACGACAGTGGACATCTCTGTTATGTATTTTTGGTACCTATAGTACTCTTTATAATACTATGTAACACCAAATGTCACACTAGAACCTCCTGCAAGCAGATCAGTGCCTAACCAGCCTCTGAGCAATGGCCAAGCCCAACCCTCCCACGCCCAGACTTTTTATTGGTGAGCATGGAATATCACTCTGGTTTGGGCAGATCAACTCTCCTGGCTGTGAACCCTCCCAACATACTTGCTTGTGGATGCACAGATGGGTAAAGCAAAGGGAGCCTTCACGTTGCGCAACACTGTTCAGCAATTACCAAAGGGTGACTGTGTTACCAGCACTGTTTCAACCACAAATCCAAAATACACACACACTGCTAAGAAGAAAGATAACTCCATTTCTGGGAGACAGAGTACACCAAAAAGAAACCATCTACATATTGAATAGTGAGAATTTGTAAACAACTAGGTACAAATAGGTATTCCAGTATTAGCACCCACAGTCACTTTGGGACATAGCCAATGTTGTTTAACAAATAATAGATTAGTAGCACGATTAAGAACTTACCTTTAAGCAATAGTATCCAATCACACAGACAAAGGAGATGATAGTATGAATAACTGCCAGTGCTCTGAGAGCAGGTGCCATGTAGCCTGTACTTTCTTCTAAAACAAAAAAGACCATGCCCTCCTCCTCTTCCTCTTCAGCAAAAGAATTCCAGAGATTAGAGTCTTCCTCTACTTCATCAAGTGGTTCTTCTGTCACCTGAGAAAAATTCAAGCATGTTGAAAACACACAATAAACTTAAAAGCTTTGTCCTTACTCTAATGACAAATGATGTTTGCAAAGCCTGCTCAGAGGAAGATGATAGAACATTAGCTTTAAATGTCCTTCATTTTAACAGTCTCCAGATCATGTCATGTCATCAAAAAAAATCTAGAAAAAGCAAATACAGGGAGTTTAAAAATCTATCATCTAACAATGCTGTAGCAAAACTAAAACAAACAATGAGAACATTATGCAAAGAACTTTTTCTTGGCAGAACCAAGGAATGACAGGGTTATGTAGTTATGTAGTGTGGCTGAATTCAGGGTTTGTTTTGTAATCTACATTTTTCCTGGATTACTAAAGTCTAGAAAGAAAAAGGTTTTCATGTTATGAACTTGTACATTGTCCACAAATTTTTATTTCATAACTCAGTTTAGAGCTTACAAATTATATACAGTATTTAATCAGCCATAAAACTGAAATACTGCCCTAAATTCTTCCAGTGACTTTAAAAACCCGGCCTTTAAAATACAAGCCCTAAGTGCCCAGAATAGTTACAAACTTTAAAATATTTTTTTAAGTACTTCGTATTTAAACGCTTTAGTTCATGATTAAGGGCTTTATTAAACAAGCCTTGAAACCATCATCAAATATTCCTTTGGAACTAACAAAAAATATTTAAAGAACAATGCATAACCTTACCTTGTAAAATAGAAGAATAAAATTGATGGCAAATGCAACAAATAGAGCAAGAAATCTTAAGTTATAAAAATTTCTTGCCAAGTAGTGCTGAAAGTAAACAAGAAAAAAAAACACATCAAAATAAGAAAAATAAGTAGCAAGGTTTCTAAGAAATTAAATATATAATTGTGTTGCCTTCATACACCTGTGATAATGAGCAAGGGCATTTCTTGGCAGCCTGTTCTCCCATTTCATGGTGAATGGAATTAAAAGTAATGGCCTTAAAAATCTAAGTCAGAGAAGACTGAAATAGAATATTAATGAAAACTTTCCAAAAAGAAGTCTGTAAAGAAATGCTAGAGAACTGGAAAAAACTACTTGAGAAGGTATCACAGAATTCAACATTTGATGGTTTTAAGAACAATCTTATAGATAATAGAATTAAAGGTTCTAGAAATTAGATTATGGAAAATAGAGAGCTCCTAAAAAGGAGCTCAAGAGGCTAATCTGTCCTGTTAGACCAAGTTAGGATAAATTACACACAGAAACACTTTATATAACTTTATGAAGTATTATAAAAATCACAAGAGACTGAATACATCTAATCATCTGAAAACTCATGCCAGTGTTCCTTTTAGGATGACATTTCTTCCTTCAATATCAAACAAAGGTTCCATATGCATAAATAAAAATTCAATGACTAAAAAATTTAAGACAAACTTACAAGCATTTTTGTTTGATAAATTTCCAAAGCTTTGAAGAAGTTAGCCATAACAGCCTCTGGTTTCTCAATTTTTTGTCCATGCCTTCGCTTCTTTTTCTTGATTTTTCCCTCTTCGACCTGCTCAGATTGTACTTCCTTTGCTTTATCTTGTTTCTCACCATCTTCCGTGCTAGAAGAAAGGTTATCTAAACAAAAATACCTAGCCAAACTTCTGTATTGTAAATGCATTCATTTAGAAGGAATTTGAATTTAGAACGTTTGGCTTTGAAAGGTAGTTTTGATACTGTGAGAAAAAAAATCACAGAATCAATTAGATTAGAAAAGACTTCTGAGACCATCAAGTCCAATCTATGACCCAACACCACCATGTCAATTAGACCATGGCACTAAGTGCCACATCCAGTCTTTTAAACATCTCCAGGGATGGTGACTCCACTACCTCCCTGGGCAGCCCATTCTGATGTTTAATCACTCCTTCTGTGAAGAAACTCCTTTTGATGTTCAACCTGAACCTCCCCTGGCACATCTTGAGGCCATTTCCTCTTGTCCTGTCACTAGTTGCCTGGGAGAAGAGACTGAACCCCACCCACCTGTTACAGCCTCCTTTCAGGTAGTTTTAGAGTGATAAGGTCGCCCCTGAGCTTCCTTTTCTCCAGGTTAAACAACCTGAACTCTATCAGCCACTCCTTATAGGACTTACCCTCTAGATCCTTCACGAGCTTCATTGCCCTTCTCTGGATAATTATGGTAAGTAAAAGACTTGAGGTAGACAGTAAAAAAGTAAAAAAACTTAGTTTCAAATAACATGCAAGAATAGAGTTGATGACGGGAAGTAAAAAAGGTAAAATGCCAAAATCCAGGCAGAAGTAACTGTGCCAAGTGTGAAGTACATAATATTTGCCCAAACCAATGATGTACCTGTATACTCGTACAAATTTATACAAATGTACATGTATACAACCAGCATAAAAATTTTAAGAGAGCACATATACTTTCTTGAACCTGGGGTTGAAGAGGGGAAATAAAGCTATTGGGATCTGGTGCACAGGATCATAATTGAATCACAGTGTCATAACATGAATTCATTTCAAGGCAATTACTGTTACAGAGGTGAATGAGCAATAACAAGGAAGTTTTGCTTCAGAGTGTTGTACCTTACAAAGTACACAGAAGATGACAATTCTTCTTCCTGAACCACTGAACTGCTTTTATGAAAATTAAACATCAAGACTGTATGTAGTAATAGAAGAATTCAGTTACAAACAAAAAAAAAGCTGAATTTGCATATGTGTAAAATAATGTTGAGGCATCAGTATGATTGAAATTTTTAGGAATGAAGATAAAAGAAATACTGTTTGTGGTTCACTTTATCTCTCTAATACTGCAGTAGGACTCATAATGGGTGTCTATGAATGTGTTTATCTTCTACCAGATGTAGTCCCTATTGCAGCCTCAGAAACATAAGCCATTTAAACTCAAATTTTTAAGCTGAAGGCAATTTAAATATGTGAAAGTACTTGAGAGAAGAATTAAGCGAAGCAGACAAGAGAAGACAAGAGGGAATAGGGAAAATAATACAGATAGAAAGAGATCATGCTCATGGAAAATCAGAGGTGAAAAAGCCTAAAATAAAATGAGAGACAAATTATATCAGAACAACTCTGGGCATTTTTAAAAAGACAGTGGCCACAGATTTATATATGTAGAATTGTCAAGGGCCTCAAAATCAGACAACCATTTTGTTACCCACTGAGATGGTCTACTACCCTTTAGTATATTTTCAAAAGTAGTGTATACCTCTTAGTGTATTTTCAAAATACTGATGAGACAAAGTGCACATAAAGTGCTTTGAATACTGAGCATTGCTTGCATTCTTTCTGGCCAAATTATCTGGCAATAGGAAGTACCAAGGAATTAAGCAGGAATTTTGTAAAACTGACTTACTCGGCCTTCTCAGCTTCTGCTTTTCTTTGCGTTCCAGCTTCTTTTGCAATTTCAGATATCTGCAAAAAGTATTTTAACTGTCAAAATGAATCCCTTCAAATAAAATTATGGTAACTTTTGTTACTGTCTTCTAAGAAACAAATAAAATAATATTTTTATATCACTTTGCACTTTTAATGAGTTAGATTCTTAAAAAATAGGAAGTATTTTAACAGTGAAAACAGCAGAAATTCTTCTGATAGCCTATTTCAGTATAGTATTATCAATACTCTAACTAGTCAGCTAACTGAACAACTTAATTATATATGTGATCAGGCAGATCAGGCAGCTGAGGATGAAGGTATCTACATAGAGATTATGTCCTAATAGTAAACTCTCCCACAAAGATTCAGTGGAGTTACTGATTATGTGGAAAATGAGCATCAGTGTGCCTCTTCCCAAATCTGAAACAAGAAATAATTTGATTTGATGTTGTCATTGATATTATCATCAAAAATCTGGAAAAAAAATCTATGTAATTATCAGATATTATGACACCCAATTACTTAGTCATGATCAAGTGATGCAATTGAAAACAGATAAATACTTAAACAACTTCTACTTACACAATGTTTTCTCCAAGCTGTTTATCTTAGCTGGGCTGATGGTTCATTAAACCTTTACTGGCACACCTCACAACCCTCCTAAGTATGTGTTTACAACATTCCCTTGAGATAAGGAAAAACCAATATACAATTTTACAGATGGCTAACTGCAGCAGAGAAGCTGGGGCCTGAATGACAAACACCTTCAGGCTTCATATTATGAGATCAAAGTAACTAATTTCAAATGCAGTTTGAAAGTTGAAGCTTCAGTGGAAATCAAAGAGATGCAGGCCCTGAAGTCCTAGAGTCACAAAGGAATCTCAAGTGCCTAAATTTGTTTCCATACCCTTTTGCAAAAACGTGTCTTAAGTCCTAATCCTTTTCTGTATTCTCTTGAAGTGCTTAGACAGCAATTGTCTATTGGTCCTACTTTTCTAGTTAATACCTAAATACTGTTATCTGTATCTGATCTTGCCTTGGCTATCTCACCTATTATCTGTGGAACCTCATCTAGTAAACAATGCATGTGTAACTGTTTCACAGTGAGTGTCCTCTAAGATTTCAAGCAAGTGGAGGGTAACTCAGAGATCATTTGATGATGCCTGGTTCTTTTAAGGGGTAGGGTGGTAGAAGAATGAATAAATCCCTATCTCTTTCCATCCCTCTATAATATGCTTTCTCAGTTTTCCAGGCTGAAGAGCCTTAACTCAATTAATTCCATACACAAGATTTTTTCCATATCTAGTTTTGATATCTTGCTGACCTTCACGGAACCTTATTCAGTTCTACCACATTCTTTTCAAAATGAAGGAACCTGGTCTTCAAGACACAGATAGGTTCAAGAAGCGTAGTAATATTCTGGAGTTTTCCTCTGTCTATTCCTTTCTCCACAGTTCAGAACTTCAGTTTGCATGATTGACATTTTCATTGAACCGATACTCTTATACAACTCTATTATATTCCCAAGATTTCATACCAAACAGTAGCAGTGAGCTCAAAATGCAACATTTTGCACATAAAATTATATTTTTTTTCCCACATACATCACTTCACTGATTTTTATCTGCTATTTTAAGGCAACTTTGCAGTTAGTTCTTGATTTTACTACTGATTTATCAGCAAACTGTGATAAATTTTCTCATTTCTGAACCCACACAACTCTCAGCACAGATTCCTACGTAACTTCACAGTAAAAAATAAGTGCTAGCAGTCTTCTTCATATACAGTTCTATAGATTATTTTGCAGTTTCTCTGGTTGTATGGTAATGTCATTGACATTATTACAGAGTTGCTTTTCCAGTACATAGAAGTGAATTTTTATGTCTATCCATTTGTGTAAATTTTATCATTGCAGATGCCTAAGGAAGACATATGATTTCCTGAAGGGAATTTTTGATTCTTACATTGCTGTTTCTACTTTGAGCTCCACTTAATTCTTATATCTAGTGCTGTCACTGGATTACTTGAACCATTTACATACACGCTGCGAATAGTGATTTCTGTACTATAGAATTAGTTTTTATAATTATTAAAATTATATTGGTGAGTTTCACTAGATAACATATTAAAGGTAAGAGCTCGATAAATTGCACAACTGACTTGACTGGAAGTATTTGCAAAAATTTCTGAGCCTTTTGATCAATAGTTACAAACACATCTGTGAGAAATGTATGAGTCAAAGTAAAGCAAAGAAAATTCTAAAATGTTTATTTATTCAGATTTGAATTAAAATATTTACTTCAACCACTGCTGAAGAAAATTCTAAGGTATTTACTCATACCTGCTAAGATTCTTAAGTTAAAATAGTATTTTTAAATACCAGCCACATTACATTTATGCTAAATGAGGCAGGATTTTTAGACTAATTTTTAAGTACACACACAAAAATGAATTTAAAAAAATGAAAAATATAGTTTAATCAAGCAAGAACCAAATATTGGAGAAAAACATGAATTAAGAGAAGATAATGAACTAAGAAGTTGTACAGTTCAGATTTATCTTGAAAATATCTGGAGAGTATACCATAAAGAGATTAATGGTGAAAGGAAAGATATATTTGAATAACAAGTAGAAACAGATCTGAACTGTAAAGTGAAACATGCCTTCCAAATATGAAAAATTAATTTTGGTTTTCACATTTAGTTCAATCCATTTTTAAACAGAAAAATATTCTATTCAGTGCAACTGAGTGGAAGCAAATATAATTTTTATAAAACAGAATTTACTTCAAATAATAGGATAAAAGTATACTGTATTGCATGCAATCAGTAAAGTAGAAGAAAGATGATAATACTAAAGCATATTATGGAGAAAATAAGTTGGAAAAGTAATTGAAATATATTGTGAAAAAATGAGGTATGCAGAATAAACAAGACCATAAACCAGTTAAATCACAAACTGTGCCTAGAAATTTGCCAGCAGCTTTTGTCTTGAATAAAGTCAAATGAACAGTAACAACAATTTATTGCACTGAAATCTAAACACTGGGTTGAATTTTTCTGTAATGTAAACTTTCCTATTGGTTTTTAAATGAGTACAGATTGTAAAGTATGTTCTCACTGATAACATTTAGTGATCAGTTAAATGGCAAATAATAATAATAATAATAATTATTATTACATCTCTTTAATTTACCTGTAATCCTTTTTTCTTATGAACTGTGTTTTCTAAGGATGTCTGGATCTCAGTACCAAGGATTTCTGCAATATCTCCAAGTCCAGCATCATGACCATGTTTTGATCCACCTTCTTTCTTCGAAGGAATGCCAAAAATGTCTGCGATTATGTCAGTTTCTCCCTTTTCACCCTTCACAAACTGCACAAGTTCAGCTCTGATGCCATGCTCAGCACCTTCAGCTTTTTCTGCTTCCATAACATCATCATGGATTCCAAACTGTGTTGGATCAGGCATATCCCCTAATATTTTAGTAACTTTTATGTTTTTGGCTCCTTCAACCAGGCCACCCCCAAATACAGTGCTCCAAAGAATCTTGAATATTCCCCACACTACAGAAAAGAACAGTTGAAATGTCCCTACAAATAGGATCCAGAAAAAGGAGAAAAACACTTTCACCATCTCTTTTACTGTCATCTTTTTAACTTTCCTGTATTGTTTCCTTAGGTTCTTAATGGTGACCATTTTAAAAAAGTTGGCAACATTCTTCTTCACTGCAACACAGGCAACTGCAAAAGCTGAAGCTGGCTCCAGGGACTTTTCTTCTTCCTCATCATCTCCAATATCCACTACATAAGCAGACTCTGCCTCTTCCTCTTCCTCAGGCCTCTCAGTAGAATCTGTTTCAGAGATCTGAGATGCTAACTGCATTTCAAAGATTGTGTCTTCACAGAAATTAACAAAGAGTTCCATTTTTTCTTGCTCTCCACCTTCATTTACAACATCAAATATGAACTGTCTTTTGGATTCCTTTACCTGTGGCTTCTCCCATTGCATTCTACTGGATTCACTGATTTCAAAGTAAACTCTTTCTATTTTCTTGGCCCCACCCATTATTTCAATACGGCCAAGATATGGTTCAAAGTAATTAAGAACACTTTCTGCAGGTTCAAGTAAGCTCTGAAGGCGTGAATCATTAGGCATGTGCTCTGAAAGGTTTGTTAGCAGTACTGCTACATTAAATCCAATGTCTTTGGCTGGTTCATGGAATCTTTCCACAAAGTCAACATAGTTAAACATATCATTTTCATCAGCTTCTGTACAGGACAGCAGAAAATCAATCTCTGACTGTATGTATTGTTTTTGAGCCTCCATTGATTTCTGAAATTCCTTCTTTGAAATTATTCCTTTACCATCTGGGTCGTACTCTTTGAAAGCATCTGAGTTAGTCAGATCTTTTAACTTCAGGAACATGTCGAAGAACTTCAAAATCATTTCTACATTGCTAGATGATTCTACAAGCGTGTCTACCATTTGTTTTCCGATAGTTCCATTTACAACGTTACCTAGGTAGTGTGTTAAAACAGGAAGTTATTCGGTGGCTACATTTTAAATAAAGACATTTCATATTTCTGCTGAAAACAGAACAAAAATATTCTTAAATCTTAATATTTTTTCTTTCAACATGTTTTTCTGTAGCAGCCCTCTATTTAATGACTATGTATATTCCAGAATAATGTTTAAATAAATATGAAGTATGTTTTTTCCCCCTGATATTACATAAAGGCAATTAAAAAGCAGTTTAGAAAGATTAACATAATAATTGTGCTTTACATTATCAAAGTGATATAATTATATTTGACCATAAAGAAAAAAAGGTCCAACCTTCAAGCAGTGACAAGAGCATCACTACCATATCCTTTAGCAGATCTAGTAGTTCCTTAAGCAATTCAATCTGAGCAGAGTCCTGTAAAATAAATGGAAAATAAGGTTGGTTTTTCTTAGTATTTATCTGGAAAAGTAAATAAATTTACAGAAAATCAGTATTAAAGATGCTCAGCTAAACGTAGTTCACATTATTCAGCAACATTTCATTGTCATTTTATTATGATTACTATCAAAGGTCTAATACAACATGTAACTTACTAGAGCAGAGGTATTAATACCATAAAGATAGGCTTTGATAGAGCATTAAGGAGTAACAAAGTGCAGATAAGGGACAGCAGAAACTAAAAAAATTGCTTGCTACAGAGATCTGGAAGTATCTAAGAAAAAAGTCTATCCTTTTTCACTTCACTGGGAATATTTAATGGCATAATGCATTACCACTCAAAGAGAACTAGAGCTGCTTAGTTTAAATACAGAACATGATAAGTCTAACATGGATTTGTGATTAAGGAACTACAGAATACTGTTAGGTATTCTCAAGTTTCTGATATATTCTGTAGGGTGGGAAGAAACCTCATGTCAGAGGATAGCAAGAAACACTGAATAAGAGTGAGGAAATTGCTCTTTGCACGTTTGCATTCAGCAACTAAAGTTTGAGTGTACAAATACATTGAGCAGAAGTCACAAAAGAACACAGAATCCTGATACTGGGGACTGAGGTGGGACTCCACAATGCACACTGCCTGTGCCCTACTGCTCAGTGTTTGTGATTAATTAACTGGACAAGCTGGTCAACTGTCACATTCCTTCCCTCTTTGAATCTTTCTCAGCTTTTCTCTTGTCCTACTTAGCTTTAGCATGGGAACTGTGCTTTCAATGGTGCTTCTGCTCTGACAGATCATCAGGTTTTGGCAACAGGGAGGAAGAGACCAAACTGCCACATTCATTATCAGAAAGGTATAATTGAGCTGTAAGCATCAAGTTTGATATTAGTAAAGGTAAGTGCACAGTGACAATTAATGCTAAAAGGAATGATATGAAGATGTTAGTCCTGAGATTCAGTCTTGGACCTGCACATTGCAACAGGCCCTCTCACAACCAAAGAGTATCAGTAGTTTAACTGCTTTGCAACTTGACTAAGTTATAAACATATGCAAAGAAGAATTACTTAAATACTAAAAATACCTGTGAAAGTTTCATTTGCATGTTGGCAAAGACATGAAGAAAGCCAACAACTGCATCCCACAGCCTACTATGAGCCAGACTCTGTTGATTACCTATGCAAGGGCCCTAAAAAAATTAAGAAAGCCACATTTTAATTTATGTGAAATAAAACAAAACAAATAAACCCATTTGTTTTCCTATGATTTGTCCTCTCCCCTCTCCTCCACCAAAAAAAAAAAAAAAATGACATTTCAGACTTCCATGGAGCTACATGGGAAAGTTTTCCAAGATCTCTTTGGTACTTCGGTATCTAGTGCATAGATACCAGACTGTATAATGTAAAATATGTAGCCATTCATATGTTTTAGTTTTCACTTGGTACTGGTCCAGTGATTTCCATTTTTTTAAATCAAAATTTTAAAAAATAAAGTCAAAGTATTTACAAATTTATGACAGAACACAAACATGCCATGTAATCATAGAACTTCTCTGTTAGTACCTTGAGCAAAGCATTCTGTTTACCTGGATATATTCTGTAAGGGAATTGAATATTTGTTTGGTGACAGCCAAAGCTTTAGAAAAATTACGTTGTCCTGATTCATCAATTACATCCTTTCCCGAATAGTACCAATAGAAGTCACTGATGGATTCCTAAGAAAAAAAACCACCATTATATTTTCTAGTTTTAAATTCGATATGCAGTATTTACTGCCTGCATTTGTATTGCCAAAAGCTGAATCAGCAATTCAGATGAAATTTAGTGTATCTGTGTCAATCTATTTCTCATTACAATAATATTTTGCACTCCCTTCAGAAGTGAACCATGAAATCAGTCAACAAACTTCTGATTTCACACAGAATTCCAAAAGGCCATCTATTTTCAAAGAAAGAAAATATGAAATAAATCAGAATTCTTTATTTTAGATATCCCTTTAGAAAGAATTTTCACATTTGATTCCAGTAAAATATGAATTTATAAAAGTGAAGGAAAGGCAAATATTTTATAATCCATTTTCCTCTGTTTTTGTCTCACCTGAAGACGCAAGAGGTAGTCGACTGTACTAATGATAATATTCACTGTTGTGGTGTTGCCCATCTGAGTACGTAAGTAATTCTGAAAATCTGAAATAAAAAGTGAATTGTTCTTGGTTGGTATAAAGGAAAAAAATAATACAAGGTTATTTTCCTATTTCATGGAGAATGCATTCTTTTAAAATATTTTGTTGGGTACAGATGCTTATGGGTAGAATTGAATTACAGTAGATCACAATGTAAATATAACTGATGAAATGTTACCCACATAACTTGGAATAGGCTTTACTAGTAATATACCATAAATTATGACTTAAAAATCCAAGGGAACTCTGCAATTCAAATTTTTGTCATGCCAGTTTGCCTCAGAAAACTAAATGAGAGGAAAAAAAACTATTAGAAATGGTTCTATTCAACTCTGTTTAAGAACAGACTCACCATATATTTCCCCCAAAATTCTGTTCACTTACCATTGTTATGCCCTTCACAGAGCAGTTGCAAAAATCTAAACAGATCTCGAGTAAATTCATCGTGCTGCAAGACCTTTTCACCTTCAAAATATACAAATACAATGATTATATGACAATTGTTATGATTAATTATGCAGAACACATAGTCTTACAGTAACCTTTAAAACTGGAATTTTAATAAAAAACCAGTATTTTAAAAGCGTTAAAGCAATTTAAAAGAAACAGACTGATAATAATGAAAAGAAAAACTGAAACAGAAAAAGCAGAGCAAAAGTATTTAGCACTTCAATGCATCCATGGTTAAAAAACCAACACTAATTAAAAAAAAAAGCAACAAGATACATATCTAATAAGTAAATTGTTAGTCATAACTAAAATCATGCCTTAAATGAGTGACACTTCTTTAATAAGCATCAAACTCTTTATCCAAGCTGAACACACAACCTGCTGCAGACCACAAAGCTAAACCTAAAGATATCTGAGAAGATGCAATGAGAGATTTCTCTCTGTATTTGCAACACACTTTTGCAACAAGAGTATCAAAAACCGTAAACCCAAACATACCACGCTCACGAACGATGACTGTGGATCAAAGAAAAATAACAAGAATACAAGATAAGAATATTGGAAATTACAGTATTTTTCTTAAGAATTATTGCTAAAGATATTGCAAAAATAAAGCATATTCAGAAGTCAAAGCCTAGAGTTACTTATAGTATGTTTAACAACAGAAACCTCAAGCCACAGTAAGTAACAGTTCTAGTTAAGAAAGGGAGCCAAAATAATGTTTGAAGCACTACTGGAATCAATTTCATTCTACTTACGAGTTCCTTCTTCAGTAACCATTCCCAGGCCTTCTGCTTTATTCTGTCTCTCAAACGCATTCAAGTCAAGAACACTTATATTTGGGAAAAAAAAACAAACAGCACAGACAGAAAAAAGCACTATAGTACACAGTGGAAAATTATTTCCTTCTATAAAATCTCTGGAGGCCTTCAATGACTACTCTTGACCCACTATGATATGCATTGATATATAATTTATTAAATACTCATATTAAATTTAAAAAATGAAACTTTGGATGAAACTAAGGGTGCAGTGTGCATTTCTGAAAAGAAGTAAGTCTCGGGTCAAGTCTCACCACTTAGCTAACTTCACTCCTGGTAATGTCATTCATGATTTCATGTATAAATGAGGAGTGAAAAAGGAACCTGAAAATTGCTGTTTATGATGGCTTAAACCTGCCTCCAAAAGGACATTACTGCAGCTATTTCTCACTTACACTGTTTTCCAGTACGTTGTCACTATTACTTCTATTGTTACTGCATGCATTATTATGTTATTTGGAAGGTGTATGAAATTTCTGATTCCTTATTCAGAAGACAGAAATGTAATCAGAGATTCCTTATCTTCAAAGGATCAAAAGAAACTGATATCTGAATTTTATTTTGCTAACTTGTCATAGCTCAGCATGTGGAATAGCAGAATACTTTCCACCCAGTCAAAATAGAATTCTATGATTATCAAATTTTTACTTCAGTTAAATAGCCATGCAGTCACATATTCTGTGTAGTGACATCACTAAAAACAAAAACATTTTTTAAAACATCATTTTCATTCTCTTATCACCGTTCAAGTAATTTTATCAAACCCATTTTTAATGAAGTCTTGAGTGATAGACATACACAATTGGTAGTAATATCACAGCAGGGCCTGTTTGAGCAAATCCCTACTAAAGTGTTTTACATAAATGGAAAAATTACAAGACAGATGTTATTTAATTAGGCTGCAACTATTCAACTATAATTTCTGCAGAGCAGGTCACCATTCCTTCCACATTTTATCCTGTCTTCATACTGAATTCTAACTCCCAGTCTACTCCTTCAGAACCCTTCTGGTGCTTTAAAAGGCTTAGAAAAGGAGATTGTCTACTGTAAGAGTAATCAGAAACACCAACAGTTTTTCTCCTGTCTGGGAGTCCTTTACCTTAACTAATTTGAATTTCTGGTTCATCAAGGGAATGGACTACTGCAGTTTCACTGGCCACATGCCACCTCTAACAAACCTGATACATATACAGAGGATTCAGATGAAAAGACAGAGATTATGCAGCTTGCCAGAAGTGTGCAGAAACTGAAATTTTATCAGAGCTCCACTGGACTATGTCTCCCTCAGTAATGGCTTTTCTCCATCCTAAAAACTTGAGGGATCTAGGACCAGTAAAGGAGCCATTACATTTTACTTTTCTGCCTCTCCAAAATAAACCTTCAAAGGCATGCACAGTCTTTTGCTTTATTTTTTCCTTTGGAAGAGTACTCTAAAAGATTAACAGACTATTCCTGTGATACACAAAACTTTCCTACAAGAGCTCTACAACCTTTGACTTCTGCAATTTATATCTAACCCATCCACCTGAACTGAGCAATAAGCCACCAAAATGAATAATGAATGAAATGAATCTGTAATAATAAAATTTATGTTTTTACCTGCAGGACTGCATCAAGCCCGAAAGACTTTGAAAAAAACCAGCATCCCTTTTCTCCTTCAGGTAGTCCAGCATTTTCTGCAGGTTATGTATTTTGGGGGGTGAAATATATAATATTAACATTAAATGCAAAATAAACATTAACAGTTAATAATTAAGTCATATTTATCAACTAAATAACAATAATAAAAATAATAATATTATTAATAATATAAAATTATATGAGTTATCAAGTTTCTGAATGAATTCTTGAAATGCAAATTACTGATGAACAATAACATAATTGTTATCACACCAAAAATGCACTGAAATTTCTTCACTGTTTGACTTAAAATTAAGTGCATTAAAATGAACAACAGGACACTAAAATTCTCAAAATTACTTTTATGCAAGTAAGACTCATAGTAGTTACAAAAGCATTACCTGTTGAACTATGGTGTTTCCACCATTTAGAATAGCAATACCAAGTTTTAGTGTTTCAACAACCATGGGCCCTGTATGACCTGTCAGAACAAGGATACAGTCATTAAAACTTGCAATTATGAACTATTCAATCAAAAATGCAGTCTGGAAATTTTACCTAGCACAGTTGTAACTGACATTTATTTTGCCACATCATCTATAATATAGCAGTTGTATATGATTTACATATCACATAGATATATATATAATGACAATACACTATGTATGTATATGCATAACATTATTAAAGCCTATGACATGTACACCATGTATACTTTAAATACATCACAGAACATTACCTTTGCTTGCACTGATCATCTGAAGGACCATCTCAGCAGCTCCACGATCATGTAAGCGAGCTTGCTGATAAAGTGTCCTCTGTTTTTCCATTTCTTTCTCCTGGGTTTGGGAACAAAAATTAGAGAATACCCAGAAAAAGTAGGAAGACGAGACATCTGAAGTTGAAGACTCTCTGCCTTCGTAATCCATGGGTTGTTTGACTCCAAAACTTCATAACAAACCATCTTTGTTTCTTTATGAATAACCTAGTAAACCAGCTCAACACACACTGTGTTATGTTATTCGTGCATTTATTCTAGTGGACATATTTTAAATACTTGCACATTAGATGAAAAGAAAGAAATGCTATTTAAACTCTCACCTCAAATGTCTTGTCTTTTTCTTCTTCTTCCTCTTCTTCTTCCTGACAGCTCTTTTTATGTTAAAAATAGAAATCATAAGATCTTGCTTATTATTTCTATAAAAGTGGTCAAATATTTTTTCAAGCAATAATTAAAGGTACTAAGTAGATTTTAAACCCCCATAATTGTAAATATTGTGCCATATCTCTATATCCATAATATTTATCTTCACAGTCAAACTGTCATCTCATGAGTCAGCTGGAATCTGTATGTTCCAAAAACTGTTAACATATTTTTGACAGACTTCAGATATTAACTCCAAAATGATTACCCAAAGAATAAAGATAAGTAACATGTTGAGACTGCTCATGAGTTAACCATGTACAAAACAAAGTGCCAAGTGATAGCACTGTAGGACTGCACCTACTGGAACTGTATAGTGTTGTCTTAAGGTAGGAAATTTCTCATTATGTATGTAACTCTGAACAGCATTTGCTGCATTAAAAATACAGAAATTACTAGTTTTAAGCAGTCCACGTAAAAAACAGAAAAAAAATTAAGAAGAATCTCAAATTAATGGGCAGTACCTGAGTGCAATAAAGAATAGAGCTTGAAATGATATACTTACTTTTGCCATCATCGCAGAATAGGCAATATATAAAGGATCATCTTCTAGTTTACTATGAAGAGTAAAAAAATATTCTAAATTATTTTATGTTGTAGTAATATAAAGATGTCATATGCCTACTAATATTTAAATTCATTTTTTATTAAAGTAGACACACATCTACTTGACAAGCTATTACACTTGAAAATCATGTTATAAATGTATTTTCTTATCCAAATCCAAGTCCCTAACTTTTTGAATACTTAGTCATACTGGATAAGTAAGAATCATTGGCTGTTGTAGGCACAGAACAATAATATGGAGATATAAATTAGAACTATCAGATGGCAAGATTATGTTAGTCATACAGAAAAACTATATGAAGCACTGGAATACTCATACAAAATACGTATTTTAATCAACAGTCTAAAGTCAAACCAGAAACTTGCAATGAGATACACGATAACCATCAAGAAACCTTTTCTGACATACTGAGTAAAATGTAATGAATACAAACCAAAAGAACACACATCTATTATCAGGAGAGACCAGGGGAGGGTACTCTGAATGAACCAGCAGTTCCTGCAGACTTTATGTTTCTATGAGAAGTCAGGCTCAGTTATTTCTGTACTGGGTATTTACCAAGCTTTTAAAAGGTCAAAAATAGTCAATATTTATCTCAGTGTAAAGGTTATACTGAATTTAAATGCATGAAAATGAAGGGAACTGAAAGGGAAAAAAGTATTCACCATGCACGTTAATGAACTACAGTTGTTTTAAATCACTTCTGTAATGTTACCAGAAATTCAATGACTGTGTGCTTTTACTCAATGTGCTTTTCAACACAGCTCTTTTACCTTCTCTCTGTGAGAGCGCTGCGACTAAAATAGAGGATAATCTGATGAAGCGGATCAGGATGGTTTTTCTCGGTCTCTTCTTCTTCCTCTTCATCTTTTTTTGGAGATGTCTGTGTCAAGATTTAGAATATACAAGTTAAGCTTCATACGTAAGAAAAAAATTGAGTAATTAAGCTTAGGAAAGGATTTTAGTAATTTTATTCTGTCCAATGTATATTAACTCCCAGTATTAATCTTATTCATCAGTTTACAGCATAACCTGCAACATTATGTGCCTGTACGACTCCAAAGGAGTTAGAGTATCTGATTTTTATTCATATCTTAAGTAACTCTGGAAATTTCTCCTTTGTAAAGTACTGAGAATGAGACAGTGAAAACCTTATTCAGCAGAAATTACACGTTTCCAGTGGACCAGAATTAAAAGAGAGACACAGCTCAATTATTTAGCAGGAGAATTTCCTGGAACAATTTTTAATAATATCATCAGATACATCCTATTCAGTCTAGTGTTTGCTACAATATTTTCACATATAATTTCTAGTAATTTTGATTCAATGAATATAGGGACTGCTCCTTGTTGTAAACTTCAGACATTTTTTGGCAATTAGAAATACAACATGGCACTGGCCAAAGATCAGTGTATTATCTTTACCTTACTTGTGTTATTGCCCCTGTGTAGCATTTGTAATTATTGCAGAATTAGTGTAATTGTAGTAATAATAGTAATTACAGAAGTGCAATTTACTTCTCTAGTAAATCTGAAAGCGCTGTAGTCACTGCTTTGATGAATGGCTTCATTCTTTCCTTTAGGAAGAAGCAATCAAATCAAACACAGACTGACCAAGTAATTTTCCAGAGCATGTGAAGAATGTCCCTACCTGTGGCCACAGAGGTTGGAACCAGAGGATCTTTATGGTCCCTTCTAACCCAAACCATTCTATGACTCTATGATAATAGGCATAAGTGGTCTTTAAAAAGCACAATATGACTTGTTTTGTTAATACTGAAGCACCTCCTGATACATCTGCATGTGATCCATGAAGCTGTATATTAACTTCCATGGTGTTTAGATGCTATGGAGATAGGCCCCTTGGAGGTATTTTAGACAACAAGCTAACTACATAGAAGGAAGACAAAAAACAGTATGCTTTCTGAATCAGTATTTATTAACACAATCCTGAAGTTTATCAGTCACTTTTATCAAATACACAGGTAAACTAAATTTTTGCTGAATATGGCATGTATTTACTTCACCTTATAATGCATCAGTAAGAAAACAGAAAAATTAATTTGTACCGAAGCTGAAGATGTTCAAATTAAATAATATGCGTTAAAAAAAAATTAAAAAGGCAAAAGGATCCATAGTGTCAAGCTTTAAAAAAAACCAGTAAATAAAATATAGGAACATAGGAATTACCATAATGTCAAAAATAATCTGACAGTTCATCTAATCCATTTCTCTTCCCAAGAATGAGTATCACATAGATCGTCTGAAGGCATAAATCATCTTAATGTATGTCAGTTTGTATCACAGGACAAATGTCCTTTTGACCACAGCAGAAAATGACCTTATGCCCTGAAGCATAAGGATTAATATTTTACAAGTTTATGCATATGCATACAGTACACAAAAATGAAATATAGTTTATAATAGATACATAAAATACATACTAAAGTGGGCACTGAAAAACATGCCCAATTACGTCAGTACTTACAGCCAAATCCTGAACTAGTTTCTCCTCAAATGAATATTCCTCTGTTTCTATCCAATAGTTCTGATAGCCATTGAGGAAGAGGTTAATAGAACGGTGCCTGGGGGGGTTGTGAAAGTGAGATCAAGAGGGGTAACGGAACAGAGTATAACAGCTCAGATGGTTAATGGTTAGTAAGGATACATATTTGTACAATTCTGATCCTCTGATTGGTCAGTGAAACAAAATACAAAACATAACATTCAGTGACAAAGCTTCAGGTACTTTCAAACATTCTTGCTATTTTTTTATACACATATGTATACATTACTTTTTCTTTTGAAGGCTTTGAGAGGGATAATATGCATTATACATGAAACTGCAGAACTGGAACCTTAATGAAAAAAACACGCACTTAAACAGACTGAAAATGAGTGAGTGGGATTTACACCTGCAAGGTGTAAACCTATTTTTCTAGATTTGGAACATCAAGACAGCAGAAGTTGGCCATTCAACAACAAAATAATTATCAATAGCTTTCCAGTACGTTATCTGCAGACAATCATTGCCTTCTAATACACGGAGAAGCCTAACCTCAGCTTCTAGTCTTTCAGTTCCAAATCAGGGCAGTATTAGTATGTCCTCAAAGAAGCTGCATTAGAAATACACAAAACCTGCTATAGAAAATTACCAATTTTAGCAAACTCTTAGCCATATTAATTACTACTATACAATATTCATTAATGTAATTTTCCAAAGAAAATACAGCTCATGACAATAAGGCTACACATAATAATGGCCAAGCCATTACATCTGCACATTACATTTGGGGAAAATTTTGTTTTGGGCTGCACTACATGAGGTTAGAATGGCTCTTCCATGCAGCCTTTTCATTTACTTTTACCCTGTGCCACCAAAAAAAGCTGTAAAAATGGGCTGCATGAACACCATTTAATACTGTTTAAATACACTGTGCACATGAATCATTTTATAATGGAATAGCTATTGAGTCAACCTTTTAGGCTCACTTGCTGAAACTCTCGTGCAATTTTATTATCAAATTTCAAAAACTGACCAATCAGAATCCCGTCTGTAAATTGTACAAATTCATGTTTTTATGATAATATCAAATCATGGCTGGGAAGGAAGAAGTGTGCGCATAAGCAAGAGGCTCTCCACAAGTTACATTACCGTTAACTTGAGTATAAGCCTGTCATACTGAGTTTTTTCATGTACTTTTTCCAGCCAAACACGTTGAAAGGTGCTCAGGAAGAAATTGCTAATTTTGTGTCTGAAGAAAAGCATATAGGTTTTCATTGAAGAAAGGCACAAGTTAAAATCAGTAAAGTAGTCAGAAAGAGTGTATTCGTAAACTGTGTATGAAAATTTGCCATGTACAACTTCACTGTATCTATGTGCATATACAGCTGACAGATAATAAGACAATTTTTTTTTCAAACTAATTTGCATAAAATATCAAACATAAATAGACACATCTCAGAGAAAACATGTATCACGTAAGACACTTTTTCAAAGCTATGTACATTCATTAAACACAGAACATGAAGAATTAGTATTTCCTAACTTAAATGATGTTTCATTCTTTGAAAAAAAAGAAATAATTTAAAATACAATTATTACTTTTAATAAAAGGGAGTTCTTGGAATATTTATGGTAGAAGTTAAAGTAATTTTTCTGTGATTTAACAACCACCTGAAGGCCAATAAAAATTTCCATTTCTGAAATATCTTACTGGAATGGAACTCCTAAAACCTAAAATATATGTGTATATTTTACAAAAAATTACATTAAATTGTGAGATTAAAATTAAATTCCATTGAAAGCCACCTAAATATCTAGAAAATTTTTAAAAGAGCAAGTATATTATTTACTGAAGATATTAATCTTTTCTAGCATAAATGAAAGGGTACCACTGTAATGTTTGCTTATTGCCCTTTAAATTAATTGATTCTAGCAGTAAAGTTAGAACTAACACTCCCAACATAATGCTGCAACTAAAATAAGGATATAGACAAGACAGAAAGCTGCGTTTTAAACTCTGGTTCAAAGAGATTTAAATAGCTCCTAGAATTAATCATACCCCACTTGAAATAATCTCCCTAGGGTTCAGACATGTCTTAACAACACCATCAATTTAGATAATGGAGATCATGGTAGGTGTGTAATAGTGTGACAGCCTTATTTTCCTGTCAGAATCCTATGATTTATCTGGAAAAAAATAAGTGTCTGTAAACTAATTAATTTTAAAACTTTGTTCTTCACCTATCAGTTGAGCAATATAGCTGGAAGGCCTTGTTCTTTGCAGCAGGGTTAGATCAGATGCCCTTTAAAGGTCCATTCCAACCCAAACCATTCTATGACTGTAGGATTCTAAAAATGTTTTTCCCAATCTTGCCTGTTTTGAAGTGCAGACAGCACAATCCATTGACAAAAATGGAATAGCTGGACAGATTTTCCTCACATTCATATTCAAACAGGAGTAAACTGCACCACAAAATCTACTTTGAAGTTTGAGAACAAAAAGTTTGAGAGAGAAGTTTTTAACAAAGAGAAGTTTTTAATGAAAATTACAGTCAATGTTAATGTTTCTATTTTGAGTATTACTCCATATTTTATGGAAAACTAAAAATAACTATTTATAACCCACTTTGCCCTTTGGCAAGTGTTCCATCAACCTCAAAAATAATACATAAAAGGGGGATTTTTTAAAGGTAAAAATAGGATGAGCCATTTTATTGTTTTAGTGCTCATATACATATTCTAAACATTTTAAGAATTTATAAATCCAGAATATGAGTGTAAAGAAACATGCTCACAAAAAGGTTGAACTGAAAAGGGAGTTCCTCATACCACTTCCTCTTATTTTTCCAAGCACAGTTCTTGAAGATGAAAGGATACTAGGCCATTTGTTGTGTTGTACTTAAACCTTTTTATTTCTGTGGCTCTTTAAAGCCTGCCTGGTGATAGCTTGATAACTTGGAGAAGTTACTATAGTCTAGAACTACCACTTTTTTGTAAAGGAATGATGTGTACTTTTTATGATATAACTGGCTTTTTATTTATCTCCTGTAAACCTAATCTTCCTCCAGTATGTTAATGGCACAGCTACAGACCTTTAGCTGAAGACGTTTAGCTGTAGATCTTTACATCAAGCATGTAAACTGACTTTAATAAAAATGCAGGGCAACTCTTCAGTTAAATACTTTGCCAAAAATCTTTGAATAAAAATATTAGATATGAAAGGTGAAAAAGTGCAGGAAGTAAGAGGCAAACCTAATTAAAGTTGTGCTTAACCTATATCTGAATAAAGAAGATTTTTTGAGAAGGAACAGGATAAAGGAAATATCCCCAGTGCCTCTGCTTAAAGCAGTAGATGGATCCAGGCACAGGATACATTTTGTCTTGGACTTTGTGGCGTCTACATTCAACTGGAATAAGAAGTAGAGCAACACACAAGCCGAAAATATCATTCTGCACTGCTCTGCCCCAATAGTTATTTTAATTCATATACCATTCAGATATATTAGCTTTAAGATTGCTCCAGACAAGCTACAGAGCATGAAGTGTTCATGCAACAGGAGAGGAAGAGCCATACACAATTTAAAAAAAAGAAAAAAGAATACAAACACGGAGAATAAAGAGTAAAAAGCGCAACCTATCAGAGGCAAAAAATGCACAGAAACAGCAACATCTTAATAATTTTCACAGATAACTTGAGGAACTATACAGCTGACAAAAATGAAGCATTTTGGTTTTGCAGCAGTGTAATTCTTATGGTCTTTTCCCCCTCTGGTTATTTGTCATGAGATGAGTATTTGCTACCATGAGCAATTAGCTGCTATCTAACCAACTCTTAAAGTTACATAGACATAACAATCAACAAACATGTAGGTAAACACATGAGCAGTGAGACCTAAATGAACAATACAAACAAAACTTAAGAAAAAATAAACCTTTAAGCCATTTACCTTGGCAGGTTGTATAATGGTGCCATTCTGAAACATGCAACAACAGCCCTTTTGCGTTGTTTTGATAGGAGTTTGTGCCAAACAGCTTTTTTTGATCTCAGTGGTTGTTCAACCTATGGGAAAACATCTTCTAGTACATACGACAGAAACGCTTCAACTTTCATCCAAAATTTTCTTTTTAGCTAATGGTTAGCTAGTTAGCAAAGTAGAAAATGTTACAAGTGCTCTGCATAATCTGAAAAAAAGTTGGTTTCAGGATTTATTTATTTTTTTTAATTAGTAAGTAAAATATAAGGGACCTTGTATATAGTACCTGTCAGTTTATTCAGACAAGCTCAAGATGCCAGAATACCTCATGTGTGGGACTCCTTGGTAAATTTCCAAAATGGTTATTCTGTCTGTTTCTAAGAATGCATGTTCAGCTGTTCATGTGAATGAATTTCTGTGCTATATCACTTATGAATGAAATGGATTAACTTGATGTAGGAAGAGTACAATTGCCTTTATGTATTTAAATTGTATCATTTGAGTGAACAGGCAACCAATTCAAAAGTTGCTATGGCATCCTCAGGTGCAGAAATAGGAGACAGGCTAAACTCAATATATTAAAAATGATTGGACAAGCAAACATCTTGTCCTAAAATTACAGGGTTTTCTGCATGGAGATGATTTGTATACTATAATTCTTGCAACTGTTCACAAAGTTTTGCAGAGGCAAATACATCCTGAGTTTTCCTTGAAGCTACATAGAGGCACTTAAACAGATTACATTTAAATTTTCATGTATATACATATCCATATGTGCATGTGTACTTCCATGCAAGCATGTGCAAAACCCCAATTTTTATGGGGACACTTTAATGATAACACTAAAGTTCAATGATTTCACTGAAGTTGAAATAATCTCTGCAAGGAAAAATCTCAGGTTATTTTAAAACAAACACATTTAAGTTTTTACCTGTTCCAGATGATATAGAGCAGCTGATATCCTCTGCACACGTTCAACATTTCTCTCAGGGTCAGTAGGTCCATCACTTTTCAAAATGTCTTTGTACAGATTTAGCTGCCATTTCACAGCTGGATCATCAGACTAAAACCCAACATATTTCATACGTAAGCTGCTGAATGAAGGCACTGAATTTGACCAACACCGCTACTACTCTCATCTAATAATAAAGAATGTTATAGATAATCCCACTTTCTGTCCCTTTTCAGACCAAACTAACATCTGCCAGCTGCTTGAAAAAATGGCATTGGGTCCTGTATGCTGGTGGGCAATTACACTCAATTAAAGAGAAAGGTTCTGTATTTTTATTTCGCAAAACCAAATAAAGCACTCTGGGACTTTTGTATCCCACTTAACTGCATTAAAAATAAGAAAGCTCATTCAGTACTGGAATTGAGTTTAACTCCTTGCAGGACCTCTGTACCAATAGGGTAAAGATGTTTTTTGGAGTCTAGAATAGACAGCTGGAATTTAAGTAGGTTAGAGCCACTTAACTGTTACAGCCAAAGTTTTTGGGGTTTTTTTCTTAGAAGACAGAAATAGACAAAACACATCAAATTACTTATTGTGTCCATTCCAAATTTATGTAAGCACAAATTTTTAACGAGTCATCTTCCATAACAGACAAATGAGTGACTCCTATTGTTTTCAAAGACTGTTCAATGATCTAAATTATTTATTGTTTACTGAATGATGAGGACTTTATATTGGCATTACCTTTGACTGTGTATTCAGCATATAAATTGTAGGAATATAAGTATGTTTGTAAAACTTAGAAGTGCTAAAATGACACAAGCTTTTCTAGTTTTATCATAGTCACTTAAAAATGTATATATTCTTAGAAATGCTACTTAATTATTAGTGAAGGTTAAATTCAAGAAGAGAAGTTTAAATATTACAGTTCAAATTTTCTTTTCTTCTTGGATCGAGATGATTCTTGGCAATTATAGTTTTAAGACTACCAATATCTCAATTCTTTACACTTGTGCCATTCTATAGAACTTTCCAAAACTTGAATATACCAGCCAAAACTACAAATAAGCCATTCATTGTAATGAAAAAATCATGAAGAATAATGTTAAAATGGCAATTTTTCTAATAGTTTTTCAGATTATATTTTTAAACGTATCACAATTATCAAAACAATTGTGCGTTCTGTGTTTTAAAAGTGCACATCAGCATCTTGAAGACAGAGTTTTTATATTACCTTTTCCTGCAAATGTAAGTTGTTACGTAAATGTTCTTTGACTTCATCATCCGTGTCCCTCTGTAGAAGGGTAGAAGTATTTTTCAGTACAGATTATTATTCATTTCATAAGAAATTTTATAACATAGAACAGCTTTTATTTTAACATTGAAACATAACCTCTTTTGTATTCAAACTATGTAAGATATCAGAAGGGTCAAAGGCTTTCCTTAACCACAAAACAAGGGTTAAACTTTGAAGAGAATTAAAACTAACTAATGGTATTTCACTATTTGGTCCAAATGAATACTGCATATATAAAAATGCACATTTTATACAAATAATTAGCAGGTATAACTTCTTACAGTACATAGATATATTTACTAATATCGACTGCTTAGATATCTATACTTCAAAATACAATTTAGAAAGTTCTGCTTATTTTGCATTAAAAACTATTGCAAAGTACACACTTACATGGCTGTATCTAGTCTTAGCCAATGAGATGAGCTCTTGATCTCCAGGAGTACACATATTCAAACCAATAGGAAGCATCTTTTTAAGTGCAGCCACAATCAAAGATGTTTGTATGGAGTACAAATCCCCTCTACGTTTTGATTTCTTCCTCTCTTGATCTTGTCCTCCAGACTATCATTAAAAAAAAAAAAAAAAAAAAAGAAGAAGAAAAGTAAATGACTGTAATTCTCTCATCACACACTCCTCCAACATGTTCTTCCCCAATGGTCCAGGAAAACTATGTTCCTGATGTAGTACAAATAATTAAAAATGCTACATCAGAGGAAGGGTGTACAGTCTTGAGTGGGAAACATAAAGGAATAATTTTGGTGTGTGCCAATGCAGAAAATGCAGTAACAGTAATGTTTTAATAGGAGTAACACACTCTTGTGTGCATTCATAATATGACTCTAACTATATTTTTTGGATCTTACCTCTCAAATCAGAAACAACCCTAAAATTAAAAGATGAGTCGGTCTCAGAGGACACCATAAGTTCTCTAATGTTAGAGACAAATTCAGGATGTTTACATTTTTTTCAGGAAATTTTTATAAAGATAGTTATCCAGGGTCTGAATGAACGAATAGTGCCTGATTTGTCTCATCTGAAAAATACTATTATTTAAAAGCTTTGATTCAATGCAGTAAAATGCCAGTGATTTAGTGCCTCTGGGAGAAGTATTGCCCTTTGGCTTTGGCTAATATTAGTAGATTTAGGATGAAAAGTTAAAACTTTTGGAGATCATCAGTAATAGGCAAAGGAAAACAAAAGAGACAGAAGTAAACAGCACAACAGAATAACATCTGCCCTATCTTCATACAACAGACACTGTACAACAGTATTTCACGATCAACTTTTCATTTATGAGACGGAGAACCAAAATCTTTCAAACAGACCCATATATTTAATGAACACAGTAAACAGCAACAACATAAAATAGCCTAGTTCTGAATTCTGTACCTAGATTAAACTCCTACTACACTCATGGGGAGTTTTGCCTGAGATAAGATTTCAGGACTAGGCCTCCAGGCTCGTACAACACTACAAAATAGCAGATGATTGCATTTAATCTTCCACATCCTTTTCCTTCTCTCAGTTAAGTTTTAGTGATAACTGTTCTTATAACATATTGTGTAGTTCCACATAAGGATACAGCAGAATCCATTGCAATTCCACATTTCCCAATTACTGCCTCACTATTACCACAGTAATCACTGGAAGAAAAAAAGGTAGCCATACATGTTCTACTCAGTGATAAATTTAGGCAAATTCTCTCTTCTAGATGGTGAATCTCTACGTACATAGCTGGTGTTGAGCATTTTGCAGGTCTGAGGGAACACGCAATGGATGTGGTTTCCTTTCTTAAGGAACTAACAATTGCGAGAGAGTACTTTGCCTCAAAGCTTTGCTTTTCAAAGTGCCTAGAAATAGCAATGATGCAATGGCTATAACAATGACATCATTTGTACTCTACATTGACAGCAGACAAACAAATCCCACAATGTATCGCTGTATTCCAGTGGCGTCACTATGCATCTTAAATAAGGAATAACAAAATATGTAATAGATTATTTGAAAACAAAAAAAAAAGAAGAAAAGGAGAGATACTGGCTTCTGCATCTTGTATGCCTGAGGCCTTTCACATAGCCAATTTTCTGTATGTATATATGAGATTATTAACTACATATGAACAAGATAGGGGAACCTTAAAACTTGAACATTTTTAAAGCAAGAAGAGAAGATCCATTCTGCCTTTGCCATAAATTCTGCTGTCCATGAATTCACATCTCCAGTCACTAAATGTATAAGTAGAGTCACAGACAGAAACCTAAACAACAATGAAATTATGTCACAATAACTTCATTACATAACTTCATAAACACGATACCTTCATTATATATGTAAAGAGCATTAAACTGGATGTATTTTGCCAATATAATTAACTGTGCTAAAAGGACTTGAACAGAAAGAAAGATACAATTTGGTTGCCTAACAGCATGTAATGATATTACTTGCCTGAGGATTTCAACACAAAAATGGATATTTCTTAAAAAAAAATACAGAAAAAATAATTACAGATTCTTTAGTAGATCATAATAACTAAATATACAATGTAAAAGAAGAAATCATTTATTTACACTAAAAAAAAAAAATTAGGTAAAACTGGTTAAGATTATGGAATTTATTATTTTTAGTATTTCCATCCCCCTTTAAACCTTCAAGTCTCTGAGATTATCATGAGAGCATTCCTTAAATTGTACTCTATATACCTGGAGAAGTTTGACAACAACAAATCATGAAATCAGATTATTAGTTTAACAGAACTTCTCATTTTTTAAGTTATGCCTCTAGTTTAATTGATTAAAAGCTCTTCACAGCGTCATGTGTGCTTCTCAGCACAGTGGGCGAATGAAGGGAAAGATGAAAGAGTTTATGCTCCATTTTGCTGTTCATTCTGCTTCACCAATGGAGAACACATCATAGGTCAAAAAGTACTCATCTATATTAGAAATTCATATTAAAAAAAATAATATGAATGATGCAAGAGAAGGTGACCTATGGTTTACTGGAGGAGAAGAATGCTTCAAATACATTAAGTACATAAAAGAAACAGGGATTATTCAAAAGCTTTGTCACTGCTCACAGCTTTAGTGAAGATCGTTTTACTTTTGGAGAAAGGGAGGATCTGAACTCTATATCTTATTTAAACTTACTGGGTTTAATACCACTTCTGTTTATCTACAGACAAGGTACAGGCTATAGCACATTTCTACCATATATTCTTCTCGAATATCACAAGCCAAATACATCTTTCTGATGACTCTACTTAAACATTGCTTTTACAATGTCTACTTCAATATATTAGCAAAAAAAATGGAATGCAGAAAGACAGCAGAGGCAGAATGTACATCTAAAATAGTTACAAAATGTAACTTCACTACATTTTCACATTAAGCAGCACGTAGGAGTGCCAAAGGGAATTTCAGCTGCTCTGGTCAAAACTGCCACTTCAACCTGGACAAAATTTACAGTAGGTGGAACCTGGACCTTCACTTTGTGACGCCACTGCTATGATCAATGAAAGAGTGCTTGGAGCCTGATCATCTCTAAATCTAAAACGAAGACACATCATGCATTTTGACCTGTACCTTTACTTGCATGGCCTGTGTGAAAGAAAAATAAAGGGAAAAAACCATAAGTAAAAGGGATGAAAAGATGATAATTTTACAAATTAGTAATAAACTTACTCAGCTTTATCAGGACTGTAAAAATATAATAAGTTTGTAGCTAAAACAAACACATAACCAAATGAGATCTTACTGAAATCAGCTTAATTCTTATTAAATGATTGAACTTCTGAATTTCTGTTGCTATTCTAACACACACTATCAATTGTTGCTCGAACACATAAGGAAGTACATCTAGTAAACCAGATTATCAATATACCAATAACTGCATCTTTTCCCAATTTTATTAAAAAAGAAGGTGCCTGGAACTCTGAATAGTCCAATAATGAAAAATATTCACGTTTTCCACCAAAATAGCTCTTTCTCCTCTTTTCCCCCTTCATCCCCCCACCGGGAAGGTGTAGCACTTCATATGCAGATGTATTTTCCCATCGCATGTCTTATTACCATTTTGAAGACAGTCTAAGAGAAACTTTGGCTTGTATCTTTTAGTAGTACCCATTTTAAGAACAATATTATCAACTCAGCTGTAACTCTCTTATATACAGAGGGTTTTTCCCATGGGTTTTTTATATTAGTACCATAAATACACTTAAATAAATATGTATTCCATAGTCAACATTATATTATCATTGATCAGGCAATCTTAAGAAAATAACATCAAACCCATTTAGTTATGGTAAAATAAAATAAACTGTTACTGTTACTCAAAAGAATCCTTGACCAGGTATAGGAAAATACTATAGAAAACTGTTGGGTTTAAACAGGAAGAGAAATCTATAAACACGCACAAGCCCCTACTTCTGTCATAGCCTAAATAGTAACATTTTTTTCTTGTGATACTTGAATAAGCATTAAAATGTTGAAGTCTAGGTATTATTAAAATCTTTTAAAGCCTACTGTATTAATACCACATAGTAAAAAAAAACCTCAAGTAAAGAAAAATGAAAGACTAATCATCAAATTAAGTGTTAGAATCTCAGATTCTTAGAATCTTGAATACCTTACTTAGACAAATAGCAAATTTTAATTTAAAATTTCAATTGTGTGAAATATATAGATCTTTCTAGACATAGCTAAGTAGATATATACTCAAGGTAAGTAAAGATAAGATGTTAATTATACTTAATTTATTAGAGATGACCATAAAAGTAATCCACTCATGCTTTACCTCAGTATATCCAAAGGAAATGCATTCTGTGCAATTGAAATAGTCTCAAAGAAGAGATCTAAAATTCTTGCAGAAAATACTAACATGAAATCCTCTAACTATTGTAAATCTGCAAATAATATGTATTACATATCACAAATGGGTACAAACCACAATGTTGTTTCATAATACAAACTTGCATTCTATGACTGCCTTGAAATTCTATAATAGTAATATAATACATCTATCCAAATGTTCTTAAAAATAGATTAAAAAATTAATGAGGACCAGTCAAATAGAACTTCAGTAGGATATGCAGGAGTTCAGCAACTGAGGGTATATATCCAGCCACACATTCATTTAGATTCCAAAACTTACACAAAAAAATTGCCTACATATATATTACACAGTTATTATGTACATATGAATGTATAAGTTTAGTCTTTTATACTGAGAAACTCAACAGGACATCACTGGCTCTTAACCAAAATGTTGTTTTATCAAGAAACCTATGAAGGGGTCAAAAATAACAGATTAGTGGAGTTGAAAGTGTTTAAATTCTCCATTTCAACACTTTTATCACAAATCTGTTATTTCAATGTAATCTAAGTTACCAGTCTCTCTCAGACTGAAAATTCTCTAACTTACCATTCCCCTCCGAGCACTCTGCTGCCATATTTTTAGAAAAGAAAAATTAAAAAACTTTCTCAGCTGTTAATACATTTATTTGAAAAGCTATTAACAAAGTTAACATTGTATAATCAAAATACAATGTGTACTTAATCAATTTATTGATTGTAATGATGTTACCACTGCTATTAGCTACCAATAAATAACATAATGGTACTCCTTTATCCCCTGCTTCGTTTTTTGTTTCATGTGGCATGTACAGATATAAAACCTTCTGTACATGACATATTACACCTTACACTCTGATAGCATCACAGTACTTTGTATCATAGGGAAAATACTAAGTCTCTGTCTCTGTTCTATAAAGCAGTCTCAGATCAGTATGGGACATTACTCCTTTAAGAAACCTCACACTGTTCTGTCTTGGGCCAACTGTCAATAGCTAATGCTCATATTCACAGTTTTGTATACATTGTCATGCTTGATAAATACTGGATACAATTGTTTACACTGAAAATAATATGAATAAAGATAAACTAGTGATAGAGAGGAAGGTGCTAATAATATTCTGTTAGCATAATGCTTTTTAAATGTTTCTATTAAAGCAAGAAATTATAAAAATGATGTTCCCTAATGTAATGTCCTCTACTGATCATTGTCTAAGGATATAAGTAAGTACCAAACCTTGTAAGAAACCCTGAAATTCAGTTACCTAGAGATTTTCTTGTTTATTTTAAACTATGCAGCCTTAAATAAAAAATCAGATGTAAATCTATACTTTAGTGAATGTGCTGGTTTTAGAGCACTTACATTTTATATTATGAAATATAAGCAATTTCCTGCTTAGAAACCATATATATAAAACCAATACAACACTTCTAAAAGACAACCCATATATTTCATCATGGTATTTAAATCATCATGAAATAAATGTCTATCTAAATTATCATCTGGTCTGCAATCATACCTGCAGTTATGATCCCATATAAATAAAATATTCACTCAGGAACAATAAAGTATTTTATTTCTTCCTTTATTTGCAATGACCATGCACAGTGTCCTTGAATGCCATAAATTAACATTGTATGCTTACAAAAAAATTATATGCATATAAAAAACTCCAGAATTTCTCTCTACTATATACCCATAGGAAGAAAACCACATTTACATATGCATGTACATCTCTGTTAAGTAAAAAGATATTCATACAAGTATTCATACAAAGTATATATCTGTACTTAAATATACACTCAGGCATTTGGAAATATAATCTCAAAATCAAATTTGGGTAATATAGGTTCTTGATGTTAAATTCCCATGATTTTTTCAAAATCAGAGCAGTATGAGGCCTACCTATTCTTTATTTTGCAAAGATTTGTTTTTCATTCCTGCCATATCAGACTGACAAAACACTAACAGTTTACATCATATTATCCTGTATTAATACAGTGAGACACAATTTAGAGTAAATATATATGAACCACCTGATTCTAATCTATCTTTTAAAAAAAAATATACCTAACTGGCCTAGTTCTCAGGCCAATTCTAACATATAAATGTTAAAGTACACATATTAAATCTATGTGCAGTGATTGCCATATGATAAAAGTACAGAGTTACATGTTCAACTTGGTTATTGTGCAATTTCTCCTCAAATAGCCTTGACTTTGTCCACTACTTATCTTGCTAATGAGGATGATACAAACTTTTAAATTCTATCAAACAATTTTGTAAGCTGCATCTCGAAAACAGGAAAAGTTGAACTTACAGTAGCTTGGTTACAGGCAACCAAAATACATTGAAATACAAAACTTTAAACACTACTTCTCAGGTACACTTTCAAAGTTACTCCAAACACATTATAAATATGAATAAAAGAAAAGGTTCTTTCATTACACTTACCTACACTGATTTGGAATTAGCTTTAGTTTAGTAAGGCAGTTTCTTCAGCTAATGTCAAAGTGGCATATTTTACCTTGACACCATGAATTTTGTTTATTATTATTAAAATAAGAAAATTGGTGTACATGTGGCACACTATAGGTATAACTCAAGGGGTATGTGCAAAGACAGCTGTCCTCCATCAAAGCTGACAGAACAATATGACATTCACACGAAAATGATGAGGCAACCAATGCTTTTTCATTTGCTTTTATAAGATAGTCTACCCTTTTTTTTCCTAAAAGATCAACAACCCATATTTTATAATACAAGCCATAATCTCTTATACATGTAATTTTTCAAATCAAGACTTTTATTTTAATCTTGTGTATTTGAGTGTTAGCAAACATTTAATAACTAAGGTACTATGTCCCTTACTCTAAGGTACATAGGCTATATTTTGCATAGTAGTTGGCACACCTGTCATCAAAAAGCAAAACTATTTTTCTTTTCTTCTACTAGCACAGCAGCTGCAATCTGAGTAGATTTTCAGAGCCTTCTTACAACATAGTAAACATACAGTGAAAATTTACCTGATCCACAAATTTTTATTAACTTACTTTAGACATCTTGCTCTTGGTGTCTCCTGTTAAGAATGCCAAATTGTTGATTTCATTCTGAATCACAAAATTTTGTTCTTCTCTTTTGAAATTCTAAAGACAAAAATAAATCACCAGAAGTTTAGTTCATCTGCATGTACCACATTTATAAGTAAAGATAGGATTAAATGAAGGAAAAAATGTACATCTTATCTTACATGGGATTTACACCACAGGATAAAAACTTCAGCGACCATTCGAAAGAGTTCATCAGAATCCGCATCTGGTTTCTTTAGCCAGTTGGCTCTAATTACAAAAAGAAGAGAAATTTAAAATAAGACAGTTTAATATAATAATCTCTAACTATACAAATCTAACCTGATCTATTAAATAGTCTTGGAATTCAATGAAAATCTCTTTAGATTGTCATGACCATGTTTAGAGAGGCAAACTTTCATGACAGTTTAACTCATCTCCAGAAAAAGTCTTGGCTACTTATTTCTGCCTGCTCTCCCTCCCCATGGTGCCAACACATGGTTTTGTGCCTGTTCTGTGAACCAGACTAAAAGCCAGACCTTGCTATTGTATTTTCTTTCTTCTTATTAAACTTTGATATCAAAACTTTGTGTTGATACAAAAGAAAACACTGTAACAGGGAGCGAAGGAAGACTACAGCGAAATGAATGAGTGGATAGAGCTGTAAGATTCTTCAGTTGGTTTATTTTTGTAATTCAGGAGCTAATACAACCAGTCTGGGTGTGTCTGCACAAGGATACTCAGAAAATCTGTGCAAATGAACTGATACAGCCCTCTTAAATGTCTCTAAATTAAATTGTATTGATGTGACCATACATAAAGTGGGCACCTGACAGCAGACATGGAAATAGTTACTATGTTACATCATATGCTCATTAACTTTATCTTTCTAGTTAGATTTCTCCACGACCAAGTTAAATCTGTGGTTTTTAAAATATTTGAACTATTTCCTTGCCAGCAAGGTCTGACATAGTAAAACCTTGAGTTAATCTAGAAAAAGAAAACAATTCTCAGTGTAAATTTGTTCACAGCCTAAAGGATTATGCATGCAATGAGATGTTTCTAACCAGATCAATATGTACTAACATCAAAAAAAAAAAAAAAGTGGACAATGACTGTGTACAGAAGAACAATGTTGTTAAGGATAGAATAAGATACTGTAGATGTTGAGACACTATAAATACTTCAGGTGCTCTTCTGAGGAGCATCTGGGGATCATGTTCTGGGACAAAGGAAAGGGAAAGTGCAGGGAAAGTGCAGAAAAATCCTTCAGTAAATGGCTGAGGAAAAAACATCTGGTACAACGTCGTTCAAATACTTTCTATTTCCATCTTAAAAAGAAACCAGAAAATGAAATAAATCAAAAGAAACTCAAAAGATTAACAACTATGTGGTATTATCTACAAAGAGAATCATTCAATGGAGGCAAAACAGTTTTTTGTCCATTAACAGGTAAGAGGTTTGGTCATTTTTTTAGTTTTTGAAAGGCAATTAGTAATGTCATTGGGCTGCAGTAGGATATATAGGACTGGCCAGGGTATGTGTTCTCAGTGATATTAGTCCAATTATAATACAACCAAATAAGCCAAATGCATGTGAGCAAAGGTGTGAATTCAAGGTACAGCATTGTTTAAGCGGAGAATCTTAAAATACTCAGGATCTGATTCTCAGCATAACATTAAATGGTGTTCTGATTGTCTAATCATAGATTCCAGTATATTAACTAATACATCTGAGTTCAATTATTGGTTTTTATTTACCTGTTGTTGTCTACATAACGTATCAACATTGGATAGAAGGCATAAAGGTCTCTACAAAGTACAGCAAATTCATCGAGAATGAGTAGCTCAGCTTCTTGGGTGTCAGCTTTACTATCTGCTTTCAGTTGCTCCTCTTCCATCACTATCTTTATAGCTTTCTTCTTCAACTTATCCAGTGTTGGAATAAAGTGAGATCTGAGTAGATCAGGTCTGGCTTTGCTGATGATGGGTTGAGCATAAACTATATGTGAAAATATAGATAATACTATGATTAATGCATTGTTGGTGTTTTTCATCATACTTATATGAAATCTGAAGTTCTAGAAATAATAAAGGTTACAGGGCTTCATATATTTCTGCATCATTAAATTCCTAATAAAACTATGAATATAGCTTTGTAAAAACTACATGTATTGAAAGACTAAAACACTGTGAATTTGGATAAGTATTTCAGTCTTATGTAAATTAAACTGTCATGGTCTTTGCAAGTCACTTGATTCTAACTAAGAACCTAAGCAAAGTAGAGGTTGAGACACAATGTCCTCACAATTTTTTGTTTGTTTGTTTGTTTGTTTGTTTTTGTTTTGTTTTTTGATATTTGTGTGCCTGGGTGGGTTTTTTTGGTACCCAATGTCAAAACTGCAACAAATGTTCTCTACAATTAAGCAGTAAACTTCTCACTAAATTTTAATGGTATTCTTCTTTTTATTAAAGATCTTCCAGAATTTAAAATAATACCCAAGTCCAGTACCAATGGATACTGGGCATTCAGATTTAGCAGTAAATTATTACCTTCCCATAAGTTTTCTTGAATCATGTTACCGAATATTACATTTTTAAACTGGCTAATATGAATGATAAAATTAGGACACAGTAAATTTCTAGCTAGATACTAAATCCTGTAGGATATTTTGAGAAAACTGTCAGCTCATTCAATGGATCACACATTTATTCAGGTAAACCAAGTAATTTTGAACTTGGGTTACTCTTGAGATTATTTCACCATTTACAATTTCTTTACATTTTGCCCTGATATGTCATGAACAGAATTCACAGGACTTACACCCTTTACTGTAAAACTCAGTTTATAGGAGTCTTGAAAATCAGTGGAACTCACAACTCCAAAATAAATTTTGAGGCATAGAATTCTCTATGCATACAGTGCATAGAGAAGGTAAGATTTTCAAAATCTGTTATGGGGTACAGAAAGCTCTCTACTTACAGTGATGCTACACTGCACGCATAAAATAAATAATAAAAAAAAATTGTTACTTATCTTTCATTTATCTATCTTTCATGATGGTTTTATTACAATTTATTGCTATTATATCACTGGGTAATAAGGTAAAGTGTAAAAAGGTAATTAAATATTATTAGTAAAATTACTCTTCAAAAAATGTTTACAGTACCTGCAATTCTTTTCATCCAAGATGCTTCATCTATTCCCAGATTGTTGTTAATGATTTTTAGAATGTTCCCAAGAACGATGCTCAGATGCTCAGACGTTATCATTGTACAGCAAGGCCCACCACTTTGAGGAACACTCTCAGACCCTCTTTCCCACCAGTAGGATAAATAGTTGCATAGCATGGGTAAGATAACCTCAATGACGTGAGGCATTTCAGTATACCTTGCTCCAGACTCTGCTAAATCATTAATTTCCTTTATTAGTCCATCCAGCTGAGGGATCTCTGGACACATCTCTTCTACTGTATCAGGCATACCTAAAACTGCAAGTAAGGGTAGAAAAACAAAATATTAATTAGTAAAATGAAAGAGGACACCTTATGTTAAACCCTAAATACAAGTACCATTGTCACTCAGGTTTTTTTCCTTCACCATCTTGGGTAGATGTATCTATAGTAAGACCTTGGGGTATGCATAGGTATCTCCTTTAATAAATTATGTCTTTCTGATGATGTGCATATAGCAATGATGTAAACAATAGCCGCAATAAAGCCATGGCTTTGCCATGAGGTGTCCTGCAATTATCTCATGAGTAGTCCAGCTAAAAGTGCAGAACAGAAAGATTGTATTAATATTCAATCAACTCTGGCCATTATTTCCATAATCATTCACAACTTTTACGCTTATTTGCCAAAGATTAAATCCATGCTAGGGAAAAGGAAACAATCAGCTTAAAATTATGGGTGGGGTTAAAATTTAACTGTACCTAGTTTGTGAACTCTGCACATCTATCTCCCAATAAAACTGCCAGGAAAGAATTCCAGTTGTCAGATGCTTGTATTAAAAACTGAAGGATGCTTATTCAGCAATTAACAACCCATCATAATCTAATGCCAGGTCCTCAACCAAAACTCTTCTTTCACCAGTGCTGTTTCTATAAAGCAGAGCTGGCAGGGAGGAGGGGTAAGCAGAAGCTTTTCCATACCTGCTGTTATCTGGAAAAACTTATGAAGCATATGTAATTGGTCTAACCACATTTTTTTTCTTGTTTGTTTGTTTACAATGATTTGGCAGATAATGACTCTTATGTGGATCAACTAGAAAAATACTGAAATACTTTAAGATAGGAGTCCATCAAAAGTAAATGGGGAGAGAAGCAAGTGAAGAAAATCAATGTAGAAGGACTCATGCTCCTTTCAACAGAATCACGGAAAGGGTAAGGTTGGAAGGGACCACAGTGAGGTTGTGTATAGACTAGGGAATGAGAGGCACTGCTACAGAAAGGGACTTGGGGTACTGTTTAATGGCAAGTTGAATATGAGTCAGCAGTGCCCTGGCAGCCAGGAGGGCCGACTCCGTCCTGGGGGGAATCAGGCAAAGCATCACCAGCCGGTCAAGGGAGGGGATTCACTTTGAATAATGTGTGCAGTTTTGGGCACCACAATATAAAAAAGGCATTAACCTATTAGAAGGCATCCAAAGGAGGGCCATGAGGATGGGGAAGAGTCTGAAGGGGAAGCTGTATAAGTGGTTGAAGTCATTTGGTCTCTTCAGTCTGGACAAGAGGAGACTGAGAGGAGACCTCATTGCAGGCTACAACTTCCTCATGAGAGGAAGAGGAGGGACAAGTACCGATCTCTTCACTCTCACGACCAGTGACAGGACTCAAGGAAATGGTATGATGCTGAGTCAGGGGAGGTTTAGATTGAATATCAGGAAAAGGTTTTTCACCCAGAGGGTGGTTAAGCACTGGAACAGGCTCCCCAGGGAAGTGGTCACATCACCAAGCCTTTTGTCTAAGTTCAAGAAATGTTTGGGCAATCCTCTTAGGCACATGGTGTGACTCTTGGGATGCCTGGTGCAAAGCCAGGAGTTGGACTCAATGATCTTGATGGGTCACTTCCAACGCAGTATATTCTCTAATTCTATGATCTGGCCCAACCTCCCTGCTCAAGCAGGATCATCCTAGAGCACATTGCACAGGATTGAGTTAAGATGGTTCTTGAACATCTCCAGTGAGGGAGACTCCACAACTTTTCTGGGCAGTCTGTTCCAGCGTGTAGTCACCTGCACAGTAAAGAAGTTCTTCCTCATATTGAGTTGGAACTTTCTGTGCATCAGTTTCTGCCTGTTGCCTCTTGTCCTATTGCTTGGCACCTCTGAGAAGTGCTTGGATCCATCCCCTTGTCACCCTCCTTTCAGATACTCATATACACTGATGAGGTCCCCTCTTAGTCATCTCGTCTTGATGCTGAACAGGTCTAGCTCCCTCAGCCTTTCCTCATAAGAGAGATGCTCCAGTCCCTTAATCATCTTCGTAGACCTCTGCTGGATCTGCTCCAGGAGCTCCATGTTTCTCTTGTACTGAGGAGCCCAGAACTGGACACGGCACTTCAGGTGAGACCTCACCAGGGCTGAGTTTAAGGGCAGGATCACCTCCCTTGAACTGCTGGCAGTACCTCTTCCTAATGCACCCCAGGATACCACTGGCCTTCTTGGCCACAAGGACACACTGCTGGCTCATGGAACTTGTTGCCCGCCAGGATCCCCAAGCCCTTCTCTGCAAAGCTGCTTTCCAGCAGGTACTGCTGCATGGGGTTATTCTTCCCTAGCTGCAGGAAGGACCCTGTATTTGCTTTTGTTAAACTTCAGACGTTTCTTCTCTGCCCATCTCTCCAACCTGTCAAGGTCCCTCTTTGATTATGGTTTCATGGAATCAAAGTCTTATTCTGTCAGGAGTTCCCTGGACCAAACTGCTTTAGGTTACTGGTAAGACCATAAAAACACAGAAATTTTTTACATGTACACAATTGTATATTTGCCAAAAAATTTTGTAACATATATATGTTCTTTAACTAAGCTTCAGATATTAGAGTATGCACCTTTAGAAAAGTATTCAAACATCATGCTCAGAAAAATATCTAGAAATATTAGAAGAAAGGGAAAAATGCTGACACAGTGTCAACAAAATAGAGAAGTCTAAAATGACAACTAATGAAACAGCAATAGTAGTTCTCTACTGAGGCATACATTTCGATACAACTTCTGTTACTTAGTTGGAGAGGAGTAAAGATTTTTTTTTTTTTTTTGTGAAACAGTACTTACTTGCTCTTTCTCTTGCACTTTTTGTGTTGAAAACAGACAATGGGTTGTAATGATTGAGAGAAGGTTCAAGGAATGCTACTGGAATGGCTGCCGCAAGAGATGCTAAACATTCACCAAGTGCAGGACGCTGCCTGTACATGAGAGACATTGAAAGTCATCTGATAGGAAAACTCTTTCACTAGGCTATCAGATGCCTAGCATGCACAATAAAAAAGAAGTGTTAATGCTTATTGATGGTTTATTTTGTCTTTTTAGTACATTAGGAACTATCTGACAACTTTGAAAAATTGCATTTGTCAAATGAAAAAAACTACCAGAAATCACAGTGGTATAAGAAACACATTTAAAAAACAACCGTATCTCCACCAGTCCTGGTTCTGTCCAAGACAGGATTAAATTGAGCAGTAGCCAGGAGGGGGCATGGTTAGGTCCTGGAAATTATTCTATATCACCTCATGTCATTACTGGGGTCTGGAGGAAGGGGTGCCTTCAGGGTCATTTAGTGTGGTTGTGAGCAATCACAAGTGAATCCTTCACCCCTTTCTTGTACAGTCTGTCGTTAGTATTGTTGCTCTTACTGAGTAACAATTTCATTTATCTTGTTGTTTCCAGTAAATTGTTCTTATCTCAACCCATGATCTTTACCTTTTGTGTCTCCAGTTCTCCTCTCCAGCCCACAGCAGGGGAGGGGGTGGTAAGAGTGAGCAAGTGACATGTGATTTGGATTGTTTCAGTGGGAACACCAAATGGGGGAACACCATTCCTAAACTGCAACACCCCTATTTGGTGCTCAGTGTGATGCAGGAATGGTTGAGATAACAATAGATCTGACCAGAGCGGGTTGGAAACAAATTTTGTCTAAGCATTTGTTATATTGGGTCCAGAGCACAAGGTTATGGTATCTAACCTTGCATATATTCCTGTATATGCAAGATGTGCTCCCTGTAACAATATTTTTCAGGGCAGGGAGAGGGATCATGATTGCTTTGTTGCTGTATTGTGTGATATTATGATATGATAACATCAAGGACAATGAGAGTCATTCGGGATGCGTAGTCAGTGCTGCTCTCCTGCCCTCACCTTGGGCACTACCTCTAGGAGTTCATTAATAATCATACCCAGCCTGTGGGAAGAACAGGATGATTTTCCCCAGCTTTTTACACCCTTTCCCTTCTTCAGGCTTCTTATAACAACTTTTGAAGATTTTGAATTTCCCTTGGATGTTAAGGAAAGCATGTTCTTGTTGCTAGGTCAGCCACAATTCCTTAGTGTGGTCCACACCATGTTCAGAATTACAAAAGAGATTTTATAATGTACATGACCCTGATAAAGTGGTAGAATATTTGAAGGAAAAATGCTGTGGCAGTTCCAGAAGGATGTGAAGTTATGCAACGTGCTGGGGCCTGGCTAATATTTATTGAGCACTGCTTGTTATTAGACAGCACCCTCAAGGGAAAGAGAAGAAAAGCAGATCAACAGGCACTGTGACCACTCAAACTGCAGCTGAACCAGAGGAACAGTCTATGCTGGTAGCAGTCACCCCTACAGAAGAGAAGAAATCCAAGACAAAAGCAGTTCTCTTGGTGAGGGATGAAGAGGAGGGAGGGCCCTCAGGACAGGATGAAGAGGCAGTGCCAGAGATAATCACCTGATGCCTATCCCTGGGTGAGCTATGAGATCACCAATAAGATCATCACCTTTAGGTCCCTTCCAACCCAAACCATTCTATGATTCTATGGAAGCCTATAATTTTGCAGGATGGAAGTTAGAAAATAAAAAAAGAATTTCAGAGCAAATTGTCAGTCACTGACACAAAAAGCAAATATGCAAAATAAATCATCAGGGAACCATTGTTCAGTGGACTAAATTGAATAAAAAGGCAGTTAAAGAAAAGTCAAATTAACCCTTTAGACAAAATAGTTATGTTAGGAACATAACTAACTGGAAACATTCACACTAAAGAATGAGGAGTGTTCAAGTCACAGTCTGATGTGAAAGCCTTGGAGGAAGTGGGAAACACTTGAAATGTAATCAAATCAATCTAGACTTTGAAAAACCAAGACATGACAAAAGACCACCAACTGAGGGTAGTCATGAAGAAGCATTTTCTATTATAATACTCTTATAACAGGCTTTCTTGCGTATCTGGCAGTCTTAATTTTGAGAAGCCTCAAGTAGGTCAATCCAAAGTCCTAATGAACAACCTGGATAGGTATGTATGACTGAATACAACAGTTAATTTTGTAATATTTAACTACATCCATCAAAAGTTGCTATATATTCTCAACTCATGCAGAAGTTTGTATTTCTTACTATTGTTACAGATACTAAAAATAACTTGGAAACATGTTTCTATGAACTAACAAATAAAAAACCAAGATACCATAAAGGAAAATACAATTTTTGGGTACTGGACATGAAAACAGAGTTTTCAACCCCAAATTTACAACCTAAATTTCTCATGCAGGAAACAAAAAGAAATAAGTACCAAAATACCTATAGCAATAATACTATACTTGTCAGTAGAGCATTAGGGCTCAAAGCAATGAAGAGTTACTGCATTTTGCATCCAGTTCTCAACATTTTTGAACCATAGCGACATTTAGAGAAGAAATGTCCACAGAGAAATCAGAAAAATGTCAACATCCTAAAGAAGATAAACAGTCTTTGTACAAAGGAGGAGATACAAGGACTCCCTGAAACAATCCCTCAGCCTTGGCCATATTGATCACCACCATTGGTCTACCCTGGCCTCCAATCGGGAGGCCTGGAGACACAGCATCTATAACGCTGCTGCTGCTTTTGAGAACACACGCAGGATCACTCTCGAGGAGAAAAGACAGCGCAGAAAGAATCGCGTCTCGTCTGTATCACCTGGGGAGTCTTTCTGCTGTGCCTTCTGCAACCGGACTTGTCTATCTCGCATTGGCCTTTTTAGCCATCAGCGCGCTTGTAGCAAGCGTGGGTAGAGCCCTTCTCAAATCTTCATTCACAAAGCCTAGCCATGATGACAAAGGATAAAACACTTGACAGTGGAAGTTTGTCTCAACAGGGCAGCAGTAGCAATCCAACTAAGCGTTAGTTCTGAGTGCCTAGCAGTCAGGAGCCTTGTCGAATCAGCTGAATTATTTCAGCCATGAAAACTGATGTTTGTCTATAAAAAGTTAACTGACTCATCCTACAACGAAAAGTAAAACTTTCTAATGTCCCTTCCAAAATTCACTGGGAGAAAAACCTGTACTTTGATTCTGAATCTAAGCACTGTTTAACTTGAATAACTATTCAAGTCAGCTCAATCACTCACTTCTAAGTTTTGCTGAAACATTGAACAGTATGTTTGAAATCCTACCTCCCACCTAGACACTGATGCCTGCCTACAACTGTAATTTAAGAGCTTGAGACTAGTTAAAAACAAACTAAATGAAATCCACAGTTGAAAAGCTCTCACACAGACTTAAGAGACTAATTCAATTCCTTGAATATATCTAATCTGATTGCTCTTCCAGTCTAAGAAGACAACAGCAGTAGACAAAGATGATGCTGCTAGAATCAGTGTAAAAGGTCTAATGTTTATAGCTTTTGCTAATCAAGTGGAGGCCTGTGCTGTGAGCACTTCTTATTGAAAGGCAGCTCAAACACAATCACGTTTGATTTCCTGTGAGAAGACCCTGACTGTTGGTTAGATAAGGGGTAAGGCACTTTCTATTTTTCCTATCAGACCTGTGTAAAGGACTATTTAAGATTTTCAAGCCCAGAAAGAGAAGAAAGGGAGTATAGTTTTCTGATGTAGTGATGGATGCATAAATGCCTGAATAAGGACGTACAAAAGAATGTGTATGCAGAGTGGGAGGAAAGACCTATCTAACAGACTGCTCTTGCATTTTGCATGAAAGAATTTTAAATAAACTTTGGAGGGAAGGAATTTGAGACCAGCATTCCTCATACTAGGCAAAGCCTCTTTTAACCAGACTACTTGCATTTCCTCCAATTTAGTCACTCTCTCTCTGTGGATGAAAATTGCCTAACCTACAACTTTCGCAAGTGTAAGGATAGGTTATCCTTATCTTAATTCCTGTCTTATGGTAGTGTTCTCTTTTCTGAACTAACAGGTATGGACTTGGTCCCTTTTTAATGGAAGAGGATCAAAAATCCAGGGCTTGGAAGATCACATAGCAACTAGATACTTAAAGGAATTGCAGACCCTAGTCTTTTTTAAATGCAACTAACTAATGGTTTCATTTGTAGAGTTAAATGTTGTCAGAATACTCTGCATTTTATGCTCAGGACAACTTTTGAGAACTCTGTATAGACTTTAGGTGTGAAACACATGCAGTCTGCTTAGTACTTAGCCTACATTCCACAGCAACATGCAGCAGACAAACTTTGGGAACCTTAATTGCAACCCATGGAAAAATTTAGCTTTCCCTGTGGGGAAGAAGAACTCTCTGCAGATGCACTGACATATGCAGAATGACTTATTTGCTTTTATTTAGTTTTGGGGTTTTTTTTGGTGGAATTGAATGCTAAAGGATAGGCAACTACTTTCAAGATAAAGTCTATTTTAAACATCTCTCACTGTTTCAAATTCACCTTTCATCCAAACTGCTTTATTACTTAAGTAACACACACCCAAAGAAGAGAAAATTTTACATGCTGAGTGTTACATGCAATACCTTTCAACATAGATGTTCTTTCCAGTCCCAAGAGAATAGAGGCTACAAAGAATTCTGTAACATGAAACTTGTACATCACCCACTAGAGGAAAATAAGAAGTATATTATCAGTATTTATTCAGTTAAAGATTACTTTTCAAATATCAAACATCTATTTTATGTGATCTGTTAAAAAATGTCTAAACTTTTAACATATGTATCACTGAACTTTCTGGCTATCCATACTCCACATGGTATTATTTATCTTCAATTCCTCTAACACCTGGTTTTGTCATCTACATTTAATCCAAAACCTAACTGATCATCAGACATTCCAAGAGGACAACAGATACTTGTTAATAAGATAATTGCAGGTCATCACACTCACAGAGTACAATTTTAAGCTAAACCAACCACATCACTCTGTGTGTCTAATCTTTAGGTACGTGACCTAAAGGTTCACCATACTTTTAAAGAAAGTATTTTCATGGTTATCCATCTTTTAATTATGACCCAAATATGTACAAAATTTTGGAAGATAATTAGAGACATTAGAACATAATAAGACCATTCAGCATATTGCTGAATCTCAAGGAATCATTTCAGTATTTTTAACTAAATGATGCTAAAAACAGGGAAAACTTATATTCAAAGACCTACAGTGGTTTTCACATGTAAGGAAAAAACCCACAGGGAATTGTTGTCTCCTTTAATCTAATGAAATAGGAATTTTCTATAGAAAACTAGTTTTATCCACACAGTTGGTAAGACAGCACTTACGGGGGTATTTTAATTTCTCTCTCAATGTTTGGAGAAATATTGTAAATAATTAATTGAAACTTATCGAGTATTATTTTTACACATGTGTTAGAAATAAGATAGTATGCAGGTAATTTCAGATTTAATGCTGGAAATCTACATGTTACTGAAAACAAAATTCATCCTTTGAATGCATGCAGCATTACTAAAAAGGGTTCTTACAATTATAACACAATAAACTTTTTAAAAAATAAATAAAATACTTACAAAGTAAATCAATTCCAAACTGATGTTGTGAAATATGTTCAAAAATTGATGTCAAGATTGGTAACAATGCTACTGTAGTATAATTGATATTTTGTGAAACACCCTTCATTTGTGTTCGTGAATGAGTAAATTTTCCAAGTTTAAGATTTTCTGAAGTTTTTTCCAAGTCTTCAGCAGCATTTTCAAAAAAGGCACGCAATCCTGCTTTAACGAGTTCAGATCCTGATTTCATAACAGTTCTGAAAAATTATAAGGGAAAAAATATTGCATTAAACTTCAGCAGTTGTATACAAGTGTATGTTAGTTCCATGCTATCAGTCTTACACAGTATCAATGACCTTTACGTTATGAACAGGGAAGAGAATTTCTATTTGAGTAGCAGTATAAGCAACAATTAGCTTTAGCTACTTAATACAAAATAATAACAACAAAGCCCTTGGTTCCATAGTCTTGCCTTTCCAGTTGTTATGATCTGCTTTCAAACAAGATAATGCCTTCTCAGTAAATATCATAAGTGGTGAGAAAGCTCCTCCATAAAATATGGTCAAAAGCCCCCAACTCTTAATCCCTACATTTTTAGGGGAGCCACAGTAACTAGGTATGCAAGTCAAGATACTTCAAAGCACCCTAAATCTATAAAATGCAACCACAATACCAGCATCACTGTCCCATTCCTTAATTTTTTTGCACTCTTCAACTCCTTAATGAAGTTCCAGTGTTGTTATTCAAAAAAGTTCATTGTTGGGCTGCTATGTAATGCAATCAGGCCAGAAATCAACTCAAATTAGAAAACTATTCTGGCTTCTGTTTTAATCTACATAATTGTTTCAATGATAAACAGTAACAGCTAGCAAATGTAACTATGCCTATATATCAATACACTCTACATACTTCTAATGACAAATTTTTCCCTATGCAATAAACTGTTTCAATATCTGCAGGTATCAATATTTGCAGTTCCAAAGTTTGTGTTATTTATATCTCCCAATAAAGTCTTCAAGTGTCCTTGGAAATAGTGACAAGTATTTTCAATGTTTTAATGACAGGTATTGAACAGAAAAATATAAATGTAACACTTCAGACAAAGTCAGTTAATATGAAGGACAATATCTGAATGAATGATGCTGCTAATATAACTCATTACAAAAAAAAAATAAAACAATACAGAAACGACCCAACTGCTTCTGAAAAGCTCTACAATGCCTTTGTAGTTTGTAGTGGGTACAAATGTTGCAAACTTACCGTGTGTCAAGAGACTGAGCTAGGATGTGCAGGCAGTTCACCATTGTAGCAGAATCACTACCTGGTTAGAGAGAGATACTATGAGAACACAATGCTAGAACCTGCCACTTCTTGCTGCTTCAATAGTTTCCATATTCTATTAAGTGTTATCTTAATAGCAGAGCCATGTTCAATGCAGTCACTAATTGCACTAGAAGTTTATGCACCATATTATAGAATTTTGCCAATATTTGTGAAAAGTTTCAGGTAAGTTAGAAACAATGGTTATACATTCTTTATATTTTGAACTTTATCAAGATCTTTCTTAACTTACCAAAAAGTGAGATCCTATGTCTAACAAGAGCAGCTAGCTTGCAGAACAGGCTATAGTAGAAAAAAAACCAGAAAGAGCGAGGGAAGACAAGACAAAGGTTAAAGATTTATTTAGAATATGAGGCAGAGTATTAGGAATGCGAAAAAGAAATCACAACATAGGAAAATCCTGGAAAGCATATTTTTAATGATACATGATAATAGTCAACTGCATTAAGCAGAGTAACATTTTGAATCTTCTGAGGTCTCTCATTTTCTAAGCTTTCACTACTTCAGAAATGACTTGAAATGTGAAAGTTTTGTTTGATTACAATGGTTTCCAACAATTGCATACTATATGGCTGAGTCATTCTTTACGGCTAATATTTCTGAATAAGAATTTTATTTTTTTGCAAGAACAAGAAAAAATGAGAAATATTTTAGTGTTTTACTAGGCATTCTGCAGGAAATGGATGTTAAAAATCTTCATACTATTTAAAATAATTTGTGAAGATATTCTTTGTAAATAAAGAAATGAATCTGTGTTTACCCTCTGATGATGATAAGATGAATCTGGAAATATATACAGACTAGAAGAGTTTCTGGCAAGTATATCAGAAACTTGCATATCTAACCTATCTGCCAAAATAATAGGATAATTAAGTGAATAAATCAGCAGGTCTCTAAAGATTAAAGGGGCTACTTCAACAAAGACAGTGGGTAGACTGGTATATCATTTGTGGTATACTTTACAAATGGAATTAGGACATAACAAAATGAAGCATATACCTTAGGAATTGGTATGGTCTCTTACTAACCACAGATTGTTACTGTTATCTTCACAATAGTAAGGAAATACTACACTTCCTATAAGATGAAAATAGCAGATAGTCACTTTTCTCAATGAAGAATGCACAAAGAATTAGAAGATACTTCTGAAATTATATTAGCAGGTATGTATGCTAGACATCTAACTTCTTCATGTGCCTTGGTAAAGTGACTTTGTATGGCCCTAGTACGCATCCTTCAAGCTTCATTACGCTGACCTGACTGACTTTAAGGAAGTAACAGGAACATTCTGAGAGGAAGCCTGAAACTTAAATGAAAATAAATGCCACTTCCATCCTCCTGAACCTGAGCTGACTTTCCCAGCTCCTGGAGGACTATCTTGCACCTTTGTATGTAATATATCTGAGAGTTCAGTAAAACATAATCTTAGGGACTTCACACTCACTCTTATAGGCAACTGCTATATAAGAGCTACCCCACACACACATAGAAGATGGAAACAACAGGGTAATAATAATTTAGAGAAATGCAAAAATACGTTGAAAGATAAACTGAAGACTGAAATCTAGGAAGGTGAGAGTTAGGCCTGATCTTATGTAACAACACCTAAGTAACCTTTACTTTCAAATTTGATATCTATTTTCCATTGGAAAAAAATAGTTAACTCTGGTCAAAATAGTGAAGAAAAGTAAAAGAAATCTGAGAACCTACAGGTAAAGTAAGAAAGTGCGAGAGTAAAATAGTTTTAAATATTACGTTGTAAAATTTCCCAAAGAAAATAACTGGCAGCACACCTTAAGTGGAAGAAAAAACCCAGCAATGAAAATACTAAGCTACGGTTATAGTTAAAGCCCAACTAAATATTAATTTTTAAATCTGAGTTGCAGGAAAATTAAATTCATATTTTTGTATAGGCAACACATTATAAATTAAAATGCAAATATCTCTTTTTAATTGAGTTCTCTAAAATAACTTTGCATCAAATGGCTGACTCAAACCATATTGGAAACACTACAGACATGTAAAAATTATTACATTCCAGCAATATTTATGCAGGGTTAGAAGTAATTTTGTAGAGAATCTGTAATTCACTCTAGAAAACTGCATCATGGTATTTTTAACATTTTTTTTTAATATATATAAAAATTTAAATAAATGTGAGACCATTTAAATGACCCAACTGTGGAAAAAACTTCAATCAGAAACTGCCACCAACAACAAAACACAAACTCACCAGAAACTAGGTGGTTCCATCACTCACAGAATAATTTATTAATATTTTTATGTTATCATTCACAATTACATATTCAAAAATATATACATGTTATATATACTTAATTCTTTAATTCTATATATATATACATATATGTATATTTATACATAGAGATGGATATGTAAAAGAACACTAAAATGAGGAGTTTTATTTACTCACTGCTATGTTGATAGAGAATAAAATATTCAGTTTTTAGTTGAAGAAATTGAGCTTTTGAACTATCTCTCTCTTTAACCTAAGAAAAGTCCTTTAGTTATCTATATAAAACCCTTCTGTCTTATTTCTTAATTTTCTTCTTACCTTGCTACCATTTCCTTTTCCTTATTTGATGCATATCCACTGCTGCTGAGGCTTTTTGATGGAGAAGACAGGAAGTAGAGGCAGTGATTTGTAAAGTACTGATCAACTAATGGTAAAAGGACCTAAGAAATACAGACACAAAATGTATTTTTTTTACAGAGCTCAGTGGTAAATACTGCAGCAATGCTCTGATTGGTCAAAGTTTATTCAAAGAATTTTAGTTCTGTAACAGTTGTATTCTCATTTCAGATACAAAATCATCCAAATTAAACCCTCAAGTCTTACAATTTTATTAAAAAATAAATAATAAACAGTTATACAAGGATACCCATTTTGGATGTAACAATGTATGGGAATATTTTTTTTCTGATAATTAGCTGATGTTATGCACCTCAGTGATACCTTGCAGTAAAAAAAAAAAAAAAATCAGAAAAAATTTATATATTCAGTGAAAGTATTTAATTTCATGTAAAAAATAAACTACTTTTTTATAATTTCTATGTTTCTTCTCATATACAAGCAGATATATTGAAGTATTTTTAAATATTTGAACCCAGCAAATATACTGAAATATTTTTGAAGATATTCCAAAATGTTTTATAACTATTTGATTACTTACCACAAAAAATGGAAAATATATATTACTATTATGTGAAAAGCAGTCTAACATTACAAATTTCCATATTCTGTATAATGGAATGTATATTAACATTACTTGAAATACTAAATCACTCACTTTAGCAAAGAATTTTATTTCTTGGTCATGTGGAGATTTTTCAGTTTTTCCACTGGTTACAATGGCTTCTGCAAGGATACAATCAAGGCAGACACACAAATAAGAACTTGCAAACTTAGTTTTACTGAAATAAAAATAAAACAGCAGAAACTGTTTAGCTAGTTAGAAATGTACAAGAATTTAATCTGCAAATTAAAAGACAGGATTTCAGATTAAATGCAATAAAAATAGTGTTCGCTACAAATGTAAACATATCAATCCAAATATTTAAATATCAACAATTCTAACTATTTTCAGAATAAAATATGCAGCTTACCCAAATGTGCAATAAACTCTTGAGCAGAATCAACATATTTTAAAATTTTCTTCAGAAACTTAAAGGCAAACCTCTTCTCCATGGATGAAGCATCCAACTCCATGTCATTCAGGCCCCTGTTTCAGAAAGGATTAAGAGAAATAGCATTCATGATGACACAAATGAAGTAGCACAAATGAAAACAGTACCATGAAGCATTCCATGCCTTGTTATCTTTTTATTATGGTAAATTTTTATAAGAAGGAGAAATTGACCTTCCATAGCAACTCTTAGTTATCAACTACCTAGCAAGAAATAGAAACATGAGCTGATTTTAATAAGAGGTATAATGGCTTGTGATTAAAAAAATATCCATAATGTATATATTCTTGGGTAAGAACTTCAGAGTGCTATCTTATTGCACAAACAAAGCCATGGTACATCTGAATCTAACAAAGTAATGCACTGGTCACTCAATTTCTACTGCTGGCACAGTAAACTGCCAAATGTTTAGGAAGTCAGCAGCTAAACCTTTAAAATAAGTCTAACTACTACCCTTCATTTGACTATTCACTGTAAACTTAATTTTTTCCTTGAATTTTATCAAAGACTGAAGTCAAAATTACTTCAGCTACTAAATGAAAATCTAAACGTAACAAACTACTATACTACAAAAGTATTTGAAAAATTTCAATAGTATACAGTAATTTCTAAAGAGGCATGTATTATTTATTCTTTAAGATAAATTAATGACCTAAATCCTGACTGGTACATGCAAGATATTAAAGAGGAATAAAAATGTGTGGTTGTCTGTGCCTAGATTTAAAATACTAGATTTTACCTTATCTACAAATCAAACTTAAGTGACTGAAATTCTAAAATTCTTTAGGATCATAGAAAAATTTAGGTTGGAAGGAACCTCTGAAAGTCATCTGATCCAATTCCCATCTCAAAGCAAAGACAAAAGATCAGGTTGCCCAGAACCTTGTCCAATAATGTACTGAGTAGCTTCAAGGATTGAAATCTCATGATGACTCTGAAGAGCTTACTGTTATTTTTGACCACCCTCTCTGTGAACAAATAATGGTGAAATATTTTCATATATGTAACTGAAATTATCCTTGTAAGAACTTGTTACTCTTGAGAAGACAATGTTTTACCTCATTGTCTCCATAACCTTGCATTCAGTAGTTGAAGACAGCAGTAAATCCCATTTTAAAACTGAAAAAAAATCTTTCCTCAGAGTCTCTCCTGGCATGACATGCATGCCAATCCCCAAAGCATCTCAGTGGCCTCCCACTTGAGTAACTCTTTCCTCAATGGCTTCCTTAGCACTGGCGAGCCAAAAACTGGACAACATACCCCTGATACAATCTCATGATCACAAAATGGAAGGGTAAAAAAATCACCTTCATCGACCTGCAGACCACACTTGCTAATAAAGCCTAGTACACAGTCAGCCTCTGTCATCACGAGGACATATTCCTGTTTCATGTTCAACTTGCACAATTCAGTGTGCTCTTCTGTACAGATGCTCTCAGGCTCAGTTCCCCTATTCCTGGGGTTATTCCATCCTTGGTATAGGACTTTGCATTTACCTTTACTCACTCTCACAAGAGTTCTGCCAGCCCATTTCTCTAGCCCATCAAGGTTCCTCTGACAAGTAGCCAAACTCTCCAATTCATTGCTAAGGATTCATTCCACAAAACTGCTAATGATGCACTCTGTCTTGGCATTCAGGACAAGAACAGGGATTTTTTTCTTTTTCCTTTAGGGCTTTTATTTATTCTGTTTTCAAACATGTTTGCTTTTACAAGTTGTTATTTCTTTTCCTCTTTGTTTCCTTGAGGTTTTCATGTACATTTGTTTAGTCTGCAACTTCTTCACAGTCTCTTTATTTCAACATTAAAAGGACTATAAACTATACTTCAGATTTTCTGTTGATAGATGGTGTTTAACACCTGGGACATCTAACTACCTTGCCAAGTGAGAAAGCAACTGAGTAACATTAAGGGAAACCTCTGGTTACCTATAATGTCAACTTCATTTGCTTCTGTACATACTCGTCAAATAGTAGCAGACAGGAAGAACTGGCCTTTATCAGTTGGAGAAAATGGTTGGGCTAAAGCAGATGCAGAGACTACAGAGGGATAGTGTACTGAACAGTGTGCCAGAAATAGGGAAGAAGGGAAGAACTGGTAGTTTGCGGTACTGAGGCAAAAGCAAAAAGGAATAAGAAAGCAGGGAAGATGCTGGACTCATCATAATATGGAAGAAAATGATCACTTGTACTAAGATGTCTTAGCACTGGTGTGGGACTTAATAAGGGAGAACAAATGAAGATGAGACTAACAGTTCTTAAAAGTTATTAGATTGATCTCATAAGAAAATGGATGTTCTTGACCATGCCAGAATACAGTTAAGAGGAAAGGAACAGTTATAGTCTGGGGATACAGAATCAGAGAACTAAGGAATCCCTTCTGAAACTGTTTCAAACATAGATTTAAAAGGACTCTAATCTCCCATTTTACAGTTTCATTTGAAAAAAAAATCCATTTCAAGAGTTCTAGTTTAAATACTTTTATGAACTCCTACTAATTTATATATCACCTGTGTAATCAAATCATTTGGTATGTATTAATAGTTATGTATGGTTGAGAAGCATATACTGCTGCCTCACTGTCCCTAAGGAGATTAAGTTTTTATCTGTATTTTCAGTGAGATCACTGTACATATTCTCCTTTTGAGTTTATAAGAAGTCACAACTCCTAAGAGATTACATGTACTTTCCTCAATATTGAAAGACATTGGTGGGTTTGTGAAATAACAAAAGCAGCAGCAAAGGAACTTACAGAGATTTACAGATGATTAACAAAATACCACGTTGTTTCTAACGTGTACTTAAGGCCTGAGAGGTTTATCTGTATATCATAAACAAATGATAGTGCTTCAAAAGTGTTCTCAACAAAGAAAGAAGAGAAAAAAAAAACCAAAATGACAAAAACACCAGAGACAGATGGTATATGCAAGGTACACATGCTGTTCCACCTATACATTTCCAATTATAAACAATTTCTCTTGTATTGCTTAGTCAATGTTTCTAAGAATGACATTCTGGAAATGTGATGACTGCAATGAGTACTTCAAAAGATTTTGTATATATATATAAATATACACACATGTATTCATGTGAAGGAAACACTGAGAAGAGAATAATTTTGGTTCATCCTTACACAGACAATTGCTGCAAACTCTTCGCCCACACCAACAGAGTTTGAATGTGCTTTTTCAAGTTGACTTGTCCTGTGAGTTAACACTGAAAACATTGCTCCCCTGACACAAACAGACACAGCTGCAAAATCTGAGCAATTCCATTGGTGTTTTAAAAGATCATTCATTTTCAGGAACTAATCTTATTCAATGGCTCTAAAGCAATTATGGAGGATATAAAACTATTTGGTGGCATACCCACATTTTGGATTCAAGCTGGGAGCCTACATATGTGGCAAGAGGGAATTGTTCTCTGTAGTAATGCAGAAATATATATTTAGAAGTGTTTTATCATATCTTAAGAAAAATAATCAATTGTTGAAGCCAACAAAGTTACCTTTTGCAGGTCCTAATAATTGATTTGTATAAATTTCTGAGTATACTTTCAATAGGGATACAGACTTGAAAAGTAGAAATAAATGAAAATATGAAATGAAGAACATGTACAGAAAAATTTGTTCGTGAATATAGTTTAGTTTACAAAAATGTCAGCAAAATTGTGATTTCTTATGTGCTTAGGTTGTTCCACATACAATAAAAGATGATAGTTAATAGTCTAATAATTCACAATTCCGTCATATACAGCCAAAAACACAGTTTAAGAAGTCATTTTAATTTCACTGACAGTGTAATGCCTCATAGGCCAGCTTACTTTGAGACACAACAATTTAAGTTAGAGTACAACTAATGAAGTCTATGCTTTTGGTTGAGCAGAAGTAAAGATTAAATGCCCACAAAATAGCCACTTTGTTTTATGAATGCACAGAACTCAAACAAGTATTTTTTAAAAACTGGATTAAAAACCAGTTTTACATAGATGTGTTTCAGTATCAAACCTCATATTTATTTTCCTATGATCCTTAGTGACACTGCTGGTTGCTAATTTAGATGCTTAAATTCTCTGCTTTTTCAACTATATTACTGTTACATTTTGTGTTTACTATGATCACATACTTACTAAAAATAATACCTGTCTATATTATTTCCAGATATATATTTCCATATATATATGGTCTTTCTGAACTTAAAAATAACAAAGACCATGATTTATAGAAGATATGCCAAATGGTGATTATGTTCATAACTACCACACTGCAGTGAGATAAAAACATCATGCTGTTTTGTGCACTGAATCTAAATAAGCATACCAAAAAAACATGCAACTTACCGAGATATGATTATACCATTGACTTGAAGGAATTTAAACAGCTCTTGTGCCTTTTCACGGTCTCGTGATTTCTCCTTGGCTGTCAGTGTATCATAAGGTACCAGTAAAGGATGACTACCTCCACCTTTAGTAAGTTGAAAAGCTGTTAGTTTTTCTATTCTAAGATTTATTTAAATTCATGTACAAAAGGAACTATTACATTTTGATTGTCTTACACTGTCTTCTTGCAGATTGTTTCTTCTCCTTTTTTTTTTTTTTTGTGAAGTTCACAGGATTCTGGCTTACCTTTGCTTTCCAACTCCATTTTCTTCTTTTTGGCCCATATATTATGGTAGTTTTCTGCCATTACCTCAACCATTCCCTACGTTACCACCAGAAAAAAAAACGATGGAAAATTAGAAGATGACAATTACAAATTCTGTAATTCTACATGACTTTCCTCTCTTGTGGTAAAGAAACATCACAATTAATGTCAGGTCTACATTCAGGTTTTCTTTGAAGTCAGCACAAGCACAAGATACACATATGTTGCATACTATTATCAGTTCCTTCCCTAGCTTCATAACTTTTTCTGGGAACTCAGAAAGCACCAATGGCATAAACAGCAGAATTTTTGTGTTTTTCATTTTTCCAGTATGTAAATAGTATGGTATACACCTTTCTACAACAGCATATCACAACCACAGTCACAAATACAGTCATAAAGCCTGACAAAATTTAGCTCATTAATAATAATAAACCCAAATCTATTAATTCTTTTCAGCACAATATATGCAAAACACAAATACAAACCTGAAGCTCCCTAGAAAGTGCCACATTAGAGAGATCAAGTGGTGCCGGGATATACCCATTTCCCTGCAGGGAAATAAAAAGATAATTATTTTCAGGCAAAAGTATTTCAGATAAAAGAATGAAGTATCAACTACAGCATCTCTTTTGTTGACCTGATTAGAGTAACCTCATTCACAATTTTAAAATTCCTTGTAGAAACTGTGGGCAGCTATTGTTTTGCAATGTATGGAAGACACACAGGATGATTAAGAGAGTACATCTGCTGGTGAGGAAGTAGGAAAGTTATGCAGATACTTATATCTCTCTATTTGCGAGAGATGGTAAGTTGCTAAGAACTATGCTTTTAGCCTAAGAGAGGAGACCAATCATGAGACATACAAGATGTGCCTTCAAAACATGACAGAATAACGTGGGAACAGTCTGCAAGAACCCTATACTAAAGATAAGACAACATAACAAAAAGATAAAATAGGTTATTGTCTTGAGGAATTTACAGACTAAGAAAAAGGAGGAGCATGATATATTTACAGTCTTCAACTGTTTAACGTGATAAAGCTCTGTGCAACAAACCTGTTAGATACATGTTAAATGTGAATGGTTACATATAAGTCAGTGATTTCAAATGTGTACTGAAACTAAACATGTACTGAAATCCTCTACTTTATTCATGTCTTCATCATGCATCTTCTAGGGCAACAAGGTCCAACTGCAAAACAAGTTCAAATGGCTAGAAGTAGAGATGCCAGAAACAGCAGGATTCCCTGTTAAGGCAGTGAAGTTTGCTGAAGAGGTAAGAAATGCTGTAGTATTGTAACAGAGTGCTCAGGGGCCACTTTTGGTCAGCAAAAACTGGCCCTGGGGAATGAACCCAACACAGGTTTAAGGTGTCAGATACTGATACTCACAGGATCAGTGCTGGTGCAAGTGTACATGGGGAGTTACCTTGTGACACATCTTTGCACACTCCTCACAGGACTGTTTATGGCAGCAGGACTGTGCCCAGTGCATTGCTTATTAACTCTCACTATATTAAAGTATAAATATGTATGTTTAATTCAACTCAAGGGGTACAATAACAATTCCCAAACACTTGTCATAGTTTTAAACAGCTTTCCCCATCCAAGACACAGACATATTGACCAACAGTCTTGACATGTGATTACAAAAAACTACAAATGAAAAAAAAAATCTATTCTCACATCAAAATGTTAGGTAATATATATAATAACCTGAAAATATCACCTGTAGGTTAAAAAATAAAAAGGTGTCAAATGTGAAATCTCATTTGTCAATCATAATTAGAATCTTGAAAAAAGCCCATTTTACGTTCCCCTGTTTGATAAAAAAAAGAAAATTGCCAGATTTGCTAATTAAAAAATGAAAAACTTTAAAGACTATGCTATGTATTCTTTAAATGACTACATTAAAACTCTCTTCAGTTTTTCTGAGAAAATGAAAAGCAATGGCTCCCTGATGTGGTCTCTGATAGCCTTACTATCTTAGAAGCTGCTACCTTTTTGGAATCCACTCTTCAGTGTTATTTCACAGTGTTTATTGTAGCGACATGACTTTCAGTCTCAGAACTCTAACATTACAAGTTTCTTTTCATTAAAAGCATATAAAACTGATATAATTGTGTAAAATTTCATGGTAAATTAGGCCTTTTGCTTTCTAAATTGAAGCAATTCTACATTACCTGACTAGACTGAGATATGCTGCGGAGCTTTTCATTTTCACGCTGATGTATTATTGTTTCTCCTCCTTCCTTGGTCCTTTCCAGGCTCCATCCCAAGGCCAACATGGTTTTCAATGATTCTCTGGCAGGCCAACGATAAATTTCCTTTTCCTTTGATGAAAAAATGCAAAATTTCTCTGTATTTAGTAAGTAGTGAAAACTCAATAAAAATATCCTGTCCTGTATAAATTGTCACATACCGCAAAAGCATATAAAATTTGTATATTATATGAGAACACACAACATAGTTCTTTTTTTGTGAGATGGAAGCTTTGAAATACCTTTTTTTTTTTTTTTATTCAGTTCTTAGTGGCATTTATTGCTGGGATGTGTGTTAGAAACTAACAGCACTGCAAGGAGCTCTGGAGCAATAATGTTGATTAGATCTGGAAAATTATTCATTGATTCCTCCAGCACAAAATAATAAAAATTGATGGCACTAAAAGTGCTATGAACTTATTTAAGCAAGCATGTACATTTGAATACATCAGCACTCAAGGCCTTTTTTTTAGTCTTTCTATATTTATATGCATTCACAGATACAGAACATTACTGAACTATACACCTCTTCATATAAACACAGACATCAATAACAAATAAGGGAACAGCCTGTACTCCAACACCCCTCTGAAAAGTAAAGGTGTTAGAGAAATTCTGAAAAGTTGTGGCAAAAAAAATTTGGAGTAGGTCATATTAAGACTTTACAAATGAATTTTAATAAAAGTATTTCAATTTGTGCCGTAAATTAGAATTTTCCTGACAGTTACTTAACATGACAGCTTTTATGGATAGACCTGATTTTTAGGTTCAAAAAAGTCATAATTTGGGACAATTTAGAAAATTCTCTTTGAACTGCTTAAATAACAACTTAACCAACAATGCTTTGGTTCCTCTCCAAAGATTCAAAAGCAATTTACAAACCTTAGGAAACTAAACCTTTTGAATCCCTCTTAATTTTTGTCATCTTCATTTTCTGAACAGGAAAAATGTGGTTAAGAAGAACAAATTATTTATTTTTGTCTCCCAGTGAATCATTGCAAAAATAAGTAAAAGAATTCAAATTCAGTTCAGTGTTCTGACAAGTAGAACACATTCGTGCTTAGTCAAGAAATTCAAATAAAAATGCATTCAAAAAAAATTTAAATGTTTTTCTGCATTTTCAACTGAATCATCTCCTACGCATTCCTTACATTTTTCTACCATCTTTCTTGAAGACAAAATTGCCTTCAGATATGTTAAATTACACTTTCATCTAAAACCCAGGAGTTGCTGCCAGTCATTCCTCATCCATGGAAGCCTGAAAAAAACATGCTACTCATATACTGAATATAAATTGGCCCAGGCCTATGAAGAAACGATGAAAATTATGCCTAATATAAGCAAATTATACAAGATTCAATGTAAGATTAACTAAACAATCACGTCAGCATATAGATGCACCTATTTGTCATTCTTCCTTTTATATCATATAATTGAAATACATTTTCAAAGGCAAACAAATCAATCTACTTTGTGTTAATGCAGCTGAAATTTCCTCTATTACCTTTTCAGCTAAAGTTTTGAAAGGTCTTATTAATGGGTGAGTCTTCATATTTTCATCCAGTGAAACACCGTATTTCCATCCACTATTTGTCTGGAAAAAAAAACCCAAACAAACAAACAAAAAACCACTGTAATAAGCTGAGAACAACATAGATGAGTGACAAAAAATTAGCCAGCTTACTCTGTCATCTTAAACTGCTAATCTACTCCCATAGCTGCTCAGTGCCACAAAAAAATCGTGCAACCATATGTGGATACACAGGAACAAATCATGCCCTGGACAGAATAGATGCCACCTGTGAGTAGTAGGACTTATGACAGCAGTTCTGAGCCTAATATACATTGGGACCTTTCAAGTGGACTCATGCACTGAGAAAGTACTGACTGAGGCAAAAAAGACTGCCTCAATTCTCTGGGAGGCTAAAGTGAAAAATACAGAGAAGAATATGTAACATTAACAGATCAAGCACTAAAGAACATAACTGTAATGAATTCTTTACCTTAAACAATATTAACTGACATTTATGGTTTGAAATGAATCTGTGTATATTTACATAGCCATATGTATGTGTAATTTTCTCTACAAATTTGCATACATAGCCCCCAAACAATAGGATTGTTGTTTTATATAACTGTTCCATAAAATTGCAATTCATTTGTTATTGTTATGATATATTATTTAAGAATTTATTGTCTTATCTTAGAGGTGTGTAGAAGTAGTGAAACTGAAACACAACACAGTGACAGAGCATTTGGGAAACTATAGATAAAATTAATACATAACAGCCTTCTTAAAGATAATAAGAAAGAAAGGCTATAACTACTTTTTCTGAAATAAAAAATGACATTAGACTGTACTTTCTTAGGTCATGGAGTTGCTGCAGTAAAATTCAATCTCAGCCTCCTAGGCAAAACCCACCATTACTGGGTAAAATGAAGCCAAGAACTTTATATTCTTACTTAAACAAACAAACAAACAAACAAACAAACCCACAAAAATCACACACACACAAAACCCAACACCAAACCCAAACCAAAAAAACAAAACAAATCCCCAAAATCCCCAAACCAAACCAAATGCCCCTTTTTGCAGTCACCTCAGATCTGGGAGTTTGGATTGACAGGAAGCTGAACACGAGCCAGCAGTGTGCCCAGGTGGCCAAGAAGGCCAATGGCATCCTGGCCTGGATCAGGAACATTATCACCAGCAGGAGCAGGGAAGTGATCCTTCCCCTGTACTCAGCGCTGGTGAGGCCACACCTTGAGTATTGTGTTCAGTTCTGGGCCCCTCAGTTCAGGAAGGATATTGAGGTGCTGGAGCAGGTCCAGAGAAGAGCAACGAGGCTGGTGAAGGGACTTGAGCACAAGTCCTGTGAGGAGAGGCTGAGGGAGCTGGGGTTGTTTAGTCTGGAGAAGAGGAGGCTCAGGGGTGACCTCATCACTCTCTACAACTCCCTGAAAGGAGGTTGTAGCCAGGTGGGGGTTGGTCTCTTCTCCCAGGCAACCAGCAGTAGGACAAGAGGGCATGGTCCTAAGCTCTGCCAGGGAAAGTTTAGGTTGGATATGAGGAAGAAAGTTTTTACAGAGAAGGCAATCAGACACTGGAATGGGCTGCCCAGGGAGGTGGTGGATTCATCATCCCTCGAGGTTTAAAAGATGAGACTGGATGTGGCACTGAGTGCCATGGTCTAGTAACCACAGCGGTGTTGGATCAAGGGTTGAACTTGATGATCTCGGAGGTCTTTTCCAATCCACTTAATTTGATGATTCTATGATTCTATGATGTTTGTGTCAATAGATTCTTTGAAAAAATGAAAAATTCCAATGCATTCTCTTGAGCAAAAGGTTTCTTCCTCATATCCCTAAATAAATATGTAGACATTCATACACTCTGAACAAGGACCTATCAGTTAAACTGTCCAGTTTAATTTTCAATATTCATCCCAGGTATCATGTACTAGTCCTTTTATGATAGTTGCCAGTCTTCAAATAATTCCTACCTTATCAAAGGCCCATTTATCATGGGAATGTTCAGCATACTTGCTTACAATATACTCCAACTTTTCAGGAAGTACAAGGCTGTAAACAAAGAGGAGCATGGTCAATCAGTCATAATTTACAGCAGTCTGACTTATGAAAACATTGTCTGTCACTAATCAAAACACTTCACCTCCAGATGATGGGAGACATTTGGCTTTGCAGTTCTCTTTTCTTTAGAAAAAATGTCACAAAAAAGGCAGAGTTATAATGGCATTTACAGAGAATCTTCAAATACTTAACAGTTGCACTTATTAGCAATAAGAAACAAGAAATGAAAACCTCCTTCACCATAATCTACTGGTAATTTTGTTGCTAATTCTTTATACAGAATAATAGTAACATGGTTGTTACACATTGCATATCAATGGAAGAGCAAGACTAATATCAAGACTCAGCCAGTGATCCTCATTTCTTGAATATAAAAGTATTAGAAATCTGTATTTTAAAAGCACAAGATTACTAGGAAGGCCAAATCTCTATTAAATCATCCTACACTATCCACTTATTTTGCCACACAGATTTCACAGATCAACTCTCAAAATAAGGTGAAGATTGTACAAAAATTTGGCAATAAGCCAACTGAATCCAGATTTTTATGATCTTGTACCATTTGCCATAAAGACACTCTAAGCAGTGATGGTGCCAAATGTATATATCCCAAACTTTTGAACTGTTAGACAATAGGGTGTACACAATAAATATAGAATTTACTATGTACTGTGCAGATATAACATGGAAATTTTAACACATGTGCAGTGCTGAGAAGAATACATTTCATGTAAACAGGATATGTTGCAGTGAAGTATTTGACAGGAGGAAGCAATAATCCCTACACTACTTCTGAGAGGTCCTAATACCACTAACAGTCAGTCAGTCACTAGCCAACTCTTCCTACAGATGAGAAAAAAATGTTAATAAGGAATAGTATAAAAATATTTAAGGAAAGGAAATCACTATGATTTATATGACTCACTTTGATGTGCTGACAGGCTTGGGATCAAAATTTCCTTCTGGATCCATTGAAGTCTGCTTTTCTAAAGTTGACATAATTCGTGTATCTAAATAATCAGGGGGCAAGGCACCAGCTATAGCACTTAGACAGGGCAAAGCCATTCGAAAGAGCTCTGGATCATACTTCTGCAGGAGAGATAGGAACTGGTTGGAAAATCCAACAGAAAAACATGCAAAATGTTAGTGAAAACCAAGCAGCCATATGCACAAATATTAGAAGATGCAAACACACAGTAAAGCGCATTTAAAATTTAGGCATAGAGCAAAGTTATTGCTGCATGACATCTATTTTTCATTATATCAACTTTACATATTTTTAAGACTACAGAAATTACACAAGAGCATGCTGACACTGTGTAAGTATATATAATATGAGTATGACTCAAGTTTCCTTTGGGCCACGAAGGCCTACATGGGAGGGATCAAGGGTTGTTCACCTTGTTACAGAGTATGATCATCTATAAAATAATGCCTTAGTTCTAAAATTACTACTTTCTATATTAACTGCAGAAGCCACGTCACTCTCTTTCCCCTCAAACTATTTCAGTTTAAAACATACTCATTAAAGGAAATTGTGTTTCACTGTAGCAAAGTCAGTTCATTATTTCTAGTAATCTTAGTACAAAAGAGAACAGTGGAGAACATTGTAGCTCAACAGATCACAGATTTATACAACTCTTCTTTCACTGGGCTGATAACCATTTGCAGAAAAGTGAAAATGTTATTATAATGAGCCACCAATATTGGCAGAAACATATCTTCATTTATCTGTTAAAAGTTAAGATGTACTAATTGGAAGTGTTTCATTGTGTCAGGTCCTTCTGATACTCCTTGCACTTGTGAAAGCAGTAAGAGAGAGGTAACTGCTGCTAAAATCAAACACAAAGCTTAAAAAGCCATTTCAGAATAATGAAGAGATCATTTTCATTTCTGTATTATAAATCAGAATGCCTAGAGGAGAAATCATCTAAATCTGTTGCTTAGAATGGGAACATTAGTGAGACGCAATGAAAAAGATTTGTTATTTGTCCCATAGTGAGATCTTGATTTTTGAGCCCAATCAAGCACAAAAAGTATTTACTCAGTAGAGCATTTGTCCCACCAGAAATGCAACTTTTTCTTACTCAGAGAAAATTGAGTAAGTTAAAAAATCCCAAGATCATACTTTCGCACATGCAAATAGAAAAATGTTTATTTCGCAGAATGTTGCATCATATCTCCTAGGCTGGGCATTAGTCAAAAGACTTAAATAATATATGTTTGAAAACAGACAGCGTAAATTTACTGTGCATATACCAACAATTTGATAAGCACATACATATGTGTATTAAAATTAATTTTATGTCAGTAAAAAAATTTACAAATATTTAATAGAGTTAAGATAGGACACAACACCAACATGTTAGGGTAGCAAGCACTAAATACCTACTTGTGTATTTATGCGTGTATATATGCATGTTATATATATACATATATATATATATAGTGTGTATGTATTACTTCATGACTAGTGTAAACCTTATGGGTATATCAAGATAAAGATTTGACATTTCATTGGTTTGGAGAGAATCTTTCAAGATTCAGCATTCAATTTTTCACTTCATTAAAAGCAGTCATTGCTGTATCTCCCATATTAGATGAAACAACTGTCAAAATAGGAACCTTCTGCTCTTGGCACAGCAAATTATCACTGTAAGGCATTTATTGTCACCCTATACTGTAATGTGAATGACAGTCATTACCTTATGAGACAAGGAATCAAATATTCCCCAGAAAAGTTTTTCAGTTAAATGTAATTCTTCTTCTGCTGCAAATCCATAGCTTCCCATTCCTGAAGGCAGACAATAATATTTCCAGCACTGCTCATAGTGATTTGTCAGAAGCTAGATTTTCAAGAAATAAAAATGCATGTAAAACATTGGTAATTAACAAAATAACAACTGTTACAAGAGTAGAATTATTTGTCTCTGCCTCTTCATTTCCAATGGCTCATAATAATAGTTTTTTTACTATTTAATAATTTAATAATAATAAATCCCTTTTTTCTTTTTTGTTTTGGGAGAGCAGCAGAGTCCATATTGTGAAAGTATAAATCCTGTATTATCTCCAGCTACTGCTGTGGGATTCTTAGTGATGACAGGTAAAAGCAAAATTTCAAGACTGTCACCATTTGAGTACAGATTAGCTCACAGAATAAAAACAGAGACCATGAAGTGGGTATGAGGTAGGATATGATAGATTCTGATAAAGAGTGTTACCAATTCCAATTGATTTTACTCCTGTCATTTGTAGTTAATGGCCTCAGTATTATTCAAAACACTGCAAAGGACACCCACAGTACATCCTTTTACTGTGACTGTTCTTCTCTGGAAAAACTGGTGGAAAAAACTATCATATTGGCAATCTGTAATATACCAGTTAAAGAGCTAGTGTATTGACTACTGATGTACTTTCCACCAATTTCTTCTTCAGAACTAAAAATTCCTATCCCATGGGAAATTTAAAAATTTCTTCTAGCATTTAGCATTTTAGTTTTTACCGAGATTCTGTTTAGGAAGGGAAAAATAATAATTAAAAACCCAAATCAAACACTCCTTCACCACACTTCTAAGAAAAATTAATGCTGATACAGAGCATGTTTGTGAATACGGCAGCTCGGATTTAGAGGATGATAGAATTTCAATTCTTCTGTAAAATCACCTATAAACCTTAGATCATGCTCTTTTATCCCAACAGGAAAGTGAAGCAAACCTGTCAGAATAGTTTTAAATAAGATATATTTATCATCTCACATTTTGAATTCTCTATTTACAGAACAAGAAGATTAATAAGACTTCAGTTAAAGATTGTTCAAAAATAAGAGGTCAGTTTTCTTCCCTGTATTCCATCTCTTAGATTTCACACAGAATTCATTCCTTAACTGTGCATCCTACCAAGAGTTATTACAGTTTATATAGCAGCAGAAGAAATATTAAGGTAACACCAACATTTAATTTGATATATTCAAATACTCTTGCTGAAGCAGTGAGAAAGTCAACAGTTCACTCAACAAAACTGCAATGATCAACTTACTATATACTGTTTACATTAGACAAGATTTCAAAAAACCTGCAAACATTACATTAAATTTGAAAGACTTTATAAAATGCTTACATTATTTTCAATTCAGAATTAATTTCACTTTGTTTCACCCTACCTGTTCTGTTTTTAAAAACACGATGACAACAGTTTATTTTGAAGTTTCATGCTGAATGCGTGTACAGAAAGTGAAGTATTTACCTTAAGAGGCATTTTACAGTATTCATTGAGCAGGGGCACATCAAAAACCAGCCTTCTCAACAGTTGTTGTAGCATAGAGGGACGTAAGTGCCTGTAATTTTAAAAAATAGATGTTATTAGTAAACATCACACAGTTCAGCAAAAATGAAATAAAAATTGAATGTACATATTGGGATACAAAACACTCATTAAAAGTATTTTGTAAAAACGATGGTAGGTGCTTAAGGAATCTCATCTGCATACAGAATGATATAGCAGAGGATGTTGTGCTACTTTCTTGGCCCTCTTAAGACAAATCAACATTTCAATTCCTAAGATTCAATTCCTCAGTGCTTTAGGATCAGCTTTAGGAGTTGGTTTTTGTTTGTTTTCGTTTGTTGTTTTGGGGTTTGGTTTGTTTTTGTGGAGTTTTTCTGTTTGGTTGGTTGGTTTTTGTTTTTTGATTTTGGTTTTTGCTTGTTTGTTTTGTGGGTTTCATGTTTTGGTTTTGTTGTTGTTTTTTGTTGGTTTTGGTTTTTGGGTTTTTTTGTTAAACTATGGTCAAGGTTTCTCAAACCCCAATCAGAAATAAAAACAGGTTGACCCCTTAAGTCCTCAACACATAGAGTCAGACTTGCCAGAACATTTTTGGCAATTACTGGGGTTTTATTTTTACAAATAATCAGAATTTATTCTATATCACCATAAGCCTGATATCAACATGACTGCCTCTACAGTGCAGCATACCGAATGGAAAAATCAAATGCATTTTTGGTTCAGAAAAAAAATTGTTACACACAATGGTCATTTATTTCATGCAAGAATAAAGTCATCTTAGTTTTACACTATACACAAAGAAAGAAATTGTTAAAATACATATTCTGCACAAAAGAAATGAATTTGTACACAAGTGTCATACATACTGGCAAATAGCAAGCAGGCATTCTTCAATAGTGTCTCTTTGTGCTTTTGTAAGAGATCGTCCCTTGGATAACCTATATATTGTGTGAAGCATGGAGTCAACCAGAGAGGCATGATGCTCTGTTCCAGAGAAGAGGGGAGCACATCTTTTGAGTAATGGAAACACAGCGGAGCAAATGTATCTATTTAGTGCCAGAGCTGCCTCTGTGGTACTCAGAGAAACCTGTATGAAGTAGTAAATGATTGTTAGTACCACAGTGAGTAAAGGTTATTAAACACAAAGTCCATAAAACATACTAATTAAATACTCCTTAAGTCCCCTTAGTGGCTGGGTGCTAACATGATATTCCCAGTACACACATGAAGACAAAAGCCATTTTTTCTCAACTAGAGAAAATCTAAGCCATCCACTTATGTCCTATGTCTTGCTCCACTGCACTTTTAACCAATAGCAAAATAAAAGAATATGCAGATTCTTTCTTTAAAAGGTTAGAAAAACTCACTGAACATTAAGTAGCACTTTTCATCTCAATTTCTTCATACATATGTATTTTCAGTGTAACTATTGGAAGTACACATGAAATAGAAGCAATCATTAGGCTTATTACAGTATACTCAATGTATTTATTTCACTACTGTACAATGTGTATTAAAAGTTTTTAAACTACTTTACATTGTTGCTTCATAAGGTGCTACTGTATGCTTATAATCCGACTTAAGCACTATAAAAATTAGTAGTAACTGAATTAATATTGGTTTTGTTTTATAGTAAGCCTGTAATACCTTTTTTAAAAAAAGCAGTTTTGACTTGAAATTCCATTTTTTAACACTTACAGAGCCACTATATCCAGCCACTGCACCTAAACTCCATAGCAAAATACGTACTGTATCCAAAGAGGCAGAGGCTCTTAAATCTGGTAAAAATCCAACTTCCAGTAGGTGAAGGAGGAAGCTTTGGTCCTTAATACCGTAGACACGATCCAAGAAAAGTACCATGGGTGCTTTATGGTCAGGACAGAAACTTGCAGACATGTCTGGCTCATTTACTGTGCCATCTACACAAATATAAATTGCAATTTTAAATAGTAGATAACTGATAAAACAAGAAACACCATGACAATGAAAGATGCTATAATTGCATTTAATGTGTAAAATTGCATATTCAAAGAAAATTATATTCTTGTTCAGTTTTCTTGTATGCTGAAAAAGAATAGTAAGTTTTTATTATTTAAAACACCCTATTATTTTGCAGTTTATTAATCTTTCACTCTCAAATAAAAGCTTGGAAATTAACGATAAAATATTCAACTTGTTTCATTACTACTACAGACAGTATTTATATGGTAAAATTAAAGATAAGTATTACTGCAAATACTAAAAATACACAGCAACTGTGAAGTCAAAGAAGGTTAAGAAGTTTAATTTTTCTGTCATGTAAACTAGACCAGAATGAACATGGAATCCAAGGGGAAGATGACAATAAGAACTGTTATTGACCAGTGTCAACTGTGTATCTGATAAAACATCGCTGACTGCAAAGGGGTAAAGACAATTCTTGTGAGCAGAAAGCACAACAGAAACACAAAGGGGGATAAATTATTTTGCCCCAGAAGAACATGGCAGACTGGTAGTTTATAGCCCATGGAACATGGAGAAATTAATGTGCAACATGAAGATCATAATGCCATAAACCCTCTTGTCCTCTGTTGAGTTTACGTTTTACAGAAAATTTTGGATTTTATGGTTACCCTGGAAGTTATTTTGTGGAAATAAATCCAGCCTGGATAACCATATTGACCAAGAATCAACAGTCACCTAAGAAGCAAGAACACTACGATCAATAAACCTCTGTAATCTGAATTCTGATTCTGAAGTGGTTTTGAGTAAAGAAGGTGAAAGCTCAAGAGTCTTCACTGACTTGCCTTTAACAGAAAGTGTTAAGAAGGCTGTTAGTTCCACTGACAAAAAGTCAGTCTCAACCTCAGTGATATGTAAGGATCCAGGTACAAATAAGGAGCTAGATAGTTTAATGCAGAGAGAGCAGCAGATCTGCACCCTGGTCTCAGGTCTTCTATGTATACACATAATACACATTTGGGCCTTCAGAGAATAGTCTCATTCCCCAGAGGAGAGAATAGAGGAATCAGAGTAGTAAGAGAAACAGGATAGCAACACTTCAGCTGAGCCTCAACCCCACAGTGGCAACCACTGAGGTACTTAGGTGGTAAGTCTTGGATAATTTACCTGGGATACCTTGGATATTTACCTGGGAAGGAAAGATAGCATCTTAAGAGAAGAACCTTTGCACAGAGGCTTCCCTGGTGGTATACAGAGTCACCAAGGATATGAAGTAGCAGGTAGTGGAAGTGGGAGATTGCTGTATTATGCACTAAGCTGAGTTGCTTCATGATGTTTAAGAGAATTCCATGATAACTTGTCTATACTTCACGGAAGGACCTTGTGTGAGGCAGGCAGAGATATTGAAGGGGAGTATCAAAGTCTCTAAGGATGGGTGAGATTGTAGTGTAGAGAAGAGGGATTTAGTCAGCTTGATTATTAAAGAGTGTATAAATTTGGGATAAGATGAACGAGTACAGAAATAGACTGTCAGCAAAATCTCAGCTCTGGATATGAGGAGAGCAGACTTCAGGCTGCTCAGGTAATTAGAAAGTAAGGTCCCCTGGAAAAGTGTTTTTGCAGGTGCTGAGGTCCATTAGTGGTGATCACTTTTCAAACATCACCCCCTAAGAACACAGGAGAAGGCAATTCCCTAATGTCAGAAGTCAAGCAGACGAGGCAGAAGGCTGGCTTAGCTGAGCAGGGATCTTCTCTTGAAGATAAGGCAAAAAAGGAAGGTGTATGCCCAGTGGAAGCAAGATCAAGTGGCATGGGAAGAATTCAGAGATGCTGAAAGAGGGAGAAAATTCCTATGGCCAAAGCTCAACTGGAGTTGAAGCCAGCCAGAAATGTGGGGGAAAATAAAAAGAGATTTTTCAAATGCATTAATGGCAATATATTAAATATATTTCAAATACATTAATGGTAGTATAGAAACATCACCAGGTCATTACAGTATGAGGATGGTCACCTCACAAACAGGGACAGAGACAAGGCAGAGGTGTTTAATGCTTTCTTTGCCTCTGTCTTCAGCATGGATGACAGGCCAAGGGGGTCTCAGTGCCCTGAGCTGGAGACTCTGCCATGACTATGAGAATGATCAACTCCCAGTTGACCCTGAAATTGTGTGGGATCAGCTGCTGCAGATGGATCCCTACAAATCTATGGGGTCTGATGGGATTCATCCCAGAATCCTCAAGGAAATGCTGATGTCATCAAAAGCCTCTCTTGATGACTTTTGAGCAGTCTCAGGAATCTGGAAGGTCCCAGCTGACTGGAACCTGTTGAACTTGATGATCCTTCCAACTCAGCATATTCTGTGATTCTATGACTAATAAGAGAGAAATCAGGATCTAGGATTAAACATCAGAGTGGAACATTATACCTAGAAATTGGGGAAAATACCATAGATATAGAGTAGCATCTTTTTCAAATCAAGCTAATTTCAAAGCAAATATGCCTGATTTTCACTTTGTCTGAAAAAGTCATGTAAAAATAAACAGCACAGTTCCAAGAAACAGCAAAGGTAACTAAAATGCAATATGCATGTGTGGCATTTTAATCAAGCAAGGACAAACAGGACTCAGTATATACTGAGTCATAAATGACCTATAGTAGGAAGCAAAAAATGATCTTAAAAGTCTGTGTACAGCACTAAATTGTTTGGATAAATTGTTAACAAAACTGATTGGGCAAGTAGACAGATGTGTTTCAATGCAGACAACTCCAAGCTAAAGTATCTGCAGGAAAATAAGACAGACCTACATGATGCTGAGCTCATAACTGACATTACAAAGAGATTCCAGAGGTCATAATTGCAAGTCTGTAATATCATCAGCTAAATGTGTAGCTGCAGCCAGATGAGTCAACAAGATATTGGGCACCATCAGAAAGGGCTATTCAGAATACAGGATATGTATTCAAATATGTTAATTAAAATTAGTAGCACATAAGTTTGGGGTTTGTTGTTGTTGTTTGTTTGTTTTTTTGTTTTGTTTGTTTTTTTAAATAAATGCTTAAAATGTAGCAAATAGTGAAGTTCTAGAACTTATTGCCACAGGAGTTTGTGACTAGAGACATTATTCTAAAGTGATTAGATACGTGCGTGGATACCACATCCAGAAACAGATGTTGATGGGCAGAGAAGTACACTGATCTTTCTAAACAAATGACTGGATGATGTGGAAATACAAATGGACTGAGCCTAAGCTCACATATTTTACCTAAAGAGATAGCATCTCTACAGCCACTGCTAAAGACATTAATGTGATCTTGTAAAGTATTTCTTATGGTCTTACATTCTCTGTTCCACAGGAGCAAATATCTGTGCTACTAGAGTAGTTCTAATTGATACAGATCAAATTAAAATTTGAAGAACAGTTCTCTGCTCATATTCAACTCTAACAAAACCACTTTATTTTACACCTGAAGGGTTATGTGCTGAAAAGACTTTTATGAAAGATAACTAGTCTAATAAAAGTATTGTCATTACCTTTGTTAACTGTTGACAGTTTTAGTGGTATACTTATAATCCCAACCAAATCTTCAGTTGGCACTAGAGATCGAAGGATAGACCTGATTCGAATAGCTTCCCCTTTTCCACTTTGAATAAGCTGTTAGGAAAAGTTTATCAATTAAGAAATTTAGTACTGATGGACATAAGAAAATTTTCCTCAAAATATTTACATTAATATGATTTTTTCAAACACTGGAAGAAAATTCACAGAAATTCAATTTATCTGAAAACTCTAATGAAGTTGCCAATTTCCAGCTGTTCCTCCTTTTGCTTCTGTTCTTATTTTGGTATCATAGCAATGATTCCACAATATTATAAGTTCCCAATAACACAAAAAAACCTCCACAATGGTAAGATTTCTAAACCAATCCGATATGGTGATAAAACTGAAACTTATTGAAATACTCATATTACCTATAGAACCTTAGGTGCCAGGTTTTGAGCTTGCTTCTTTACACTACAAACAGATGCAAATCTGCATGATGTGGCTATGCATTTTTCTATTATTTCTATGCCATAAAAATCTCAAAGGGTATCAACAACAATTAGGTGACCAATTCCTTTCAACTTCTTGCAGAAATCAGGTATTCATAGCCTGTGTCTGAAAATCTCTACCAGTAATTTTCTTAACATAAAAACTAATGTCTCTGGCAACGGAGAGCTATGTACAGCTAATAAAGTTAATAGCTTTGGTAGTAGGAAGTAGGTAGGCTACAAGCCAAACTTCATCCTTCTTATTGTATTGAAATTCATACAGCATTTTCATCTGGGCTTATACTAATAAAGAATTTTCAGTACTGAAGAGCAAAAGCCAGTCTAACTAAAACCAAGATTTGCTTTGATTCCATAGTCATATAAAAATTATCAAAACTTCAGATAAATAAAGAGTGTAAAGGAATCAAAAGACCATTACTCTTCATAAACAGCTACCAGGGAATTGATCTATCTAGATACAGCAAGAAGCAATAAAGTCTACCTCCTGAAGGAAGTCTTCAAATATAGAAAGGTTTAGTTAGACATGCACAGTTATGTTTACAAATCTCCTACATTTTCTGAGCAAGTGACAAAATGAACTTACATGCATTTCTGGTGCACAGCGTCCAAGTAAATCTATAAGAGCTGAGTAAAATGACATGATTGCATTACCCATGTGCACAGTCTCCTCTTCCTCCTCCTCCTCATCACTAAAAAGTAAAGAATAACAGTGAGCATTTTTGCTAATGTAAGTTTATAGTTCTTCTGTGGAACTAGAGACATGATCCAGAGACTATTAAACAGACATACTCATTCTCCTTGGTTCTAGACAACAGGATTTTTATGCCTAGAGTAAGCATGCAATTGAACAGTAACAGATGACTTCACACGAACCTTCTATCTTCCTCTTTTACTTTACCTTAACCTTAGCTTCATTCCACAACAGCCTTCTCCTTTGCTTTGTTCATCAGGCTTTTTCTCTCTTTCTGTAACTCTCATTCTACTTTCATCCAGCTTATGCTTTATGAATTCCATATGACAATTGCTTGTGGGTGCAAATCTCTAATGCTCTATTTTTGCATAATGCCTTACACAGCAGGGTCTATTATCCCCTTATTGCAAGCATGATTGAGACAGCTATGAAATCATCATTTGCCAAACAAGCTTTCACGTTTACTTACCCTTCTCTTTTATATGCCTGGGAAGGAAGGTCACGAGCAGGATTCTCTGAGATCCTGATAGCTTCCTGCATAGCAGCCAGCAAACCATTTCCTCCTTCTCCTCTAAGGTCTGGCCCAAAACACTCTGGCCGTCGAATAAGGAGCTTGACAACAACATTTGCATTTTCCTCAACACTTTCACCTGAGGACCAAAAAGAACTATACATACTCTCTCCTGAAAAGTATTCTTAAGTCAGAGGAAAACTTCATTTTTCTCCTAAATTTTACAAAATATGAAACAAATCCTCATCCTAATATTTAAAACAAAAAATGTATTAAGTTGGCATCGTTGGATAAGCTTTATCAAAACTGTACTGAGGTTTAAAAGTGCTAGTGTAGACTTGCCTTGCAAAAGTTCTACTGCACTCAACCTAGAACAGTTCACTTTGGAAGGTTAATTTTCTGGCAAAGATTAATCTCTCTGGTATAAAGGCTAACAGTCCCAAGAGGCCAGAAATCTGCTATTGCAATGGGTGGGAAGGACAAGGAGAAAATAGAAGAAAGTTGTGACGACTCATAGATTGAGATAACGACTGTCTAGTAGAGAAAGAGAGAGCCATGTGTGCAAGCTGTACTTGGTTTGCATGATCAGATTTTGGTAGCAAGGAGGGCTACGGAGGGCTTCTGTGAGAAGTTGTCAGAAGCTTCTGCTATGTCTGACAGAGCCAATGCCAAGGCCAACGCTAGGCCAAGTAGAAATGATGGTAACATTTAAGAAGGAGAAAAAAGTTATTGTGCAGACGTGATTGTGGCCAGAGAAGAGAGGAGTGTGAGAGAAACAGCTCTGCAGACACCAAGGTCAGTGGAGAAGGAGAGTGAGGAGCTCCAGGTGCCAGAGCTGAGGTTCCCCTGCAGCCCATGGTGCAGCCCATGGTGAGGCAGCTGTGCCCCTGCAGCCCATGGGGGCCAATGGAGGTGCAAAGATCCCTCCTGCTCATGGAGGAGTCCTACACTGGAGTAAGTGGGAAAGAAGGCTGTGAACCCATGGGAAACCTTGGGTTGGTAGAGCAGCTTTGGTGGATATCTGGCATTCAGCCAGGGTCAACCCACCACACCAGCAAAGCAAAAAGACAAATTCATTCACTGTTTCCCAGGCAGATGTTAAGCCAGTTCCTAGAAAGGAGCCCAGTACACGTAACGGTTGTTTGGAAAGACAAGTTCCATAATCACAAATGTTTCCCTCTTCCTCCTCATTTTCCTGAGCTTTTATTGCTGAGCACAATGCCACGGTATGGAATATCCCTTCAGGCAGTCTGGACCAGCTGTCCCACATATGTCCCCTCCCAACCTCTTGCCCACACTGAACCTAGCTGAGGCCAAGGAAGGAAGGGAAGGGGCAGGGTATGAAAACAAAGGAGAAAGCATTCATGCTGCACAAACACTGCTCAGCAAAAAGACTAGCACATTATCAACACTATTAATCATAAATAAAAAGTGCAGCACTAAACAAGTTGCTATGAAGAAATTAACTCCATCCCATCCAGATCAGGGTGTGAGAGTTCTTCAATTTTTAATAGGTAAACTAAAGCAAGAAATATTGCTTAACATTATATCCTTAGTATTTCATCAGAGGAAAACTCATTTCAGAGTTTAATCTTCTCAGTATGACTAAAGAATAATAAATTGTATTTTAGGTTAAATATACCTAGAGTAAAATATCCTGATGCTTTCTATTGCATCTTTAAATATTTGTTAAATTTACTTGCTATTTAAAGCCTGAAACTGGATACTTCTTTTTTTATATATATATACAAAAATCCCATTAAAATCAGTTTTAAAGGTCATAGTTTGCCTGAAAAAACCCTATTTATAAGAGTCTTGTGTGGGAAAATGTATGTATATTTTCAAAGGGAAAAGAGTTAGTTTAAGTATTCTGTAAATTCGGTACAGGCAAACACTGATGCTTGCAGAATAAAAGTCATTAAGAAAAGGAATCTTCATATAAATGAACTCTTTCCATGTAACTAACTGCTTTGTGGACTGCAGTTAGTGGTAGGAATAATAATTATGTCAAAAGATCAGCTTGTGGTTAAATGCAACTGTTTACAAATTCACGGTGGCTATCTTATAAAGAATACTGATTATAGGATGTTATGAAATTAATGGGACATGTAGGAGGAAGGTAAATTACAAGAAAAGAAACAGTTCACAGTCAGTGAACTTCTGATTTCAGTAGCCTCGATCATCAGTATCTATATTTTACATGCAAGCTTCAATACTAAATCATTACAGAATACAGTAACAAGTTCATATTAAACTGAATGTTGTAGCTTTAGCAGTCACAAAAAAAGTAGGGCTAAAAACTGTAGTTTAGCTGAGAGCAGCAGTGGTGTTACCAGCCAAGTTGTAGTAAACGGAAGCCACCACCATAGGTGAGATATCCAGGACTGACTGGCTCTGGGAGCAACTAAACACTTTAAACTTGTCAGGGTTGTATTTTTACAACTTATGATCTTGATATGGAACACAGGGATCCTACGGAGAGAGAAAACAGCCTCAACTTGCAGCCGGGGAGGTTTAGAATGGTTGTTTGGAAAAATGCCTTCAGTGAATGGGTTGTCAAGTATTGGAACAGGCTGTTTAGGGAAGTGGTGGAATCACCATTCCTGGACATCTACATTTAAAAGACATGTAGATGTGGTGCTTAGGGACATGGTGTAGTGGTGGACTTGGCAGTATTAGGTTAATGGTTAGACTCAGTGGTCTTAGGGGTATTTTCCAAACCATAAGGGTCTTTTCCAAAAGGATTCAATGATTCTAAACTTTATTTACTGACTTTGCAGAGATTCTGCCTTTGGTTTAGGGTAATTTTCTTATTTTTCCTTCCCCCCCCCCCCAGCTTTTTATACAGCAGGGAAAAAAATCAGGGTTTAAAATCTTAATTTCAACCATTTTAATTTCATTTCATCAAGGCCTTCCAAGTGAAAATTTTAGAAATAATTAAGTAAAATCTATTAGCAAAAACTCAATACATACCTCGCTATAGATATACAAATGACCATAAAACACACACAACATTCAGATAATTACCAGATACTCCCAAATCCTTGCATGTTTTATGTATGTTTTGAGGAAGAAAATACAAAATACATATTGTAAGGAGTTGCTTGATTCTGCAATGGGGATTCAAATAGCAAATATAAATAAAATTATAAAATGTAATTAATTTTTAGTTTAATAAAAGCATTACCAGTATTGGTTTGAGTGGCTCATTTCCAATAAAATTTATATTTAAATGTTAAAAATTTATCTAGATTTGGGCGTTTTTTTAAACACCGGTGATACATTTTGTAAGAATTGAAATTTCCTGTAAAAAGAAGAAATATCAGAAAAAGCCCCTTGCAGGTAGTTTTAATTCAGAATGTGCTGGAAAGAAACTTGCTTTAAGAACAAAGGTGAAATTAATCCTTAATGTCACTCTACTGAAGTCAGTAAAAGTTTATGAAGAATTATTAGTTTACATTTTCAACTGCTTGTACACTGTATTTGTCATTAGACTCTTATTCTGACCTTCTCTGTATATATATTTCTTTTTCATATCCCTTTTGATGGGATATCAAATTGTTGAAAATAGCTTTAATATCTTGCAGTCTGCTCTAATTTACCTCATAGGTCAAGTTAATGAAGAATTTTGCTTGAAGAAAGAAGCTTTGTCTATTCCAAGGATTCATTGGTCAGAACCAAAATTCATTCATGTGTTTAGAAGTGTGTTTGTTGCTTTTATCCCAAAACACACATTTTACTAATTTATTTGTAATTATTTTCTCAAGCAGAGGACACAGAGAAATTACTAACCTTATTTCAAAAGTGCTGAACTGTACTCAAACCCTTCATAATGAGAAGATTCAAAACCCCAACCAGAACTGTTTTTCAGAAATAAACCAACTGAAACACTTGAAATTAAAACTTAATTATATTGATTAGTAGTCCATTCATCAAAGTTTACTCTTCATAATAAATAAACAATCACAAGCAAGACCAGAGTTATTTTCATCTAATTTTACAGAGCACTGTTAACATTTATTAATACTGTTTAAACTTATTTCCCTTTCCCTCCCTTAGCTGCTCTTTAAAACCCTTTCCATATTGGCAGACAAAATTGGTGATAAACTGATAAATCTTTTAGTCTCATCTAATCTCTAATCTAAATTACTATTTTGATGAAAAAAAACTTCACTTGAACAGAAGTATGTTCTTGAGTGACATTTAGACATTACAGATTTGATTTTAACATATGTACTTAATAAATTGTAAAAGGAAATTGCCCATGGAAGCAAGTTATCAAAGAAGATTTTATCTTTTTTGAAGATGTCAAATGTAAGATACACAGTCAGGAAGCTTTACAAACATTGATCACTCAGGATTATGGAAATGTACTTTTTGTGATGCAAAATGCCATAATTATAAGCCTCTAAATATTCCACTGGTCCTAGTGGCCCAGACAGGTCTAAAAGCAGTGCTCAGTGGTTACGTTTATAATCAGTGTATGGAGTACATGTAAATACTTGAAGAATTCCTAACATCATTTGTAACCATAACAGGTTAATCTACTAACTGACGTGATTTTCAAAAAGATTAAGAAAAGGAAAAATTAAGAAGATTAAAAAATATTACAATAATCTGCATATACCAATAATCTTACATTTGTAATGAGAAGAATATGCATTAACCTCTCTTCGGTCATTAACACATTTTTATGGTTAGGAAAGTAATTTAAAGGAAACCTTTTGATGGAATTTGGATGCCAAGAAATTACACTTACTATTAACAAAAACTGCAAATCGTAAGAATGACAGGTAACGTTCACCCTCTATGGGGTTCCATCCAATGTCTGGATATCCTTTAGCCAGCAATACTGGACAACTCTGCAAGCCACAACCTGCCAGGTAGGTAACAACCTATAATACAGAAGCAATCATTTATTCAGGTGTTCAGACATAAATTTCTAAACATACCTATTAATAATAAAAAAAAAAGAGCATAGTGTTTTCTTTTAATCTCAGCATTTTTTCTATACTAGGCATTTCACCTAAGGAAATACCAACATGTCATTATTTTATCCATCGTGGTTTCTTTTGATGATGATGAAAAAAGGCCAGGCCTGTTCATTCCTGAAGTTACCTAATTATATGATGACACAACAATACAAAAACATGAACAAATGCAGAATGTGAGAAGTAGAACAAAAGATTATAGATTCCAGATCTACTTACAGGACATAAGAAACTGCTAGAATACTATTTAACAACTTTAAAAATCATACCAATAACCATGTATGGTTAATTTGTTAAAACAGCAAAATAAATATTACTTCAAAATTTTATATATTGTAATTCTGATTTTAATAGATATAAAAACAACTACATTTTGCAAAAGACTAATAAATATCAATGAACAGTTTTAAGAATCTGAAACCAGAGTGATAAAAAATTTTGGTACTATATAAATTTTTAACATAGCATTTCTTATAAAGAGTAGTATCTTTAACTAAGAGAAATCTTGAAAAAATTATGAAAATTAATTATAGTAAACTGAATTTCTGAAACATACAGAATAATTTCTCATTCATCTTAAAGGAAATTTGCAGATAGCTCTACAAATGAGATTTTTGGTTTTGCTTGAAATACACAAAGGACAACAAGGCTATAGTACTTAAAATAGGTAAGGAACATGAAGAATCTTTCATGAACTTGTAAAGAAAGATACAAACTATACTTTTCTTAAAATGGAAGGCAGCCAAAAATGGATGGTAAAAGGGAGATACATGACGAGATTATACTTAGTCATTATCTAATACCCTAAGAGAAAAAAAGTGATGAATTCAGGAAGAAGAATTATATCTCTGCTTGCCTCCAAAAGGCTGCAATAGAGGAAAAATGGGCTGATGTGAAAAATTTGCTTATGACAGTATGCAGTAAGGAAGTTACTCAGAGCACTCTGTGGAAAAAGTATGCAATTCCTAACAGGACTTGATAGTTTTCAAGCATTCATTCAGAAGATATAAGTGAATACACACTTGTAGGAGTCTAGAAATGCAGCTCATATAAAATGTGAGAAAAAGAGTAGAATAAATCTCTTTTTCTTTTTTTCTTTTTTTTTTTTTTTCAGAATTTACAATGTTACCACCAAGCCACATAGTTTTAACCTACTCAATTTACTACAATACATCATCAGGCCACGGGATACATTTCTTGTGCAATCCTTCCACACATTCACACATTTGCAGTAAAAAGAGTTTAAATTTCTAATGGCAAAACTTCGAAAGTTAAGTTACCTATGTGTAATTTATTTGCTTTGAACACAGGCTTTATGACACAAACGTTAGTCATCCAGAAATGCTGTATCATTCTGTGAACAGGGTATGTCTGCCACATTCATCAGCTGATAGCAAGACAGTTTTTCTTGTTATTTGGTGTATACATGTGTTTACTGAATAACATCCACATACTGCACTAGGTAAAGTTACTGACTCAGCAAAGGCAATATATTACAGCCAATACATTACCATTGTTACAGCTAAAATGACTGATGAGTTAGAAAAGCCCAATCTGAGACATATACAGACTGATTTTTCAGCATAAAATACTGCTTATGTTGCAGTTGATATATGTAAGTGTTTGAACATTCAGCACTTGTATGGTGCCAAGTATTTCAAGGTAAGCAGTTAATGATCAACAGTGAAATTCACAGAATCACAGGATATGCTGAGTCGAAAGGGACCTACAAGGATCATCGAGTCCAACTCCCAGCCCTGCACGGGAGCATCCCCAAGAGGCATACCATGTGCCCATAAGGATCGACCAAATGCTTCTTGAACTCTGTCAGGCTTGGTGCTGTGACTAGGTGCTGACTTGCTCTACAGTACTTTCCGTGAAAATATAAGACACTCACTAGTAGTGTTCCAATCACTAATGTTATATCCCAAGGGTTGATATCAATACCATTTAATTTCTTCATTAATGACAGGGCAGAGTGTACTCTCAGCAGGTGATACAGAACGGGTAATTCTTCTCAACACTAATTTTTCCTAATCAGTTTATTTCTGTGCTGTCTCACATCCTTTCCATTTATATTCTTGTCTCTGTCTTCTAGCTATCCCCATAATATGCCCATTTATTCCAGTTTCACAGCTTTTCCTCTCCTATACCACATGCTGATCACAAACACTCCCACAACCAGTTCCACTCTCATCACAGGATTCTGCCATACTGCACAGAGATTTTCCCTGTGCTAAGCTATCATTTAGGTGCTTAACTGTTCCATCAATTTATATTAAATGCTGCCTTCTGTTCTCTCTATGCCAATGCAGTGTTAGCACATATCACTTCCTTTCCCTGCTTTCCTCTTCTTCTGACTGTGCACCCATTTTCCATTTCTAAATCTGTTTTTCTCCTGCAATATACAAAGACCTTTCATGTGACTTTTTGTATTTTACCGCCATTTCTAGTTCATCCTGCCTCTCCTCACCTCTCCCTTTATTCCTAACCATTGCCAATGACTTGAGTCCTAGATTCAGTTTCCCACTGCAACTACTCTTAAAATCCTGTTCCTCCTTTCTCTTCAAATACCTGCCCTTCCATTCTCTTGGCTATAATCTTCATTCCCACCAATCTCTATGATTTAAGCCAAAAGACCTGTGTCCTTTTTTCCCATTCTCTTCTTAATTCTGAAAATTCCTTTCTCCTATTTCATGTCTTTTTTTTGCCATCCTTTCTAGCTGGTAACAGTAGTGAAAAGATGCATAAAATAGAAATAAATCTCTTTTGCTGTGATTCCCAATAAGCACAAAGCAAAATCAGTAAAAATAGTGCTCATTCAATCATAGTGTGAAACAGAACATACCTAGAGTAGGTATTTCTGAGGAGATCATATCCAAGAATTACTATGACCAAACTTGCCCTCTTAAACCCTTCTAGCACAAGTACACCATCTAATAGATGGGTAAAAAGGTCAGAGAGACCACTTACCTTATCAAGATCTGGCTCCTCCAATGCGAGTGCAAGTTCATTGTTGTCCATAACAGAAGCTGCTGCAACATCTAGTGGTGTCGAACCTCTCATTGAAGGAAATGCTGCAGAAGTCAATAAACAGTAATTAATTTGAGTTTGCAGTAAACACATTCATTCAGCAGAGGGCAGCAATCACGCTGGAATCTAGAACATAAATATATTCACAGTACTTTGTAGGGCCGTTCTTCATTCAAGAACATGATCCAACTGTTTTCAATATTGTGAAAATAAATGCTAAAATTTTCTTCTGACTTGACATCCATATCTATAAATATACTCAATCACACTGGTTTCAAATGCAGATGAAAAAAAAAAGTATTAACAACATAGCAAATCAGAGGAATACTATTTCTTTAGCACAGTAACATTAACTATGTAATTCTGCACAACCCTATCAATTCAAGATTTTAAAATATACCTAAATGTAGCCAAAAGAGACATTTCAAGCTTCAGTTACCTGTTTCTTTCCTTAATCTTTTCCCATTTTTCTGTTTTATTATGGTCAAATGCAGGTATGAACAGCAAAAGCACTGTGAAATCACACACTATCTTGCCTTGTTATATGTTATTATTATAGACATCTATCTAGCCAATACAATTTTCCTTGTATTACAAAATCTAATGCACATGCACTAAAAACCATACATTCAATGTTCCAAAGGAAAAATATGAAATTGACTTCCGTAGCCTGAACTGCAGAAGCAAGGAAAATGAAACCAGATGAAACAGGTAAACACCACGCAGGGTCAATTTAATCTTAGATTTCAAATCACAACTATTTTGAATGAAACTCTTCTGTTTCTAATACAGTTCACAGACACATTAGGATGAAAGGAAAATGATTAAAAAAAAATTAGAGGTGAAATCACAGTGGTTTAAGCATGTTTCAACTTGCTATACTAATTAGACACTAGTCTTGTGATATCACAGTTGCTCCTACTCTTGCTTTTAGCTATTACAGTTACATGACGTACCCAGTCCAACACTGCTGTTTTCCAGTAAGTAACTAAGATGCTCAAACATGGCCTTTTGGTTTTGACGACTAATTCGACAGAAGTAGCACAGGAATCGGCAACAGCTTGCCACCATCTTCGGAAAAGCGATCTGCTGAAGAAGAAAGTTGACAAAGCAGTGAAATATGTTAATTACCAATCTGTTCCAATTCTTCCTGCACTCCTAACAAGGAAACTACAGTGAAGTTACCAAGGTGATAAGCATTTGACAGTTTCTTTGGTTCTAACTTAAGAAAGAACCCACATTCCCTTTTTACTTTCATCTTCATTAGGCCATTAAAATGCTGAAAAATAATTTTGCAGAGGACTAAAGGGGACCCAATAAGGAATATATTCTCTATATTATATATAAATATTCTATGATATTCAAGGTGATATCTAAGCATTTTAATCACAATATCATGAAGTTTTTAATTTCCTCCACTTCATACGTTTAGACTATCAATAATAGTGCTTATACTTTATTATAAGAAAGCCTAATAAATGTCTACTTTACAGAACTCCATTCTAAGTACAACCTTTTTAATAAAGAGACAACAGTCTTTCAAAAAAAGTGATTATGTAATTAAATGTGATATGATATATATTATCCTTACAGGTGCACTTCTTAACTTCTGGAGACTTGATAAATTGTAGTTTTACTTTGGCACAGGTGTTTTTGCTAATATATCCAGCTCATTTGCCTATTTCAAACATAAAGGAGCTATTATGTACAAGCAGCATTATCTAGCATCTCTGCTCTTAGATGTAGGGTAGATGAAAATGGATTCCTTAATTCATCAAAACTTTCAGTAAAGTTTCCAATCCCCAGATTACAGAGATTTTAACAGAATGCGTGACATAACTTGGTTCAGAAAACTACAGTAACAGCAATACTGCTAAAAATTGTAATTTCAGAAATTCCTCATTATTGTCAGGAATACGTATTAGTATGGAATTCTAAAAATTTCAATCAATAGGAAACAATTTTAAAGTAAAATAGTTCAATTCTGACAATCAAAAAGGCTGTTGTTTGGGATTCTTTGAAAATGAATGAATGACCATCACAAACCCATATGACATTAAGGTTCCAAAATTGTAACATCTAAAGACATAGACTTTAAAAGAACTATTTTAGGCATTAAGATACACACTAAAACCTAAATGTAATGGAAATGTTCACAGTTTGCCCAATAATTTTCTGGGATATACATTTCACAAATGAAGTACTTTTCCAAGATTTTGTCAGCCAGTAATAGCAAAATACTTCTAAGTTACTATCTTCAGCCACATATATCCTCCTCTGGTTTTGGGTCATTTATTAATAGCACATCTGGAAAAAAGCCTGACATAAATTTTCTTCAGATTGAATGGGCAAGTTTTTACTTTTCCACCATTCCTTTGCAGCCACTACATCTCAATACAGCTGCAAGATAAAATCATTTATTCCAAGAAGCTGGAGATAAAACCATTTTCTGCTACAACCTAGAAAAATGCCCAATCCCTAAACCAGAGACTAAATTATATGGTTGTTCTTTCCATCTCTCAAAGATATAACACTTAATAGAAAGAAATGTCCATGAGGTACCTAACTCTCTCCATGCATTTCATGAAGACAGACATAAAACAGGACATTTTGGGTGGTCAGACACATTTCGAGCTGAGACATAAGGTTGCTAAGTAAATTTCTAAGTCTTCATTTCCTTTGAAGGATATCATGGTAAATTCTGAAAAGTATTTTTTTAGACTTCTATTACTAAAATTTTCTGTGTAAACATTTTTAATGGCATTAGAAGGTATTGAGGGGTTGTTGTTTTGGGTTTGGGGTTTTTTTTATCACCTATGATTATATGTACAAGCTCTACCAAAGCCAGAGCATTGTGACACCCACAAATTGCCAGAGTATTGACCATTTTGTAATTAATTGTAACTTGTCTTGAAATGAAGCAGAAAAAGTAAAACCAGGATGCAAATACTTTGCAACAATGCAATTGTATAGGCAGATGCAATGTATAAGTATTTAAGATACTAATATGAGCTATATGACCAAAGAGACAAAGAAAGGGGGGTGCAGCTGCACATGGAAGGCAATCAAGCAATGAAAAGTTGACAGACAGGGAAAGGATAAGCAGAAGGCAGTAAAATGGGCTGAAAAGTGTTCCAAATACAGGACAAGAATTGGTAACTGGGCAAAAGAAAAGTAGATAAGCAATACTGAGATCAGAGACCCCCTCTTTTTGGAATGGAAGCAAGAGGTAAAGACATCAGGCATAAGCAAAAAGAAGAAACAAAACAAAAATAAGCCCGCTTCACTTCTCACTTTCTTTAATAGTGAAAATGTTCAGTTAGGCTCCTCAAAATTTATACCACTCTACCTTTAAAATAACACATATATACTCAAGCATAACACTAAGAAAAGGGAGAACACAAAACTGCAACAAAATTATTGCTCAATTCAAATACATGAATTTAAATATTCAAAATTAATTAGTTGTTAGTCTCTTATTATAGTGTATTGGTAATAATACTTCATCTAAGATGAAGAGGCATATTTTCCTAGCAGAGTTACACCTCCAATAAATGCAGTTAAAGTATATATTTAATTTTAAATAAGAACAAAATATTTTACAATCTTATTAAAAGACAAATGAAACACCTCCAACATCCCACTCACTTTTTAAAAATCAGGTCTTAGACTCCTGGGCTTCTCCCTCTAGTACTATAAAACATATTGAACTTTTATCATTAATGAATATTTTAATTTGGAAAAGCAAAATCTAGCTCATACAAGAGTGATATATTATTGTTTGGTTCTTAAACATCCTAGTATACTTTTGGAAAGGTTCAAAATGTAGAACACGTAACAAACTTATGGTGAAATTACCTGAGATTTATCTCCTCCAAGCACATTCACCATCACATCCATAACAGTCTCATGCATGCCCAAGACTCTCATTAAGTTCGGATGCTGATAAAACACCTTGTTGTTCATTATATCCCTAAAATGGAAGAAAAGGAACAATTTGTTATTAAAAGAATCATTTTAATATAAGTCGATGCATTATTTCAGAAACATGCATTCACTGTAGTAACATAATTTCAGATTCTTAGACTTCAGCATAATACAAAACCACCTGATAACTAACTTCATATTTCAATATGCTATTGTTCCTTGTGGATTCTTCATAATAAGAATATTAACTTTTAAATTATTTCAAAATTGCATTTCTCATCTCTAAATTGCTCCAACCATCAGTTCTGTTTAAACAAAAAAAAAAAAGTGTTTTCTGTGATGATCTAAATGGAAAAGAATATATTCCGTATGTTTTAAGTTGAAATCGGGGGTCAAGAAAATAAAATCTAATCATGTTTCTGTAGTAGCACCTCTTAATTAATTTCCTCAGTTCATGAAGTAGAAGACAATGTTCAAAGTCACTGGTTATACATATTTCATCAGTATTTCCAAATTCTGTCAGAAGAAGTGAAGTGGCATGCAGTCCCATTAAAAGGGACTATTTTAACTTTTTCACTCTGCCCACCATCCTCTCAAAATGTTCTAGAATTCACTGTATTGGTTTCATAATCCAGAACACAATTTGTATGTTTCAATAGAGCCTAGGGATTAGATTCTAACAGAATCCAGGGATTTCTAACATTTTAGGCTAACCTATGAAAAACATATGCCAAATAGCAGGCATCACGCCTGCTTTAAAGAAATACCAAAAACTAAGAAGAGATGACTCACAATACAGTACCCCTGTGAAGGGGGCTATACAAATACCATGTTCAGACAAAGCCTGCCCTTTATCCCTCATATCCTACAATTGTTTGATATATATATGTATACATATAAAATATCTATTTATATATATATATTATGAAGAAGAGTAATTGTTCAAACAATCCAATTGTTCAGTTGTTGAAGAAAGACAAATAAATACAGTTCTCAAGTGACCATACTAGTATTTTCTCTCTTTCTAAATACACCATTTTATTCAAAGTAATTGATTTTCTGTGATTTTTTTTCCCTTAAACATTAAATGGTCTGACAAGCATTTATTCCCTTAAGAGGTACGCAGGTATGTACCATAATAATACAACTGCTTAACAGAGATAATTTCATAGCAAAGATGCAGGAAAATATTCTCACATCATCAGGTGATGATAAAGGGAATTTTGTATAACTCTAATGCAATAGAGGAAAAAATAAGAAGTCTTCTATGTTCAAACACTTAAAGCTGCCACTGATGGTGAAATAATAAATACTAACAAGTCAGAGATATTTCAGTTCACAACACCACTTTCCTGGTTCTACCTAACTGCTTGCACAAATTTCCAATTGAAAAGACACCAGCAAGTTTATTCAATCATGTATGAAATATAGAATGACTTTTAATTTTGGGAAAGATTTAGTATGAACACCAACAAAGATTTTAGTGATCTCTTTCTCCAGAGCTGCTAAAACATGTACTTTGATGAGGGTTTAAGCATTAGGCTTAGCTACAGTACAAGGAGTCCATTTTCTTTAGATAATCCCTTAATTCACAGAAACTTTGACCCATTTGATACTGCTAGAGAGATCAATTTGAGCCACCTTGGAAATATATGTGAAAATGAAAATTTCTGGTATATATTTTCATTTCAGTACAGCATCAATTTTCATTCAGGTTCTAAAATGACAGGATTTATTAATATAACAAAAAGTTTCACACCAACTTAAAAATAAAGTGTTGTTAATTCCATACCCTAATCCATTAATCATCAGCAGTTCCTCCTCTTTTCCCATCCTCACACTGAGAAGTGAGCGAATCTGGCCCAGTGCTGCAAGCAGATTAATGGTATCCTTCACAGAGGCAGCACTAATAGTATATGCTTTTCTCAGAGCTTGCAGTAGCTCACCAATACTGTCATATTGCCTACGAAGGAGGCTGTACATAATCCGAACTAATTCAGGGTCTTGAATCTGATCTTCTTGGGACCAGCGCACCATAGTCTGGGATATGAGTTCTTTCAGTGTAGCTGAAAGTAAAATACATTAAATGTTACTAGGTATTCCGATAGAGAATGTAAAAAAAAACATACTATAGTAAAATACTATCTAACAGTAGACAACAAGGCAGTTGTAAAATAGCAAAAAAACGCACAAGCAGACCGTACAGGATTTTTGAAACTGGAAAAAAGACTTTTAGATCTTTCAAGGTAAGTGTGATGTTCTTGAGAAGTGGAAAACAATAACCATCTACTTAGCGTTCAAGTCAATACTAGCCTTGCTGACAATGAAAACTTTTAAGTTGATCATGACTCTAAGAATCATCCTTGTAAATGAAATGCTACATTTAGACTTTAAATTTATCCTTCATTTCTATATCAAATCACTGTCACTTGGGAATACACTTTCTAAAAACACTGTATGGTTTTGAACTGCACAATACGTATTGCTTGAAGCAGTTTTGTTGTGTACATTACACATTCAATGACACTGACAAAAATTCTTCTGAGCCTAGAGTTTAGGAAATTCACCTGAAAACTAGAAACATTTTCCAGGCCTTGTTAAAAGCAAATAGAAAAATATTATCTTCCTCTGAAAACAATGCAAATTTCTATCTTCTATTACCAGTAAAGATATCTACCCCTTGAATTTCCCAGAGTTCTTCCAATGGTTAAGAATGCTCCCGTCCCACTTTCCATCACAAAAGTGTTTATAGCTAATGTAGATCCATTTGGTTTTGTGTCTACATTATGCTTTTGTTTGCTAACATTTCTCCCTTACAGTTTACTTAATACTGTATTTATGCAAACCCATCATTAATTCAGAGGTTTTATTTAATGAAATGGCTTTTACTCTGTGGGTACAAATTCTGTTCTCCATAGAGATAGTCCTGTTCTTAGTGGCATGTTATGCTTTATCTCATTTTTGACTTGATAGTTACTAAAGTCCTATAATTATTAACCCTGATTTGTTCCCTCTATGTATTTATTCTCAGAATTCCAGCTTGTTTTTAAATACAAATTTTCCTGATTTGTCATTAACACTAGGTTAAATTGTTGGCATTCCTCTCCTTAGGTAAAAGTCCAATTGTCATTAGAAATGAACATATGCTTAGAGGAAAGGAAGATTTACTTGTAGCAAATAGTTTCCTCTTATGAATATTCACGCTCAGAGTATGTATTACCAGACACTCAAGGCTTTGATTGGGGTACCTCAGACACCCATTTCCTCTACTCTTTGAATGCCAAATTTATTGGTGTGTAAAGGGGAAGTGCACACATGGACTAAAAATCTCACAGTCTCCAACTACAGTCAGGTATATAATATAATATTATAATATAATATATTTATATAAATTTCCATCATGCTTTGAATTACTTCATCCATGTGCATGTTTGTACTATGCATCACTCCAAGTATAAACCCAACCCTGAAGAGATTATCTGAAATTTCTAGAAAAACAGACACTGTAGAATCATTTGTCCAACTATATTTCTTGTGACCCAAAGAAAATGAAATATATGAACTGCTCTGTTCCAAGGACCAAACACCATGTGCCCTGAGGCTTTAGGATTGAATATTTCCTGATTCATGACAACAGAATCCTTAGCCTGGAGAAGAAATGATACTTCCAGATACTGAGTAGGTCCTGCTACTATTAAAGAGGAATCTGATGCTAACAGAGGATTCACTGGAAAATTAAACCCTGTTTCATGCAGCATATCAAATTATTATAAGACTGAATGTACTTATAAGATATTAGCAAGCTTAACAGACTAAAATACTCTTTCAGATCAGGAAAAACACACTCCAGTGCTTTACAGAACAAGCAGAGCATGTAAGAGGTGTCATGAGTTATAAAATAACTCTGTTGGCATAACTGAAATGAAAATATACCATAAAGAAGAAATTTTGCATTTAAAAAACTCAAACCATAAAAATCAAGACTTCAGAAGTTCAGAATGCTTAAGTCTAGATTATTGAGGCATAATTAACTTTTTTACAGTTCTTCATAAGGAACATGCAAATTTTCAACCCCAGAGTTACTGATCTTGATCCAAAATCTTCCACTCATTTTAACTTCTTGTTTAACAATGCATCTGAGATGATCAGTATGCAGGAAAATGGTTTCTAAGAGACAGAAGAAACTTAAGCAGGTAGTCTCCTTCTTCAGTCCACTATAAAACTTTATTAGAAAACACACTCCTGTTGACTGTGTAAACTTTTAACACTTGCATCATGGAAGTATTTATGTGGAAAGAAAACTTACTAGGAGATTTCTCTTCTTCCTCCTCAGGTTCCACTTTTTCTGCTTTTGGTGGACCTTTGATTTTGTACATTAATGAACGGAGTTTGCCAGTCAAGGAGGAATCTTCCTCTTCCTCTTCCTCTTCTTCTAATGGAATACCTTAGCAGATAATAAAACTGCTTAGAAACAAAGCTTAATCTTTGAAGTTTAACTCCTTCATTATTCAAACAATACCAAAATATCTATAGTAATAATTTTTTAACCAGCAAATTTCATACAAAATATTTAAAAAACATAGTAAGGCCAACAGCTTTAACATTTTAGCCAAGTAACACCCCTCAAATTATTTTCTCTTCAGTACATATACTTCTTATATCCAGAATTATAGTAGTATTTTTTCAATATTATGACCAAAGAGGTGGTATTTCTTAAGAGTCTACTATGGCAATTAAATATGACTCAGAGTCATATTTGATTAAATATGTGTTCCTTTGTTTCATATTGCAGAATGTAAGCTAAAGAAAGAATGGTATGACTATATCTTACAATATAGTACAATTTTTCAGTTGAGATATCTAGTAGTCATAAAAAAACATATTAACTGAATTTGAAGTTGTAAGAAGGTAGATATTCAGAGAGTACATGGGTGACGCTTTTCATGAAAATGTGTACAATGAGATGGGATGTCACTTTACAAGGCAGTTTAATACAGTTCATCTCACTACACTGCTTCACAACCATCTGAAGTCTTTCACAACTCTTAGTGATCACAGACACCAGGTTTATGTGCAGAAAAAAAGAACACTTAAGAAAAGAGCTAATTGTGCTTAGCTGAAATGAAAGCTTTTGTAGTTTTTCTGCTTGTCAAAGTGAAATTGAGAAAAGGAAAAGTTTTCCAGACTGGATACTAGAGACACAAAATGGAATAGATGGTAAAAAATAAACTGAGGCTAAAACTGGTACAAAAAAAGAAACTAAGAAAGAAAACAGGATCTGAAATGCGATATCAACTTGGAGAAACTTTGTGGCTGGCAGCTACCAAGGAAAAGTTGAAATTTGACTAGGAGTGACTAAGTGACTAGGAAGAAAAAAATTCAGAGGCAGTGGGAGGAAACGAAAAAACTCAAACTTGAAATTGGAAAGTAAATATGGAATTTAGGAAATGGGATGAGTGAAAATGGTTGGGCAAAACGAAAAGCTAAGAATGAAGGAAGGTTACAGTCTGTCCGAAAAAGTAAGAACAGGAAATGTAGCCAATATTGAGACGAAAGAGAAAGTAGACAAGAATATTAAGCAAAAGAAACTATCTGGAACTGAAATAAAAGTTAGGTGCTGGACACAAAAGAGATACTTGGAGGAAAATTCATCAGAAGTTGAAATGGACAAAGAAGAAGAAATGCACTGGGATGATGACTTAAGACAGCGTCAGAGTAGAGGAGATGAGGTCTGTCACTCCTCCAGATGGGGCTTTCATTCACTGTTCCATATATTAACTGTTCATTCTGCATCCTCTTAAGGGTTGCAATCCATTCAGAAGCTGACCATCTCATTTTGCTACTGGTTGATGACTTAATTCAAATGGTAGAGGTCTGTGCACTGGTACAGATGGTTTCACAGAATCACAGACTATGCTGAGCTGGAAGGGATCCAAAAGGATCAAGTCCAACCATTAGCCCTGCACAGGTCCATCCCCAAGGGTCACAACATGTGCCTGAGAGTATCATTCAAATGCTTCTTGAACTCTGGCAGGCTTGGTGCTGTGACTACTTCCCTGGAGAGCCTGTTCCAGTGCCCAGCCACCCTCTGGGTGAAGAACCTTTTTCTAATATCCAACCTAAACCTCCCCTGACACAACTTAAGGCCGTCCCCTCAGGTTTTCTCACTGGTCACCATAGAGAAGGTATCAGTGTCTGCCCCTCCTCTTCCCCTCATGAGGAAGTTGTAGACTGCAGTGAGGTCTCCCCTCAGTCTGCTCCAGGCTGAACACCCCAAGTGACCTCAGTTGCTTCTCATACAGCTTCCTCTCAAGGCCCTTCACCATCCTCATTGCCCTCCTTTTGACACTCCCTAATATCTTAATTTCTTTCTTACATCACAGTGCTCAAAACTGTACACAGTACTCAAGGTGAGGTTGCACCAGTGCAGAGCAGAGCAGGACAATCCCCTCCCTCAACTGGCTGGTGATGCTTTGCCTGATGCCCCCAGGACACAGTTGGCCCTCCTGGCTGCCAGGGCACTGCTGACTCATATTCAACTTGTCATTGACCAGGACCCCCAGGTTCATTTCCGTGGCACTGCTTTCCAGTGTCTCATTCCCCAGTCTGTACGTACTTCCAGGGTTGCCCCATCCCAGGTGCAGAACCCAGCACTTACCCTCACCGAGCTTCATATGGTTGGTGATTGCCCAGTCCTCTAGTTTGTCAAGGTCTCTCTGCATTTAAGTAATTAAAGATGTTGAAGAGCACAGGGCATAAGATGGTGCCCTGCAGAACCCCACTAGTGACAGGTCACCCATCTGATGTCACCCCATTCACTATTACCCTCTGTTCTTAACCCATAAGTCAATTGCTCATCCACCTCATGACGTGTTTATCCAGCTGTGGGCTGGACATTTTGTCCAGAAACATACTATATGAGACAGTATCAAAAGCGTTACTGAAATTCAAAACATTCCATCGACTGGTTTCCCTTGATCAGTGGGGTGGGGTACCTTGTCATAAAAGGAAATCAGGTTGGATAAGTAGGATGTTCCTCTCCTGAAGCCATGCTGGTTGTGACCAGGGACTGGATTACCTTTCAGGTGTTTTTTTAATACTTCCCAGAATAATCTTCTCCATAACTTTACCAAGCACCAAAGTGAAACTGATAGGCCCATAGCTTCTGGGGTCCTCCTTCTTGCCATTCTTGAAAACTCGGGAGAACATTCACCAGCTTCTAGTCAGTTGGAACCTCTCCAGATTCCTGAGACTGCTCAAAAGTCATCAAGAGAGGCTTTTGATGACATCAGCATCTCCTTGAGGATTCTGGGATGAATCTCATCAAGCCCCATAGATCTGTAGGGCTCTAGCTGCAGCAGCAGATCCCATAGAATTGTAGGGTCGACTAGGAATTGATCATTCTCACAGTCATGGTCCTCCAGCTCAGGGCACTGAGACTCCCTTAGTCCATCATTTATGTTGAAGGCAGAGGCAAAGAAAGTGTTAAACACCTCTGCCTTGTCTCTGTCCCCATTTGCAAGGTGACCATCCTCACCCTGTAACGGACTGATGATATTTTTACACTGCCTATTTTCATTAATATGTTTGAGAAAACTTTTTATTGTTCCTCCCATTTCTGGCCAGCTGCAACTCCAGTTGAACCCAGACAAGTGTGAATTTTATATTATTCAACAAAATATGTTGTAATTTTTTTTCCAACCAAGAAATTACAAATAAAAATTATGATAGAGAGCTCTTATTTTGCCAGAAAAATTAACCACTCAAAGTTAGGACATGCTAGGATTAAGACTGCCTCAGAACTTTAATTCAGAGTATTTGCTTATGTTCATTATGAAGAAGCCTTTAATTACTTGATTGCCTACAAATTTTTCCACTTAGATTGCAAAGTATACATAGTAGTAAAAAGCTGATTAAACATTCAAAGCAGAACTCCTTCTCCTTTATCTGCAGCTGTGATTGCTTAGTACTGATTTTCAGGACCAAGTCAGGCCACAGATAATGAGGAACATTTATCCACAGTAACCACGTAGGATAAATCTCTGTACAAAGTAATGAATATGGTTTTGTCTAGAATCCAGAGGATCTTTAAGCTATTTTCATCATGAGACAGTGCTTCCTCTATCTTCAACTCTTTTTCATGCAGCATACACATTTATAATGTAGTGAAAAAAATAATAGAACTAGATCCCTCAAAAGAATAAACCAAACACATACAATAACTAGTGCTTCACCTTATGGAAACAGGAAGAGTGATCAGGAGCTAAACTAACTCAGTGATCCTACCAGCCACAAGATTCCAAGGTAAAGCAAATAGATTGCAGAGTTAAGACATTTCCAAGTAAGTTGTGGGTCTTCCATAATCTCCATCCTGGAGTCTCAGAGAACTCTCTGCTGCCAAATAAGCACTATTTTTGAAAACAAGAGGTCAGATCAAGGGCTATGTGACTGAATAATGGAGATGACAGTAATCTTTTATAATGATAGACATAATAAAAATGTGGAGAAAGAGGAGTAACTATGAGGATATTGATTATTCACTTTAACATTTGGAAGAAAAACGATGGAATGAAAGAAACAGTTTTTGCTAAGCACTTAGAAGCAAGGATGAATGACACAGGATTGTCAAAACCAAATAATGTTAAACCAACTAAAGTTCTGCCTGTAGTGTAGCTAACCTTACAGATACAAATCTTGATTTTAAGGACTTCTAATACTGTCTTATACCATATCCTCAGAAGTAAGCTGATAAAACACAACCTAGATACCTGCTGACTCACTCATCTTTGGCTGAGGCTGAGACAGTTGAAAAATGAAAATTGGCTTATTGCAAAATCACAGCTTGATGGCTGCCAGAGATTCTACGAGGCTACTCAGATGTAGCAGTGCAAAATAATAGCAGAAGCCTTAACAATACAGGTACAAAATGGCATTGGAGGCACCATGGCTACAAAAAGAAGATAGAAACTTAATTACAGGTCATTAAAACTGTAATTCCAGGAACCAGGTAACACTGGTTTTAGGGATAGCCAACAAAGAAAGAACTAGCAGACTGTATTGGTAAAGATTTAATGATGACCTCAAGCAAACAGGAGGACAATGAGGAACTATTAGGATTACCATGCTCTTCCTGGGGAAGAGCTTGAGATGCTATCAATTCATGTAATGACCCTGGCCCCTTCTTTTTAGACAAGATGGATGCCATCAACCAGAGGACCAAGAAACACACTGGAAGAGTAACTATGAATATATTTACCAAGTATATCAGTTTTACCTTCATAATTACTGGGACAGAGCAGTAATAACTGGATGACTCAGACTATAGATTAGTAAATGGGCTGATAATTCCATCATTGTCTGATTTAGACTAAGATGTCAGTAGACTAACAAAAGATTTTTGACATCAATGAACAGGAAATCCAAATTCAGTGACTGGGGGTAATTCAAGCTATAGTCAGCAGTGCAACAGTGCTTTATAATTATTGACTCTCACAGTTACATATACACCAGGAAATTAAGCTAAAATAGGCACAGCACCCCACATCTAGTGTTTTTCATTAAATTTTCTACAGCTTAACTTCACAGCAATTATGGTCCCTCAATATCTTTTATATGCTTGCACATAATACATGTGCTCATGTAAATCTGTTAAGGTAATCCAACCTTCTTGTTTAGAACATTTATTTTCCCCAATTAAGTCTAAAACTGATATATAAAAACAATAATATTGGACAAAATTTAATAGATATATAACAATGAAACTTAAAACTATGTACAAGTTTCCCATATTTTTGTAATATACATCAAAGTCTGTCAAGAAAGTACCCTTGTAGAGAGTAATATATCTAACAAAAAAAACGCCTTATACTAGTATATTTTTAAACTGATCTGCTAAGTGTGAAAAAGACAAACAAAATCTGTATCAAAACCTTGCTACTCACCACAGTGAATTAAAAGATCATCATGAAATTCATATAACTCCTCCCGAATCTCCTCTGGACAGGGACAATCCTCTCCCAGTTGAAAATTCAGCAACATATTAATCTTCAAGGGAATTAAAATATAGTTAAAACACTGAGATAGCCTAAGACATATTCTAGTATATAGCTATACCTTACCCGTTTATAATCAAATTTAAATAAAGCACAAATTTCTTATACAGTTTAAAGGAAATACTCAAGCAATGATACTTTGTAAGCTGTAATTATGATTAGCATACCAATACAGAAAATGTATCCATAATAGTGTGGTCAGCAGGACTAGGAAAATGATCATCCCCTGTACTCAGCATTAGGGAGGCTGCACCTCAAGTACTGCATTCAGTTCTGGGCCCCCCACTTTAGAAAGGACAGAGAGATGCTGGAGCATGTCCAGTGAAGGCTCATGAATGGTCTAGAAAACATGTCTTATGGGGAACAGCTGAGGTAGCTGGGTTTGTTTAGTCTCAAGAAAAGGAAGTTCAGAGGGGACCTAACTGCTCTCTACAACCACCTGAAAGGAGGTTTAGTGAGCTGGGGCCTGGTCTCTTCTACCATGTCTGCAGTGAGAGGACATGAGGAAATTGCCTTAAGCTGAGACAGAGAAGATTCAGATTAGATACTAGAAAAAATGTTTTCACTGTTCAGGTGGTCAGGCATTGGAATAGGTTGCCTAGATTGGAATAGGTTAATAAGCATCTGGATCTGGCACTGGGTAATGTGGTTTAGTGGTTTAAGGGTTGGAGTGGAAGTGCTAATGGACTGTTTAACTTGATGTTCTTAAAGGTCTCTTCCAATCTTGATGATACAATGATTCTATAATTCTACAGGGACACTTGATAATTAGGCTATTTCTTAGGGGCAGAAAAGCTATTTCTAACACACATGTCAGTTCAATACTAGACTTCATGCTAACTTTGAGCAACTAAGATTATCATCATCTTGCAGTACTGGATGAATCTAAGCTCCTCAGCACTGGACAGCAATATTCAAATGTTCTATGCTGCTGAGAAATCCTAAATATAAAAGCTGAGAAATTACTTTGGTTTAGAGCTTCAATTCTAGAGTACAGGCTTAAGCATTCTGACATTCAGTATTTTGTGGCACGAAACAAATTTTATTTCAAATTCATTTCAGTTCTCCAGCAATTCCAATGGTAGTTTATAAGTCAGGACTCTATTTTATCATCATAAAGAATTTATTTAATCTTTAATTCAACCATATATTTAATATTACCTGTTCTTGAGGAGGAGACCGAAATTCTTTTGTTTTCTTGGCAGTCAAAGCAGCAGACATGTTCAAGGCTTGCATGAGTTCATTGTACCTGTATTTCTGATTATACTGCAATTTTGATACATAACGGTCTGCAAATGATACAATTGCTTCCACTCTATGTTGTAGTTCACAGTCACAAAAATAATTGAGTAAATGACACATCTAGGGTAGAAAAAAACAGACTTAAGCTTAATTGCTTTACAAACTCCAGGGAAGAACTGCAGTGGATTGCAGATACACTGCATTAGATTGTAAAAATGAGACATATTTTTACCCCATTTTTGTTTTAACCCTGTAAAGGTGACAAAACATTAGGACAGTGTGATCAATAATACTATATTGCATTCACAGTTTTTCAATCCATGCACCCAAAATATGTTGACATCATGCACTAGTTTGCCTTGGAATGATCCTTTAAAGATCACCTGGTCTTACCCTTTCCTTTTTACAAAATAAGTAAGTATTCACCTATCTATTTTGAGTGTAGAAGAACTGCAGCAACATTAAATTTGGTAATTAACATAAGGTTATAAGGCAAAGTGGAATTAAAGACCTTCAGAATTTCAACTCTTTTAAACTAGAGAAAAGACCAAAAGCACAATCCTTTTTCCATCAAGAGTAGAATGTAAGTAATACATTTATATTTAATGGTCACCTGAAGCTTAACAGATTCTGGTAATCTTGTCTGCAATAAGCCCTTTGCAGGAGCTTCTGTTTGTTTTATTGCTTTCTCCCCAGCTTCGACAGCTTTTTCTTCAACTTTTGTAACTTCTTCCTTCTCTGTTCTCTCTTCTGTTTCTTCCTTGTGATCTCCAAACACAGTGGGATCAATGAGGAGTAAAATCTGCTTCACATCATCATCATCAAAAACACCCATTATAAGCAATGTTGCTATTAGTTTAAGAACAGGAACAAACTGGAATTCAACCTGTCCTCCAACAGGGTCTCGTATATGAGCACCACTACACTGTACTGCCTCTGTTAACATACTTATGGCCTTGGATTTAAGTGTCTCCAGGGGTATTTCTGGACTGGATGTCTGACGTTCTTCAGTGGTTGCAATAAAGCATGGAGTAGAAAAATTAAAGGCTGGTTTCAGACAAGTGCTAAGCCCTACTCCAGGTAAACCATGCTTCTTTGTTTCATTGGGATATAGTTTAATAGTTCGAGTTTCATCTGTAACTGGAATGATAAATTCATTGCTCATCATGAGCTTGGCTTGCTTGGCATACTCCAAATGAATACTAATAAGCAAGTCGTAGAATCCAGAACGTAGAAGTCCAGGTAAGTATTGATTATCTATTGTAAAAAATAGCTGAGATATGTCCACGTGGCTACAAAGTGCATAAGCAACTCTAGTGTTACCTAGAGCACTAACTGAGCTATAGAGTTTTAAAGTGTGGTAGTGAAACTTCATCAAATCTTCTTGTTCACATAGTTCCAAAATATCAACACATCTGTTAGAAAATAAAGAAAAAGAAAACCAATCAATCCCAAGAATAATAAATTTATAAAAGAAAAGTTTTCTGATCTCTGCACATTTTGGTCAGTTCCTCTTTAAACCACTAATATTAAAGTTAACAGTAACTAGTCTTAGTATGCGCATCATCCAAACACAGTAAATGGTGGCAATTGAGATTGTTTAAAATTAGTGCTCCTTAGGAAAAAACCAACCCAAAATGGAAGATGTAGATGCTTTTTGAGACATATGGTAAACTAGAACTTGTTTTTAAAATAAATGTATTTGGAATTCCGAAAATCTGTGTTACTACTGTCACTAAACAGTTCTTTTCTAGTTTGCTCAGGATTACTGTTTCATTTTTTTGCACAAGATTTGCACAAGATTGTATTTTTTAATCTTTTCTTGAATTCAGTTTTATGAACAATAAATAAAGTTTTTTATTGAATTATTAAAAGAAATTTTAAAATAACTGATAAAGGTACAACAGTTAAATTATCTTTCTGCTATGCTTTTGTTGATGGTTTGATTTTTCACTGGTTATGATATTTGATATTTGGACAGATCTTTACTATCCTCACTCTGAAGATAAAACCTAATGAAAATCTAAGAAAGGCGTGACCTTGTCAATAAGAACATAAAAACTTAATTCATGTAAATTCAGAGCAGATGAAACAGGAACAGATTACATGGTTTTATTACAGGACAAAAAATCAGCAAATTAGTACTTGCATGTTCTTTATATTTGTTCTTTTCAAGCTGAGAAAAATCTCTGTCTTTAAAGATCTAGAGATTTAGGGTATGTTACTTTATAATTTAAATAAAATCAAATAGCCATGTTTTCTCTCATGTACCCCAAAGTCATCACTTGGCGTTAAAATTCAGTCTCTTGTACTTACTTAAACCTCCTTATCTGCTTAATTATTGTTATAGCAGATAAGATGAGAAATTCTCAACAACTATGGTGTAAATATTTTCCAAGGCAGGTTTAATCAATACTTTGACATCTGGTTTCAATACACTTTGTCCACATTAAGTAATTTTATTTCCTTACAAATGTACCTGTTTTCTTCTGGGATATGAAGTGCCATCATCTGCAGAGGTTCCAAACATTGCACAACCCAGCCATGACGTTCACTGACCCGCTCAGTTTCTACTCTTAGAAAGCTGTTTGGCATCCTGCTCCATAAAACAGGTGTAATTGTTTGCACATCAAGGCGAGGGGGACACTGAGGAACAGGATTTCTTTCTTCACTTTTAAAAATTGCTGCTGATAAAGGCATGGTATTCTGAAACAAATAAGCGTACTAAAATTATTTTTGTAATGTCTAATTATAAATAAACCTATAACATTAAAAGGAAGCATACCTTATAAATAGTAAAGAAATCCCAGAAGGATAGAATTTATTACAACAAAAAAATTCCATTAAATAACCTCAACATTAATGGTGTTGTCCTCAAACAATATGAGTTTATTTTGACAAATGCAGATAAAAACTTAACTGCATATAATAATTACATTTACAGAAGTAAACGTAGAATTCAAATTAAGATTCTTGCCCTTGACTCAGTCTTCCTAAACAAATTCAACTGAGCAAGAATCTGCATGAGAATAAACAGATTTAAAAGAGCACCTTTACACGAAGGTTCTCTTTTCACAAAACATAAAAATATTTCCTACCTTTAATTTACCAAGTTCAAATTGAACCAAGTTAGTGCTTGTAGGCTGTAAAAAAGCTGCTGGAAAAAGCTTCGTGTTTGGTTCAACCTATAAGTGAGATGAGATTTAAATGTTTTAAAAATTAAAAATACAAAAAGAATCTCCTCCCTGAACATGGTATAAAATAAATTCTGTATAGTTTACACTTCATTGTCAAATAACTCCAGACACTTTAATAAAGTGGTGAATAGTGTCTACTTGTAGTTCATCTCTAATATAGTAAAGCATTTGCAGTTATCTTTACAGGACCACCTGATTTCCAGACAGGTGTGTCTGTTGCCTTGTGTGCTCTCAACACCTCTAGCAAGAACTTTGGTAACATTGTGTGGTTTCTTCTCAAAAATATCCAAACTCAATCCTTTACTGTAGAGGGTGAGAGAGCATGTGATTAGGATAGTGCAAATCTTTATTTCCTTTCAAGATTAATGATTTTCTAATACATATTCTAAAAGTAAAATAATGTCATTTTTTGAAAGAGCTCTTTATTTTCAGGCTTAGCATCTGTCTCCAGTATTACAAAATTGCAGTGAATCACATTTAATCACAGTGATGCAGTTTTAAAATGTCTGGTTGTGTTTGGGATTTTTATGACTGCTACATTATCCTTTCCCCATTATAGCTGGACTCAAAGTACATGCCAGTGTAAGACCAGTTTATTCTGAAGAATTCTCTACAAGATCCCCCACCACTACTACCAGGAAACAAAGATTATTTATAATAAAAATTAGTAAATTTTAACATGACTGTATTATAAATACAAATATTTATTATTATTATATTATTAAAATATAATTATAGATTAGTATATTATTTTTAAAAATTTCAGTGCTCCAGGGTAGCTGAAAAAAGTACATCTATACAACTACGTCAAAGTTTCAAAAGTTCAATTAAATATATTATTCATTTCATTGTGCATTTTGTGTACCAAGTATACACATATGCATTATATATACTAAGCACAGCTACAATACTAGGACTGTGAAGGACTAAAATTCCTAACTTTGAGGACAGCAATTTATCAAAAACTGGAAAACAATTAACAAAATCAAAAGATTATATAAAAAACCCCATATTCTTTTAGATGAGAAAACAGCTCCAAAAGAAAATATAATTTAAACAAAATGCAAAATAATACCCTATACTGAAAAAAACTGCAGAATAAAGATTTTTAAGTACTATCACTATTGGCATAGAAAAAATAATATAGGGCTAGGTATGTAGATTCAAAACTTTTTAATAAGTAAAAAACCACAGCCTCAAATCCAGAAACAAAAGACATCCTGGACTGCAAGACATTACTAATATGCCTATTATTTCATTAAAGCCTGAAGATAGCTGAGACAACATAACTCTCAACCTCTGACCAAAGATAGGTATTTCCTAGTAATAGTAATTGAATTTGTAATTTCTAGCCTTGTTTGAGAATCAGAGAACTATAACTAACTCAAAGTAAAATAAAACATCTTTAAACCAATATTTAAGATCTCCTTTCTGCTACAAATACCTTAACTCTGACAGGACAATCAATGACAAACTCTCAAATATATATGTATACTGTATCTTCCCTTTACCTTTCTAGTGGTTTGGTTTTGTTTTGTTTTCCTGAATATCACCATGGCATTCAATAGTTAAATCAGGAACTACAGCAAAATTCATTTTATCTCCTCAATGTGTTGACCCATAGACCTTTTAAAATGAAAACAGCATACAAATATTGTCCTCTTTCAGTTAAGAAAGATGAGAAGTACAAACACTTATACAACTAGAATAACTTCCTAGTCTCACTACTTTCAAAATATAGAAAATATTTAAATTATTCAAAATAAGAAAAAAATTGAGTAATATTTCACCCTCAGACATAACAATCCTGTTGGAATATACTATTTTATCTGTATAAAAAAGTGCTGGGTTTTCTCATTTGTCAGCAGACCAGATGTTACCATGTTTATTGAAAAACAATTCCAAAAGCAACTCCAGGTATTTTTCCATGAAAAAGATAAGAAACAGAAGAGAAATACTGGTATTCTCTGAGATAATTTTAAATTTAATGCAGAGAAGGTGCTTATATTAAATGTAAGTCATATGAGGAAAAAATCTGAAAGTGTTTTCTACATGCCTCTTCTACATCTATCTTTCCATAGATCTCCTTACCAAATAAGAACACCAAAAGACTGTCCATGAAGAAAATAAACAAAAATCCACTACAAAAAACCCACACCAAACTTCCATGCTTTTGTCCAGGAGCTGTCATACTGATTTGTATCTAGTCAGAAAAGCAACAAACCAGGGATTAAGCGCTTTATTCGCATGGGGTTTTTTTCCCCAGGATGTTGACATTCAATATCCTCCCTGTGTCGTAGGGAAGTTTCTGACCAGTTTTACAAAATATACCAAAATCACATCATCTAGATAATCTCCCACCCCCATTTACAGGCTATGTGCAACCCTGCCACATTAATTTTCAATGGAGTCAGTATACAAGTTCCACTAAACTTAATTAGATAATATTTCAGTTTTATCTGGATTACAGAAGAAAGCAATAAATTGTTCCTAACACTGGACAATTCTTCCACAGTGGATGCTCTACTATGGACAACTGATCTAACTAAGAGGAAATCTCAACAATCTGGTGCTGAAAGCTTCAGTCAACTACTGATCCCTTTACATAATGACTTTTTATTTTGAGCATACTGATAGCATTTAGGGCCCACCCCATTTACTTGGCTTTCCAAATCACATCTATCTGCAGAAGACACAAACAGTGGAAATAATGAACTAAATTTTTTTCTCAATTCATACCAAAAATTACTACATTTAAAGTTTAATTTTGACCTTATGCTAGTTTAAATATTTATTTCCCCTATATTGTATAACAGATTCAGTTGACAAAAAATATTTTAAAGAATAAATAAGGTTATAAATTAAGATTCTGTATCGCATGAACTGTGAGGTAAAAAAAAAATATTTCTCTGAACATATCTACCAATAGTTCTTCCTCAACACTTGAAACAACTGTAAGCTCAAAAAGATGTAGTCTTAAAGTAGAGAGAGTGAGAAAAAGAGGGATAAAACCAGAATGATAAAGGAAAACGTTATCATCACACCAGTGGTGTTCAGTCAGATATCTGGAAAAGAAAAATAATAACATCAAAATCATCAGCTTACTAGATAGCTTTCTGAAAACCTGATAATACCTGATAACAACTGCCAAGTTCTCTTCCATTGGCTGTGAATGACACCATTCCAGTAGCCAGGTCAACAAAGCATCCAATTTCTATATCAACATTACTGCGACCTGATCTCTGGGAATTAGCAATTACATCTCCTCCCCAAACCATGTAGCAGTTGCTGCGCTTCACACTGAAAGAACAGCAAGAACAAAGCATAGGTCACACTGAACTTCAGGATCTGGTGAAGATGTACTTTTCAGTGAAATAATAGTTAGAGATCCTCAAAGGTGCTTGTTATGCTATTAGTTTTTTTACTCATTAACAAATCTTTTTTTCATAATGTATGCATCAGACTACATTTTTCTTCCTATTTTAAAATTATGAAAAAATTTCACAGGCCTGTGTGTGCATGTAAGATACAGTAAAACAAACAAGTTTTGCACAGTGAGCAAATACAGATGTTAAATGAAAGAAACATCCCAAAACATTCTTTCAAATGCAACATTAATGATAAATATATTCACTCTAAGAAGTCTACATACAAAACACATAAATGAGCACAGAAAGCCCATACTCCATATCCAACTTTCTCATTAGTTTAAATTAATGTTTAAAATATCAACAAACTTGCAAATAATTAACTTTTGAACAACAGTATTAAAATACAAATGTAATAAATGATAAATAAATCCATACCTTTCATGAACCCTTCCTCTCTCATCTCCTAAAGTAACTGTCACTGTACAATTTTTATTTATGTCAAAATTCTCACTGTAGAAATGATAGTCTGGTGTTACCCAGCCAACCCAGACAGAAGATGGGTCTTGGCCAGCAAATATCCTTAGTGAGTAAAAATACTGAAAAGAGGAATAGAGCATATTAGTAATATAAATCAAAATTATTTTATCAAGGAATACTAAAATAGTGATTTTTAAAAACTCCTCCTATATATCAAACTTTAATAGTAATTCACATTCTCTTAAATAAATTTAAAATGCTCTTAAATTAAAAAAGTAGACAATGGTTTAAGATAGCAAGGTTTATCCTTCAAGCTGTGCAACTCTGGACATTATTATTTATAAACATTGTTATATCATAGCAAATTCTTAAAATGGCTACTCTCAACAGATCAGTTTCTAATGAACATTCTGCCACAACTAAATCTACGTCAAAATCTACGTCAAAGCATTTGAAGAACTAAGTATCTCAATATATTTACTTACAGTAGTAGAAGGAGCAGCAATTTCTTGGCTGTGCTTTCTGCAGATAAAAAAAATGAGTAAATAAGTTTAAAAAAAGGTAGTAAAAAGCTACTCATTATTAGATTAAGTATACTTGCAAGCTAATTAATGTTTGCTGAGTATGTAGTATGCATTAGCAAAGATTGCACAGGATACAAATATACAAGAAAAATGATTGCAGTTAAGGTGCAGAGTGCGAGGAAAGGAAGATTTAGAGCAGTATAGACAGAGGTAACTCTGAAAGGTGCTGGACTCAGTAATACCTGGTATCTTTAAAAACCTGTCCCACAATCTTTTCATGAATTAGGCACTTCTCCAACAACAATGAGCTACTGAACAATAATGTTGATGAGCATTAATCCAGTGCGATAAAAGACTGAGCTGGTTTTCCAGCCTAGTAGAAGAGCTTTGCAAATCCCAGTAATTTTGAAAGAATGGCAGCTGCTTAGAAATGAATAATTATAAACCTTGTGAAACACCTCTTTAGATATGGTTCTCTCTCATCTGGATATAGCATTCTGCAACAAAGGTGCATTATAAATCAATAAAACCTTCAATAATAAAAAAAAATCTCGGTAACATGCCTCCTATGCTAATCTGTGTTTAAAAACAACTATGAAATTTTGAGTGTATAATAATAAAGAATAATAGAACATAATACATTTACATTGAAAGCAAGAGATAGGATAACTAAAGCCAAGCCTGACCTTTTTTGGAAAACATCAGATGAGGTATTTTCCACACCCATGTTGAATGATGAGTGGAACTCAATGGGCATACTCAAACGACAATATATCATGTCTGAATTGCTGTTCTGTGTGCCAAATGTTTTGTGAGTAACTTTTAACCGAGGTGGACTTTCAATGGGTTCCATCAATTCTCCATATCTAAAAACAACAGAAATATTTTAAAATAGTACTATCAAAAAAAATGCTGAAAACTTTCATTAAACAACTAGAGAATGAGAAAACTGAGAGGGCCAACTTAAATTTTTCAAAAATAATTATCTTCAAAACTATGCAACTTTGTTCTCTGACATTGAACCTAACCTGAAAATCAAAGGAAGCACCAGAGTCTGTATATTCTGACTGCAGTATTTTCAAGTTGTTCTATACAACATAAAAAAAAAAGGTATCTATCTTATTAAATTAATTGACTTTGAGTACACAAGTTATTGAAAAACTGCTTCATGAAAATCAGTAATTTTCCACCACAATGAGCAAAAATACCAATTAAAATTGTTCAGATGGACATTATGAACTGTCATAGTAGTCTGATACCACTTTCCCTCCTGCTGAAAAAGTATGTTTTTAAATTCAGTGATAGAAACATTTCAAAAAATTTTAGAGACAGGAATAGTGTTGAAATGATCCTGATACTCTGAAAAAGATGCTGAGATAATTTAGTTGGAATTCAGTGAAAAGTATTTTACTTAAGAAGGCAATGTTCAGAGACAATTATTAAGGAATAATTGCCTATGCCTAAATTAAAGTCAATGGCCTAGATAGTTTATAATTAAAAAACTCATCAGGAATTCAAACTTACAATTTTGGAATATATCAATAACGAATATTTTATAGAAAATATATGAATTATTATTCTGCTTCAGAGTACATTAGTTAGGGAGTTGTGGAATTCCTGTCACTGCTGCATCATAACAATGAAAAAAACCACTCAGCAACACCACAGGTACACTTAAATGTCCTCAGAGTTCAGTTGAACAATTTTTACACATTTATGAAGTATGTATAATAGAGAAGGTTTAAAAAGTGAAAGCGCATATAAGATAGAATATAAAAAAACACATCTGATGTTTCTGGTAACTAACCACAAAATAAATTAGTAATACATATAATAAAAAAGAGAGAGATAGCCATAGGAATCTATACTGCCATAAATGAAGCTGAAGATAGACAAGATCATGTGGAATTATCCAAGAGTGACTTAATAGGTTTATATGACAAACTATCCGATGACAGTGAGTATTAGTAAGGGTTTAATGTCTCAGCTTGCTAAACAAACAGTTGTTAAACAGGTGTCTCCCTAATATGTAATGTTACCTTAATGTGAGGATGATTTTTTGGCACATTGACAAATGTTGGTAAGCGTTTACTAAACCACATAGCAACATCTCGGTTCATGTTGACAGCAAAAGGTTCAAAACCTTCTTGAAGGCCACACATTGTATAATACTTGAATGTACTGGCATCCATTCCAAGGTTCATGCGACCAATCTGAGATAGGCCCAGTGCACAAACTGGAACAAAACCTAAAGAAACAAAAATCAAAAAAAACCCCAACAGTAATTTAGTTAAAAACACAAACATTTTTATTTTGGGTCCATCTAATGTGGACTAAACTTTAGCTCCTACAAGTAATGGACATGAAATGACAATATTAGCAAGGATTTAAAGCCACTTTAAACACTAATTTCTAGGTTCAGTATAATTGCTATCAAAACTTCTGAGGACTTAGACACTATCCCATTTATTTAAATATTAAACCAATTTAAACAGTTGTTCTTAGTAGATTTGTGTGAAAAATAAACAAAAAATATGAAGTCAAGAGGTAGTTTTGTGGACAATCATATTTGAAAACATTTACTAAAGTAATTTATTCATTTATTAAAATAATTTGTTTATCTTCCTCATTTTTAGACTAATACAATGGTTTTATACAATGAGTTGGACTCTGGAAGCCAACCTTGGCTAGATCAAAGTTATTAACAAATATTAGGTATGCTCTCTGAGAGCACTGAATTTTCAAAAGGACTTTGAGAAGAGGTTCAGTAATCTCAGTACATTGTTGCCAGTTTTCACTCCTCCATCTTCACTATGGACACATACTTCTTTAATGCTAGTACTTTTTGTGACTCAACTCTTTGATCTCCATATAACTTTACAGCAGCCAGTAGACAAGGAAGAAAGACTTCTGAACTATTTCTCAAGAAATAGAACTTGGATACAACAGCTCATCCCCCAAAGGAGAAATTTTCTCTACTAAACTTTAACTTAAACCTTCAGAATAGCTTTGTTTAGGCAGACCCTCATTGCCTACTGTTATGAAAACTATCAATGGTAACATCAAAAAGGGATAGTGAGCAACTGCAAAGTCTTCTGGCCATTACTAACAGGTATGAAGCTACTAGTGGTTGGAGAAGCTATGCTTATAAAGAAAATGTCCACTAAAACATAAAGCAGAACAGTTTGAAAATATTTCCAGCCTCCTTTACTACAGTCATATAGATACTACTTTTAGAAAAAACAAAGACCAAAAACAGAAGAGGAAAAAAGAGGAAAAGGAAAAATTCAGATAAGCTAGGAGTAGGATGGAGGAAAAAAAAATACAAATCACTCAACCACATTCTGACTGCTGAAGTCCCATTAATGTAGTCAAAGCAAAAAAAGAAAATCAATTTGTGCCACATAAGCACTATCAAAATAAATATTATGAAGTTAATGTGTAGCACAGTCTGAAGGCTCACACTGGTGAAATATCATTTCTCAGCTCACTGAATCATTACGACAGACTATTTTTTTTGGTTGTTGTTTTGTTTTGTCTTCTCATAACCATATGAATAAAAAAGGGAAATTACCATTTCCTATTTCAAAGTCAGCAAATGCAAGTTCTGACCCTTTACTGGTTATTAACAACTCTCCATTCAGAGTAAAGATAATTGATTTGTCATCCAAGTTTATCATACAACCAACCACATCTCCTGGTTGCCAGCTTCGTCCAAAGAATCCACTGCCTTGATGCCAACGCTGGCCCTAAATGGAAAAACAAGTGAATAACCACAGTGCTAAAACTGGAAATTAAATACAAAATAAGTAAAGAAAAACAAACATTTCATTTTCAAGGATTTCAAAGTAATTTGCAAACTGACTATGGCTTTTGTCTTAGAGATAACAAAGAGCAACTAAGCCCTAACTTTAGCAATTTAGAATCTGGATAACTACTGTTCAATGAATTCTACTTCTCAGATGCAGTGTAATTATTATCCTTCTGATCCTTTAGGAGTCAAGCTTGGGAAGAAAGAACGTGCAGAAAGCAGAAAAGACAGAAAAGGGAAAACAGAACTGTGGTTCCCTCTTCCAGTCACTGAAGAACCTTTGTTTGATTTTTTTAAAATACCACATGGAAGTAAATGCCATATTTTGTTTATGTTTATGTCAGACTTCTTTAATTACTTGGGTAGATCCTAGAAAGATATAAGCCAACACATCTTTATTAGCATAATTTCAATTAACAGAACAAAAATGAAGATACTATCCTGCATGAAACAGGGCTCAGAGATACATTTCTATGAATCAAAAAAATTTCAGTACTTGATCTGGACTACACAGGGGAAACCTATACTGTAGTTCTCTGTCTAGCCTGTTCGTAGATCAAAAGAAGTAAAGGTGTACTGACTTTGCTTCCTTCAAATACAAATGCTTGGTCATCAGCTCCCAGCTCTATGTCAGGTCGACAGCCTGGCCTGGCCCAGCCAACCCGCATATCTCCACCTGTCACAGCTTCAAATTCAAAGTACCACTTTCCAGACTTCACTGCATAAGATTTTTCTACTCTGAAAAATCGTATCTTGTCGATGCTGACTTTTTCCACTGTTTGGTCAGCTGTAAAAATAAATAGAGAAGAAAACCCCATTTTTAATAATAAAATTAAACTATAAATGTCACTGTTTAGCTTTTCATCTGTCCCTAGTATTTTCTATCTCATCTACCATTGCATGTTTAAGAAACTTCACAGCAAATGTTACAAAAAGAATAACAGTAGTCAGCATGCAACAGCTAGCACATTCTAGTTCTATACAGGATGAGTGATCATCTGCTATGTAGAATCAGCATATTTCAAAGTATCACTCAATGTAGAGCCCCAAACACAAAACTAAGTAGAGGAAACAGAAGTATAAGATTGCTACATGCAAAACAATCCAATGCAATAATGTACTATTATAATACAAAAAATTATTTTCTCAAGTCAATGCATTTAGAACGCTTTTTTTTTTTTATCACAGATTAAGTTTTGTTTCATTTTGGATTTTTTGTCAAAAATTACAGTGGTATAGCAAATATGCAGAACAACTTCTAAACAAATTTTTGCTCCTAATTTCAATTTAAAAAAATTATTAAACTTGGTGAGCTACTTTGAAGACTGCTTAAAAAACTGAAGTAGTCAAACCTAATCTGCATACCATGTAAAAAAATTTTTTTTTAATGAAACCTATATTATTTTCTTTCTTTCCTTCTTTCCAAATGAAAACCAGTATGCCTACTCATACTCCAGATTTTCTCCAATCTAAAAAATCATAGCAATTAAATTATTATATCATTAACTACAACCAATTAAAATACTCCCAACAAAGACCTAAGTAATATAAAAGTAATTTTAAAAGTACGTTTGCACCTTTCATGAAAATTCACTGCAAAAATACACTACTATTAATTAATATCTCCTGTTTTCCCTATATTTCAGTTTTATGTTTTTTCAAAGCACTGAGGGGGAAAAAAAGGCCATGATTCTTTTTGAAAGTACATACCTATCTCTTGGTCAGGTGGTTCAATACTATAACCATAGCCTGCAAATGTTCTAACAGCTTCACGGAGGCTGTCTCTGTTGGATTTCTTAGTGCGTTCATCTAATAATGCATATGGCACTAGCCGAGGATTACGTTTGTTCTTAAGATCCTGAAAGGAGTTATACAAGAGAACAAGAGGAAAACTCTGTTTAAATAACACAAAGACTTTTTGATAATAAGACAGAGTGTGCTCTGAAATCATGTTAAGATCACAGAAGAGAAAGAGCATTGATGAAGAAGAGTTCTATGAACACAGGCTCAATTCTTAATAAGGCTAAAAATCTAAAGACAAGAATGAAAGAGAAAGATGGAAATATATTTTCATACAACCTGCAGCTGCAATTATACAGGTCTGACAATCAACTCAGACTTTCATGGGCAAGGTTCCTTTTCCTGCTTCCCACCCCCTCTAATTTTTCCAGAGATTACACAAAATTCAGTGTTTAACCTCTTAACACTCTTCCCAACTGATGTTCTAGATTACCAAATCTCACATTCTTTACTTATTCCAAATTCATCTAAAGAAGTTCGTACCTGCTGAATGCCATAGGTCCATCCTTGCTTTATTCTGTCTTTTGCCCAGACATTATGTGCATTTTCTGCTAGTTTGTCAACCAGAAATTCTTGAGAAGGTAACAATTTCACTTCAGAAAGATCAAGAGGGGCAGGTTTATATCCATTTGACATCATGTAACTGTAAGTCAACAAGGCAAAAGAGAGATATCCCAGTTAAGGTATTTAAATAATTTTTATGATATTCATGGGGTGAGGCTCACTTTCTCTCTCCATTTTTTTTATCTCCTATTCTCCCATTTCTTTGCAAAAATCCTGCATTACATTTGGTCATTGACTGGAATATAAATTGGATTCTAGCAGGCAGTCTCATTTTCCACCTACTCGCACACTAACTAATTAAATGTGACTCAGATCCATATATACATGCCTGAATGGTTGCTACAAAACAACAAAATTGTTGTTGAATGAGTAATTTTTATATATTTTTTTTAAATTTGTCTTACAAACCTTTCAAATAATTTCTATTTTAAAGATCTGAATGATGACTTCTTATGAAGTGATCTTTTATGCATTATTAAGTATGGTATTTTAATTCACTATTCTGTAGGGACTGCATTACCATTTTTTCAATGGAAGAAATCATTTTAACTATTGTTCGTCCCACATTTTCATTGAATAATTAATTTTGTAGTTTTTTAGCCCTAGCTAGTACATTCTCCAAGCCTTCCATGTTGTATAAAGACTACCTTCCTTTTTAGACATGTGCAGAGCCTCTCTTGCTCAAATCAGATAATTTCCATTTGTTAGGACAATTCATATGGGCAGTAAGTATTTCAACAAGACAATAGTATTAAACCAGTATTATGATAAACTGCCTGAAGATTTTTTTTCTTTTTTCTTAATTAACGCCATCAGCTGGATCAAGATTACCATTTCCCATATCACAGAACTACGTATTTTAGTGCTCTCTTTGAAAACCTAACTTTGTTTCTCATAGATAAAGCTGTTTCAGGAAAAAAATACATCTTGTGGATTGATAAACTGATGTGACATGGCAAGTATCCAAATTCTTCTTCCCGTCTTTGAGTTTTGTTGCAGAACAGGGCTTTAATCTGCCTTAGGAGGACTACAGAGTCCCCACAGTCAACACTAAAATACAGATGTAATCCTCGATTAATATGTTGCTTTTAACTTTGAAGTATCTATTTTAAGATCATGTAACACAATTGCCTGTGGTTTAAGTGTGTGACTGTTTCTGTCTCTGAATAACTTCATGAGGTGATGTAACACAGCAGTATTCACAGACAGCCATCCTCACAGGTAGGGTAACAGCCTAACCATGTGATCTGTAAGACCATAATAACTATGGGGCTCATATTAAGCATTTTTAAATTACCTTAAAATATTTTATATTTATAATAACATATTATAATATATAAAAATTATCAGAAGGTACATACTTTTTAGGAAGTTTGACTTTTTTAAGATCTTCCTCAGCTGCTGGATGAGCATGAACAATGTGACATCCAAGGGCCAAAAGAGTTCTGCCAACACAAAAAAGCAGCATTAATGAAACCTGACATTACAGTACTCACCCATGGTGTAAATGTTTTTTATTTGACTATAAATACACAGAAGAAATTTGTATTTAAAAACAGGGAAGTAATTCAAAACAATGAGATTTCAAGACCCAAATATTTTAACTTATCAGAAATAATAAGTAAGCCCTTCAAAGTCTAAAAAAGTCCAAATCTATGGCTTGAGAGTTACACACTTTATTAAAACCAACAGGATTTAGTGGTTTTTCTTCCCTTGTATCTCTGTAGAGACAATTTTTTCTAAATCACTCTGAAGGGGTTCCTGGGACTTCTAGCAAACTTAGCAGAACACACTTTAAATTAGATGTTCTAATGTTTTTTATATCTTAAAACAATATGATGTATTTGAATAAAAACAAAAAACTCCCCCACATATTCTTAATATTTAAATCTCACTTGAGTGTTTCAGTTGACATTTGTAGATTATAATTCTTCTCTGTCTCAGGTAGTTTGGAGAATTCCACAAGACAAGGATGATGCCTTTTATTATCATCTCGTATCTGCAACAAGTAACAGAAAATAGTACTTTCCTGATATCAGAATCAAGAATTACAGTAAAAAACCAGTTAATTCTTTGTAATAATGAAGACACTATAAGCAATATCATTTATCTTTTATCAATGACAGTTACTCATCACTATATAAATGTACTTTCCCATGATTCATTTATAATGCACACTGTAAGTACTCAACCATAATTAAATAACAAAAGCAAGTTTTGAGGAATTTGAGAGTTTAAAAAAGTCATCAGAAAATTAATATCACTCTCTCCTTCCACCTTACATGTTCACCTATTGCTGGTAATGTATAGACAGCCATTCAACTTCCAAAATCAGGTTTTCTGGTAGGATACTTAACCTAATACAGATGACTGTACCCAGGGAGGTCATTCAAAACATACCTTGCCATATGTCCAGCCCAGTTCTATTTTATTCATTCCCCACAGTTCATGGATGTTTTCAGCTAGCTTGTCCCTGATCTTTTCAAGATGAAAAGGAAGAGCAATCTAACAAAAGAGAATAACAATTTCAGGAATAAGAAAAGGTTCATTACCACGCCTTATATATCCAAGATCATCTAATTTGGTTAGTACACCACAACACATAAATGAAGAATTGCTAAGAAAGGAGGAAGCTACCTCAGTTTTTATAGTGTGAATTTAAATTTTGTACAGATATATTTTATGGTCCCATTATTGCAAATTTCACATACCTGACTGGTGTCTATTGGACAAGGAATAAAAGAAGCTTGCGAGAGGAATTGTGTTGTACCCAACAAATCCCTCACTCCTTCAAAATCTCTTTTATATTCTTTCACTGGTTCCAGTTTCATCTTCTCTTTTGGAAGCAATGCTTCATAACAGGGAGCATAGCCAGCAGGAGGCAGAAATTTAAACTCTCCATGACGTCCACCCAACAAAAAACGAACTCTGTGCAATTTCCAATGAATAAATTAGACTCTCAAATAGTCAGTATATACTAGCATTATAAATAAATCATTTAGAGACTTAAACATTTATTTGATTACCATCTACAAAAATGCAGGTGCACTTCATGTTTTCATAAACACCAAAGACTTACAAAGGATTGATATGAGCAGATACTATAAGTAACACCATCACCTACCCACTCTTTTTTGAAAATTTGTTTTGTCTAAAGCAAAACTAATCATTTAATGCTGTAGCATATCTAAATGTTTCTCACTTAAAATCAAACAGTTGTAAGTTGGGAAATTTTTAATGGATCTAAAGGACTTGGAAACACAAATCTAGTTTAAATTGGACTGTTCCTCTAAAAATACTACCAGGACTATTGGTATATAACTTAAAAGTTCTAAAGTAACTTCTCAGTGCACTCATGCAGGCATTTGGTTCATGAGAGAAATAAAAACCCAAACAAAACATTAAATCATAATACATAAATCAAACAAAAAACATTATACCAAATATTGCAACTGGGATGAACTTCAGAAGCATAACTAAGACTCCTAATAAACCCCTAAAGCGTTCGGCTTCGCCTCAAAGATACATTTTTCACATAAATTTAAGGAAAAACAACAGAGACAAAATCTACTCATGCTTCATACTTTGGTCCTCAAGTAGGGACACTCTAGAGATAAACAAGCAGAGAAAAGTTTAAAAAACACCCTACACCTGTTACCTCTAGGAAATAGCCCCTACAATTTGTTGTGATGGGGTGACAAGAAGCCCACAGAAATGCTAGAACTGTTGGATCAACATATTTCACTGACGTTTTTAAAAAGAGGAGAACAATTAGGACACAAATGTTTTCTCAAACAGGATGCACATAAGCACAAGTCATAAATACCTGAAAGGGTTTAATGTTCACAAGAAATAGAATCCTATTGAATAATTCTATTAAGCATAAACTTTCTAATTTAATTTTAAAAATACATTATTTAAGATATTTGAATAATCCCAAGGCAGCTAAATATTTGAGATGACAAGTCTGAGTTTAGATGTCTCTTTATGGAAAGTTCCCACACATATCACAACACTTTAAAAATAAAGGAGGTCAATTTTATTTTAGGACCTAGAAATCTAACTTCCTAAACAGACAAAAGTCAAAGAAAGAACTGAAATTAAAAACCTCTCATTCAATTCTTCCCTTGCGAACCACAGACCACTAAATAGCTCAGAAACAGAGACTGATAAGTTCACAGATAGCAGAGAAGAACTAGATAAACCAGAGCAGAAGTAAAAACATAAGAGTTTGTGCCCAGAACACTCTCCTCCATTCATGAAGTCAGGATGCCCAAGTAATAACATTTCCTCTCATACTGACATAGAGACAGAAAATATATATCAGCCACTAAAAACTACAAAAGAAAATGCTCTCACAAAATATACAAACATCACATAAGAATGTAGAAAAATAATTACACCAGCTTAGGTAGATTTCTTACAGAAAAAAAATAATGAACATTTTCAAAAGCTTTGTACCAATGCAGCTACATAGTAGGGTCACTTCCACGGATTAAATGACAATTGATTTACTAAGCCTTTCCCAGCCCTTATTTGTTCTGTTTGATTCTACATTTTCTGAATTCACTAAAGGTAACTGGTTTCAGTAAGTTCAAAACTCAGTATTTTAGAAGCAGAACAGGTAAGGCATGGGCAATACTAGTAACAAGATTTCAAAGCTGCTTCTCATCAGTTCTTTGTGTTTCCTACTCTGAATATAGTATCAGTTTTCATGATGATTTAGGCCTTTTAATCCCTGCTGAGAAAGCCAGTGAGAATTTTAATTAGTGCCAAATCTGGTGCTGTGTTTCTAACGTGCTTTTTTTGCACTGATAATTGGAATGAGACAAAATTAATTTCCCCTAGGTCACCGATAATCATACAATAATAATTTTCAGACACTGTGACTTACTCAAATTGCTTACAGGCTCACACTTCACTTTTAAGTGAAATCATCACTGAATAAATCAGTTCTTTCCTGATTTTCTCCCAGCTGCTAGTTGAAATAACAAAAACAGAATAAAACAGAAGAAATCATAAATGAATTTGGACAAGACAGCAAAGAAAACAAAATTAAGTTGTACTTACTTTACACCTGCTGATAAGCTTACAACAGGGAAGAAAAACCCTTCTGTACTGAAGTTCTCAAACATTCCCTGTACAGGCTGTCCATTAATGCGGAATGAAATGCTGGGTACACCTAAATCCAAACAGCAGCTAACCACATCATCAGATGCTAATAAATGCTGATTGACAGATGCTACAGCTCTGGGTACTCGACCTAGGATAAAAGTATTCAGTAATCAGAAGCTTCAAGTGGGTTCTTACAGGTTTGACCCTTAATTTCTTTCTTGTTTTTAGAAACAGTGAGTTAACATTCTTAAAACTGGTATATGGCAGAAAACTGCATAAACTGAGCAATTAACTTGAAACCCCTGACACTGTTCACATGACAGAACATGCTGAGCTGACATCATGCAAGTCCACACTGGTGCAAGAGTAATGAGCCACAATAAATTATACCCTCTTTATAAAACTAAGATTTACAGACCCATTTTTCTGTAGTTTTTGTGAAATACCAGATTCACATGTACGTGAATATTCTGTGGTAAGACACCAGAACAGGTTGTCCAGAGGAGTTCTGGATGCCCCATCTCTGGGAGTGTTCAAGACCAGGTTGGATGGGGCTCTGAGCAACCTGGTTTAGTGGGTGGCATCCCTGCCCATGGCAGAGGGTTGGACCAGATGATCTTTAAGGCTGCTTCTAACCCAATCTATTCCATGGTTCTAAAATTCTGCTTGAGCTGTGATTATGACTGATATCCAGGTTTAAACAATCAAGAGGCAGAATAGTACACTGAATTATTAAAAAATGGATCAAGAATTTGATGGGCCAGCTTTTCTTTACCAATTACAGCCATTCACTAAAGAGAGGGAGCTTAACTTTTGCTACCTGGAAAGTTTAGACTTCACAGACATGCACAAGACTCAGCACTTATAACAGCAGTTACTAGAGATAACACATCTGAAGTAATCTAACATTTAGATATAACTACAGTTTTTCAATCCAATTAATGTCTTTTCAGATTTCCTTTCAAAACAATTCCCTTGAAAACATTATATTTTACCTATAAAGCAAGTCTAATTAAGCAGTTAAGCAGTATTCCAAATTATTGTGTTTGGAACTTCTTAAGAACAAGTTGAATCAACTGTCCAGGGCAGTTTAAGTACCTCGAATTTTCTCTTACTGCAGGAGATTTAAAAGACTTTCCAGTACTGTAATTCTGAGGTTTAATTAGAGTTTAATTTTGTATTAATGATTTCTAGTGGTTGTATGTGACAGATGCCTCCCAGTCTTCTCCCAGAAAACATAACTTCTGACATTGGATAATTGTTCAGAAGTGCTGAAATAAAATATTGAATTATGTGTGCACAAACACATTTTATATACAAAATCCTATGCTAGAACAATGCTAATATAATTGGTAAATTAAGCATCCTCAATTAGGAAATGGTAGAATTAAGGTCATAAAATTAACTTCAGTGAATTAAAGTGTGATGTACTTAAAATACACCTTTTAATTGCAAGACCCCACAATATTTTTTTCTGAGCAATTAAAGAATACCTACATGTATATTGCATTTAAAGGCACTGAGAAATATGGGGAAATTAATGATTTTGACTACATGCCTTGAAAATTGCTCATTAAATCATGACCCACAAACTGAACAAGCTAAAAAATAACCATCATTTACTGTGTATGCACAAAAGATGTGGAAGAAAAAATAACACGATACTTCAAAATTAAACACTGTACACACAAAGACTAAAATAACAAAGTTGGTAATAGTGTAGCAACTCTTACTTTTAATTGAAAGAAATGTGTTTTTATGAAGCTATCTATCAAATTTTTATTCAATTTGTTAAATTAAATCTATCAACAAGTGTAAGGATAACTGTCATTTTACTTCAACTGTAGATATAAAGAAAATAATAATGCAAATGTAGATCCATATAGAATTAATTTATCTGAGATCAATACTTCCATTGATTTTGAACAGATAAAATTAAGTCAGTATTGATCTAGATCTGGAAAATACCATTCCTTGATCAAAATCATGAAAATAGAAGCTATGAGCTAAAAAGCCTAATTGGTATAATTCAATATTGGCTAACATTTCTGTCAGGAAGTCTGATCTGAACTTCTAAATAACCCAGAGTTCTGAATGTAGCTCACTATAAAATAACATGTTATATAAACAAAGGTACTGAAGGGAAAGGTAGGTAACTGCTATATGAAAGATTAGTGGTAGTTCACAAAGTACTTACCAGACCACAGATGAAGGCCATCAAAACCATAGGAGTACAGGTCATCACCAACACCATTGCCTCCCCATCCTTCTCCACCTCCAGGATAGGGGGCATAGCCTGAAGTAGAGGCCCATCCAACTCGTAAATGAGTGGGTTCTGCCGTCAAGAATGGATCAACCTGATCAATTATTAACTCAAAGTACCACTTCTTGTATTGTGCAGAGCCCTCAGCAACACCCAAAAATATGTTTGGCCTTATGCTAAGAAAGAAAATGCAAACCAGTTAGTGTAAACATAAAATACAACATATTAATTGTATTGCTGTATAATTGTCAAATTCACTTACAAATACAATAAGTGTGTAGATATCGACATTTTCCTTACAATACTTTAAAAAGTGACCCACTTTACATAATGTTATAAAGCTGCTGTAGAATTATCTTCTAAGGTAGAGTTCAATGCTTTAAAAAACTTAGTCAAATGAGAAATAACAAGATCATTTCCTAAAATCAAAGCGAGGTTGCCAGGAAATCATATCCCTCTTAAAACACACAAGTACTTCATAGAACGTTTACATGCTCCATGATCTGTTTCGACTCATAAACAAGCAGCTTTCATGTTTCATTTTCAAAATAGATCTTACTATTAATTAGCAATTTCTATTTGAGCATTTTCCATTACAAAATGCCATATTGTTAGTAAAAATGTTGTTTGTTTTTTTCAGAAGTTAATATATAATAAATAAATGCTTCCAAAAGTGTGTGTCATGATATTGAAATCTATGGGTCATTTCTTAGGTTACAGTATTTCCTTCAATTAATTATTGAAGATATGGAAGTTGTATTTTTTCTATATAACAATAAAACATGTCACTATACCTTGTCACATCATTAATCAAACGTGTTTGCAAAAGTAAGTCTCTTCTAGGTAGTAAATTGTCACAAATCAAATTTTGATTGGCACGAACTGCAACTCCATTGCAGACACAGAGAGAGCAAAGCACATCGAGAACCTTAAAAGAAAAATCAGAAAAAAGTAGGGTAAAGGCAGCTAGCTGCATATACTACTATTCAGCTGACAGCTTAATTTACATTCAGAATAGACCTAAAGGAAGGAATATAATGCACTTTATTTTATCATTGTGGTTTTCTAAACACTTTTCACATATATGGAGCAAGTGTAGTCTGTATTACTGACAGAGGATATCAAACATTTGTGGAACAGAAATTCTGAACACAGGATTTAAACAATGCCCCAAAAACCTTCCTTTGAGATACAGTATTCTCATTTTGATTAGAAAAAACAAAGCTAGAACAGTTAAATGTCTACTCTTTACATTTTTTTATTAAATCTCTCTTAAATTTCGAAATATAAAAGGGAATTATTTGATAACTTTCCTGCAGCCCAAAAAGATTTCAGTGCAAAATTAGTGAACGATTCTCAACAGCAATTTTCTGACTGCTTATGAATCTCTTCTGAAAAGAATATTTTCTATATGAAAAATAACTCATTTATTTTTAAAACTAAAAACACTTGAAAGAATTCATCATAAAGCAAAACAGAATTTCAGAAAGATCTGAAAATTGAAGTTTCTTTTTGCTTTGTTTTAGTCTGAAAATTGAGGACGGACATAATTTTTTGCAGGAGAGAACACCAGAGAGAACACAGTGTTGTTTAATGCTGAGGGACAAAACTGCACACTTCTGCAAAATAACAGAGAAGCTTAAAGATGTACTTGAGCTCTGACAAAGAATTTTCCAGCAATGAGCCCAAATGTTCTAAACTGCTACAGATCACCTAAAAGACAAAGACGCATCTTCACACTGTTGATTACCATTTTGAAAACTATTGTACTACACCAAGAGCAGTAGAACATAACATTCATTTTAGCTACTGCTGTCATCTGCCCAGTGAATTTAGCACAAACACACCATCAACAGCAGTTTAAGCTAATATATTGCGGACATATCCCAGCTCATGCATTTTCCTTCCTACCATCTCTGCTACTGGGCAGAAACCTCTAGCGGAAGGATAGAGGTAGTAATTTAAAGAACTACATAAACTCTGACTGGTGCTCAGCTAGAAAGCAATCTAGTAACATTAATGATTACCAGTTACTCAGAATTTACATGTAAACTGTTTAAATAATCTCTGTGTTTGCTGCCTGTAGTTCTGAAACAAGGATTTTCATTTTAAAAAATCCTTCAAATCAATAATTCCCAACAATTTTACTTATTAATATTACTGTTTCTTATTCATTAAATCTCAACAGAATATCTAATCTAGCAGGAGAACAAGATATATTGTTTGTGGAGTAACAAATAAATTCATTACTTCCCATCACTTCCCATTACTTACTGAGGTGTAGTCAAATACATTACAAACAGAAGGGCACAAATCCTTTACCCAGTATATCTCTTCTCCTGTGCACATATTTTCTTTTTCTGCTCTAAATTCTCACCATAATGCCTCCATTTAGATGTTTCTGCTGAAAGGTTCTTTGTAGGTGACTGGAATAGCACAGTAATCTTTCTAAGAGCTAAAAATAGTAAACTAAACTTACTTTCAATTTCAATTTTTTTCTTATGCCTACTTTTATCAGTTTATGCTCCTTGACCATGCTTAAAAATACTTTTCTCCTTCACTCTAGTTGGTTAGGTTCTCTGTATTACTGATTTAAAAGAGAAGGCAATTTCAGCTCACTAAAACTTTCTCTGCTCTTCCTCGAGGCTATCACTTTCAAATAAAATTTTAATTGAGGAAGGAAACTCACATCAGAAAACCACATATAAACCTATATCTTCGTCTGTGTTGTGATGTCATCCTGATCGCAGCCAGAAACTCTGTTCACCTTCTTCTATCATAATAAATTGCATATTGTTGTCTAAATTAATTTCATCCAGTATTTCTTCTGGAAACTCAGGGGTTTGTTCTTTCTTCTGAACACCTGTGTTTTCAGATATTTGGATTATTTTTCTGATTTCTCATTTTATTTCTTTTTCTGCTACTATTCTTATTACTCAAATTACGAATTACTTTGCAGGACATAGGTCTCTCTTTCTGTAGATCAAAGGTAGTCCACTGCTCCTGCAGAGCCCTCTGTAACAAAGCAAGCTAGTCTGCCCACTTTCTTACAGCCATGAGAATGCTTCATTTTCTCAGCAAATCCAATGTTCTGACCGGTTACCAATATTTCTTAACTGTCTGCTTGTCAGACATATTCACTGTATTTGAAAATTTCTGAAAAGCAATAGTATGTTACACATTCTTTTAATCTCAAGAAAGCAACTTTGCAGATGTACTTTGAGGTTATTTTATTCCTTTAAGGGTACTAGAATCACATATTTTCATGTAGAAATTTCTCTTCCCCCTCCCTCCCCGCCAAAATTGTAAGATTATCAGCCCATTCTTAGTTTTTCCAACCGTACCTTGTAATTTCTCCCGTGTTTATCCAACAATGAAATAATGGATTTGATGTGTTCCTCAGATATTAAATTTAAAGCTTCCGGGCTTTCAATCAAGATGCAGTGCAATACTTCCAAAATGCCTATATAAAGGCCACAGAAACAATGCTGTAATTAAATCACCTGCATAATTGAACACAATCTAAAAGCTCAGTGAATGCGTATCTTACAAGACACTACCTTTTCTCCATCTTAAAAAGAGGATGAAAACACTTTCAAGGATTATTAATATGAATATTACACATTAGGAATAAACACATAATAAAGCTGTTACTTCCTGTGTTCTTTTGAAAATAGCCAGTTTTAAAACCAGTTGAGAAAACTGCAAGCTTAGCTCCTTCTTTTCAGTGAGACATAGAGGTTTTAATAGGGAGCACTGTAGAGTATATCAATATTTTGTTGAATACTTCACAGTGAAAAAACCCCTCTTGTCTATATCTTCATGGGTTTTGTATGGATGTCCACAGACTGGTGTTATTTAATGGTACAGTAGTGTTGATGCTGTCTGACCCAATCCATTAATTCACCCAAATCATGTTCAAAATTCATTGGATGTGGCATTGTGCATACCAAACATATGGCACCAAAAAATGCCACAAAAATGTCTCTAAGTAAATTCCTTTTTAAATTTAAAAAAACAAGTAAACAAAAAAACCCAACAAGCCAACCAAAAAAACCCAACAGCATATTTATTTTCTAATTCAGGGGAAACTGTTCTGACAATAATGTAAGACAGACGTTAACTTATAGTTAGTTTACATTGTAAAAGTGAGTCTCACCTGAGGAAGATTCTAATCTATCCAATTTACTGATTAACCAATCAAGGTTACTGGAAAATTGAGCGCAATTGTTTCTGTTGCCACGAATGAGAGCAGCTGGGAAAAACATAAGGTATAGTTTTATAACAGGAGATTTCCACTTGAAGTCATCAGTGTTTATCATATGCATTTTAACACATTTTTTAGAGTAAGTTCATGAAATAATGAACAAACAGGTTATGTTTGCTATGTTTAATACTGTAACATGTGTTACAGTATTAAAGAATTAAGGTTTTCATTATTTTGAACATCAATGACTGACATAACTTCTAGAGAGTACATAGTTTTTGAAGCTGAGTGGGATCTACCAGATAAACAGGAATTGCAGCAAAAATATGTTTAGTTTATGCTCTATTTTGTTGTTAAATTTAAATAGAAGTCATCCACCACTCTTGCTTAATGCAAATGTCAAGCACTGTCTTGACCACAGGGCAGAAATATTTATTTTTCTATTTCTTCCTACCAAGAGTGGGAAGATCATACATAGAAGTTTAAGATGAGTTTAAGAATACAATGCAGATCGTATTCACTGTTGTTCAGTTCTACCTTCTGATTACAACATATTATAGAATGTATAGCTTTTAGCATTTCAGTAGTGCAGTAGTGCAGAATGCTAAATTCAATTATTTGACTGCACTTTGAAGGTTCATCAGAACAATCAAGTCTTTTAAGCAACACTGGTTTTTTCTTCTAGAAGTTATTATTGATCATAGGGCAAAACAAAAAAGCAACTTCTGTATACAATTGTCAAGGATTTTTATTATATAGCATTAATATTTATTACACCAGAAGAAGTGTGTTCAAAATGTACCTGTAGATGAAAATCAAGACAAAATCTGAAAAAGGCCTACATAGCACTAAAAAATTTTTTTCATCCTACTTTTCTTTAAACTCATAAGACTGAAGTAAAATACAGGCAATCGTAACTTTCTACTTTCTAAAGCAATGAGACAACTTCATCTGAAGCACCTGCATGTCTGTTCTACGTGAATATGCTTCAAAGCACTTCTCCTGGTTTCTTTTATTCTTGTCCTGACTCTCAACTTGCTTATTTTACTATGGTTCAGGACTAACTTTCTTTGTAATGAAATTAGAATGTATGTAAACTCCATCAGAAGACAAGAGTCTCCTTTATGAGGAGTAACACAAATCAGTATCAAACTAGAAATTTAAAGAAATATACATATAAATATTTTTCCTGCTCTATAATTTTGGTTCTTCTACAGCACAGAAGTAGTCTGCTGTAGAAACCATGCAAACCATTGAAAAAAATATTTCCACTTCTGTTTTATATAATTATTTAAATTAACCTTTAAATCTAAGCCTCAAGTAACAAACATTGAGGTCAGCAAACCTGACTATTACTTTTAGATTTCCTTCACCTTCGCATACAAAGACTGTTTTCTAGTTTCCTCAGTTTTTAAAATAATAATTCACATCTATTTGCATACCACATGTACATTTCAATTATTTAAAAAAAAAAAAAAGCTTTTTGCATGTTTCACAGAACTTTTCCCTAGCAGAGATCTATTTTTCTGCTGTATCATTGCTCAATAAACTCTGTTCTCTCTAATGAACAGGAGTAAGTATATGGAAGAAAATCTGTAATTTACACGATGGAATGAACAACACAGTGGTGTTATTTGACTATCTTTGGTCAACGGTCTTTGATGGTGAAGCAGTAAGTAGAACATAAAGAGTACATATGCTGGGTTTTTTTACATTAGTACGTTGTTGAAGAACTTACCTAACAATTTGTAAAGGAGATTCAAAATTTCTTTCCATGCAGTACCGTGTTCTTCCCTTGAAATTCCTGCAAAATGAGCTGCACTGTTGTAGTCATTTAAGCGATCAATGCAATTCAGAACTAGTGCCAGCATTCCCTAAACACACGTGACAGAGAGGAAAGCAAACAGTACATAAAAAAGTATTTGTTGTTTCCCTTTAGAAAGATTTTTTCTTTTATAAATTGGAAACTTGCATTATCTTAAATAAAAAAACATCGACAAACAAACAGAAAAACAACAATTGTGCTTACAAGATTTGAATATGTATTTTTCTGTATAATTCCTTTTAAAGAATGATTCTATATTGTTCCTTACTCAACTAAGTATTATAAAAAATGAAGAATAAAAAGCTGACAATAAAGGCTTTTAAAATTATCATGAACAGCCTTTTTTACATGAAATCTTCCTTGCATAATAAGAAAACCCTTTAAATTTTTATAAAAGGGAATTCTTGTTGATAAAAAGGTGGAAATACTATTATCCAATATATATCTGTAAAAAAATTTTAAATACCAAAAGAGATTTTTTATTTCAGTTTGATTGCAGACTCAAAAGGTATTGAAAACCTGCAAGCAATTCAAACACATCTAAAATCATTGTAAAATATGTTTATTATGTTATACAGAAATGTAGTTATTCTGTTTTCAGAGAGGAGCAATTCAACAATTGTGTAATACATATCCTTCCCTAAATCAAGCATTCTCCCAGTTTCTAGAGACAAAAAGTTACTGATTCACATCCTGGTGTGCAGAAAAGACATCAGAAATAACATCTCTTATTGATCCAGGGTTTATTATTCATTTGGGGTATCCAACTTGTATAACTTCATAGAGAGAAAAGGAAATTTCTTATCAAAACTGTTTCTTGCAAAAATGACATCTGTTTAATGATGCTCAGAAGTATCAAGACCAAATTTTATAACAGAGGGTTTTTAGCCTCGGACAAATGTGTGTGTGTGTATATGTATATATATATCAGCTACAGAACCATACATTATAGAACATATGTATACATCTAGTTGATAATGTTTAGATTCTTCTCAATGTTTGTGACACAATACACTTGAAACTAAAATAAGGTAACAATTCCTCTCTCTGTACCTCTTCTTTGAATAAATTTTGTCTGTTTTTGAGTGAGCGGAGTTTGTTTTGCTTATCTTCATGTTGCAGGTCTTCTTCGGGAAGCTGGAAGTATGTAATAAGGTCTTGCAGAGTCTGAGCCATCTCCTCAACAGGCAGGGCAGAGGGTGATAGTGTTCTGTTGTTTCCACTATGGAAAACAACAAGAAAGACTGGCAACATTAATAATTTTCCCACTGTAATTTACAGTACTGTGTAGCAGCCTATTTTCTGTTGGTATCTAAATCAAGTTTTGTTACACATATGACATATGCTCGTATGTATATGAACAACACATAATCTGAACTGAATATCATTCAAACACCAATTATTTGTGTGTCCAGCACTCATAGCTTCCAGCAGTGGAATCATGCTTCCCTTTCCACACTGATGTAAACAGTTTTACGGTAATTGATTTTGTTTAGATACTTTAAATTCCTATTGATGATTTAGGTGTAATGTGCAGATGGGCTAAAGCAGTACCAATTATTGAAGCTATACACCCCCAGTCTTCTAGAAAAAGAACACAAAAATAACAGGCAATCCTAACCATGAATTAGGCCTTCTGTATCTATTCTATATAGGAAATAAGGAAGGGTGGGATTTAAAAATAGAAAGCATTTCAAGGTATCTCAGTTGTCAGTAAAATAATGACTCTTTCCTGTTCAAGTATTTTCTCAATCTTGTGTGACAACCCAATTTTCCACGGCCTGACTCACAACTATAAATAGGAGGAGTTAACTGCTGGCAAAGGTGGCTCTGTTTTCATATCCTCAGCCCAAGAAATACAAAGGAGTAGTGTAGGCTCTTGTGATACTGAAGCAATAATGTTTTAAACACATGCTTGTATGGTGGTTTCTGTGGAAGGAAATATTTAAATACAAACTCACTTTCCTGTATTTTTCTCATCAAGTAGGTAGTAATACTAGGATATCCACTTGATCAACATAATTAAAACTTCTGCCAACCACTATGAAAAAATAGTTTCTTCAGTACTACATACATTATAGATTTCATTGTGTATTCTTATACAAAATTCTAGGTATCATAGAATAATTATGAATGGAGTTAGACTGAGATCATTTTGGAGGTTTTCTTCAACCTAGGATCCAGCTTGCTTCTGACTTCAAGGTATTAGATTTCATGTAAATAATCTTAAATAAACTGTTTTATCTATTTAATGGCATTACTAATCAAAATTGAAAATTTAAATTAGTAAAAATACATTGCTAATAGCTTCTAAATTCAAATATTTGAAAGCAGGAAATACGTATGCTCTTAGAGAAATTCTTATAATTTCAGAATACTTTAAAAACCAGAATGGTAACAACTACCTTATAAAGTGGCTGAATAAGCTTGTAGTATTGCGAATGATTCGAGCAGCCTGGGATTCCTCGTGCTGACATCTTTGTAATGTGAGGCCATCATCCATATGACCTTCTTGGTGTAATATAACCTATTGAAAGTCAGTAATTATCACAATAGTTACTTAAAAACACTTTTTACTTTTAAATATGTTGTAACATTTCAATATTGCACTAAAAACAGTAATGGTATATTTGGCATGATAATGGAGCTACTATTTGTTAATCACTTTATCTGGACACCCATTAAATAGCTACAAGTTTTTCAGTGTCACATAAGTTATTCAGAGAAGACATTTATTCTTCCACAATTCATTAAAAAAGATATTTTCCAATTAAAATAAAAAATGTTCTTTTATATTCTGTCAGAGAAAGAGGATCTTCACTATCTTAAGCGTCATTTACTAAAGGATTCATCCATGAAAAGACTATTGACAAGAAAAATCAAGCTGGAGTGATAAACATCATAAAAATTACAATGCAGCTAAAGATGCTGTAATGTTTATGAGTAACCTCTGTCTCATTTAACTATTTCTATGCACTATACTGGATTCTTATCAGAAGCAGATGGGAACATCATATGAACTTCAAGCAATAATAGAGATCACTTGGTAGGGTTTTAATCTTTCCCTTCAAATAAACATATAATATCACAAAAAGACAGCATAAATTTTAGGTATCACAAAAGTCTTGGTCATTTTGAGTCATTAAAATCCTGCAACAGTTTTGTAAGAAGTAAATATGAGCTATCCAGCTTCTTTGTCCAAGAGGTAATCTACTGAATTCTCCACTGAAAAATGTATTTTTTTAGCTTTAAGTTAGTAGAAATTTGCAAGTGACTAGTTAGCAGAGTAATTCTGAAGGCACTGAATAGCTAACAAAGACACCAATAATGTTATACGAGTAGTTACTGCCACAAATGGGAAAGTTATTTACCAACAACTTTTTGTACATACTAGTGTATAGGTATATCAAAGCACTGGAAAGTGATGTTTTTCTATACTGGTCAGAATCTAGAGCACACATGTGCTCTGTTCCTTCAAATATGCTGAGGAACAGCTTTTAAAAGAGACAAACATCACGCTGTGAGGTTATCTGGACACTAGAATCCATGGAAATATGATGCAAAAGACTAGGAAGGTATTTTTGAATGATTACATTAATAATTTTATCTTGAAGAAGGCTAGTATACATTTTGATCATCTTTCCTCTTGCTTTGAATACTTTTTAAACATAGAATCAAACTGTTGGTGACTTTGCTAGATTGAATACCATTATTTAACATAGAGAAGGGTCCTGAGGTCCCTAAACTGAACAATCACTGATGAGCTGCTCTTCCCATCACAAAACTAGTAAGAAAATATTTGACATTCAGATAATGTTTCTTCAGGCCATTGTATATAGCTCCAAATTTTGGAGCTACAGGAATGGAAACATTTGACAGATTGGATATAAAAGCTGCCATGCCTTGCAAAGTAATTGCATCACCATTGTGGAGCAGATACGCACTCTTCTCCCTAACCATGCATGGGATAAGGAAAGAGATGAGTCTTTTAGAAGGACTAATCTTTCCTACTTCTCTGACCAAAAAAACCCAGAAAAACAACAAATAACCAAAACCTCAACTAAATCATCCAGAAACATCACAATGACAGGAAAGTACAATTTAGAACTCGAGTGAGTAGATCACAGACAGAAGCATTCAGCACTGTCTACACCAGTTCTCCAGATAAAACACTTCTCTGCATAGAAAAGGGGACATTTGGCACTGTCTTGTTTGTTGAGGTACAGCAAGGCATTGACAAAGAGCATGTACAATGGCCTCCAGAACATGAATCCAAAAGATATAACGTATGTTTCTCTGTTCTCTGAACATTTTGAGAGCATTTTGGAGCTCTGCAGGAGTTCATAGCTTGCACAGAAGCAAACTCTCAAACTGAAAAGACAGATAACTATCACTCACTGGATGGTGGAGGGATGTTGACTAGAATATTAATGTAAACTTCATCATTACCTGGCAAAGTCTTGAAGTCTTGGTCACCACAATCTCAGAGAGAGACAAAAAAATAACAATTCTCGCAGAAATCATGCAACAAAAGCCTCAAAAATGATGCCAGAATTTCTTTATGTTTGTGTCTTACAAAGAGAGTATAATAACTAGGTATATGAAACTGCACCAAAAGCCAAAAACCCAGAAATTTTTACTGGGAATTTTTAGGATTTTATAACAAAATCAGTCCCATAGTTGTTTTCTCCTCTCTGTGGATTTGCAGCAGCTGACAGTGATAATAGCTGGGTTATGTGAAGAAAAAGTACCCTTTACCTCTTACAAAAACAAGGTATTTCTCAATCCTGCTAGGTCTAAAGAGTCATGTTATGAAAATTGCAGGCCAGCTTGAGAGGGAATACAGTAAATGAAAGTGAAAATCTCCTCACATAATGATGGCAGAGGATGAATATAAAGCAGTGACTTCACTTTTACTATGGAAAAATAAATTTGATAGGAAATTTATACATCTAAACTTTCTTTACAAAATTATAGTCTAGTATAATATATTGCAGAGGACGAAAAACTGGGTTTTGGCTCCACAGAAATATGAATTACTGGAAACTAGAAGGCTTGGGTTTTCTTCTGTTTGAAGGCATTAACAAGATAGAATTCTCTAGGTGAGAGGGCAACAAAGGATTTGAAGTCTTTGAACATGAATGAAACAGTTTCAAAGGAGAACAAAAGTGACAGGCAGTTATGGCAGGTTCTTTTAGAACCCTCGCTGCTGAGAACTGGGGAAACAAAACACTAAACATCACTGGAAGCTATTGTAAAATTCTTCACTGAATACAGAGCACAAATCTCCATGTTGCCTTTTCAAGAAGTGAAACTGGACGCTCTGAGAAAACAGAATACCATAGCCAGTTCTGGCACGGGAAAGGAAGAGGCTATCATTGTGTGATTTAATATTTTAACAAGAAAATACTGAATGACTGGCATACAAAGAATTTCTCTGATCAGCAATGTTACTGAGAAGTGAAGGGTTGGGCACTCATCTACCCATTTATGATGACCATGTATGCTGCATATGAATAAATCTGATTATGCCAGGGGTATGTTATAAGGATCTCATTGTTTCATATTACACTGCTTGTATATGGGTATCCTCTTATGAATGTACATATGTACAAGTAATTAAAAGAGAATTCCAACTTCTTTTCAGTAATGAATGGATTTTTTCCTTTCTCATGTTCTAATGATAAGCTGTAGTTGTATAATCTACAAATAGAGAATCAAGGAATCATTTGATAATGAAGCATTTATGTGACCTAGTATTAAACTCCTTAATACCGAACAAAATGTGAATGTAATTTGAAGATTTAACAGATGATATGCCCTTAATTAAGAATATAATCATACCCTATAATCAAAAGGCTGAATGAAAGATCTTGATGTCACATCACAATTACATTTAACATTCGAGGAGGAAATCATTCACAAATATCCCTTAAGAAACTTGAGGATTTTCCAGACCCATTTCTTAAGTAACAAATTTAATTGCCATTTCACAAAATATACTCAATAAAAAATCTAAAACATCAGTGAATGTAAGATGACTTACAAGTTTATACCAGTTACAACAGTTCAATGTAAATTTTCAAAAATTTAATTTAGCATTCAAGTCAGAAATTTCTATCTTTTACTGGTGTAAAAAATTAAAGCACAAATTAATAATTTCTTCTGACAAGAAAAGTAGTTAAATAAATTACTTAGTGGCAAAGTTTTTTCTTCCAGTTATATAGTTATTTTAATATCCACCACTGTTTACATTTTTAGAATGAAATACTCACATTTTCAATATAGCAGCATAAAATAGTTAAACCCACAAACTGTTATGCAATTAACATTCATTTCACACATAATTAAAAAGAATATCAAACATTACCTTTCTTTTCAAGGGACCTAAACGTGCCGATTTAGCGTCCAGTGCTTTGTAAGTCAACCATAAGGAAGTGGCCACATGTTGGACAAAACAGATCGAATCACCATACTTTATTTCTGGGACTCCCATCCCATCCATGTCACGTTTGAGACTAGAATCCTGCTTTTCTTTTAGCTCCTAGGAAGATAAAATAAAGTTAACATTCAATCTCTGTACTGGAATAGGATATGTAACTACCCTGGTACCCTATATTACAGTACTGAAAAATGGTTATGCTACTTATGCTCTTATCACAGAGCTAAATTTTATTTAACATAATTTTTGTTTCTATACAATTAATTATTCAGATTGTGATTAAAAATAATTTCAAATATCAAGCCTCCTTTTCTCTGAAGCAAGAAAAATCAAGTAAAATCTCTAAAGATTAAAAAAATCTTTAAATGTTTAATTTAACAAAATAATGGAGCTACCGGTGTAAGTAAAGTTTTAGTTTAAGAGTCTGTAGAATTCTGTATAAACAACATTCTTGAATTTTACCTTAAACATGAAAAATAAAAATAAACAGAAACCTATTTTGAAATGTAGTTAAAATATTTGTATGCAAAATAATTTTTTGTTTATGAATTGTATATACAGATAAACACTTCACTTGAATAATACATCTGTATTGCAACAAGAAGCAAAAAAAGAAAATACTAATTTTAAAAATAAGCAAAGTTTGGCCTTTACCTTTACTTTTGAATTTCTTAATTTTTTTACATTTATTTAATGTTTTTATTTCTCCACTTTGTAAGAGGAATTGGATTTTTTCAAAACATTTTTAAAGACATTGCTCAATGCTTGGCTAGAACATCCAGTTCTTAAATCCAGACTATATATATATATATATATATATAAAAAATATATAATATATATATTAAATATATATTCTTATATATATATTCTTATATATATTTCTTAATTGCATTCTTCTTCATTTATAACTGGAGGATTTTAAGATCGCAGCACAAAAGCAAGTATCCTTTTCTTTAAAATAAAATGTTCAGCCTTTCATAATTGAATTCAGGAATAAGAACAGAATTATGTAGCAAATTTTGCAATATCAAGTTACAGATACATGTGATTCAACAAAAAAACTTTAAGAAAATAGAGTAATTAATGAACATCATTTTTCTATGCTTTCAACTGCTGATGGACTTAAGTGTAGATAGTTGTTAATTTGTTGGTAACTAAACAAAACGTTAGGAATTGATACACATTTTCATATGTGTAACAGGGTGTTTGTTAATTTCATTTCAGGTTACCAAATTTTCATCATCTGTGAAGAAAACAGAAGTTGTCTTCTAGCTATGCTAATCTGCTTTCATTTATACAGAATTCAACTGTCACATTTCAACAATAATTTTAGTTGGAACAGGTAGCATTATAATGCCAAGATGAAATTGAATGAAATTACAAGACATTCTTTGAGGTTATCATTGCAATGTGAAAATTATGAGGAACTCATGTCACATCACATTTGTGTGGACTGCACTATCACCTATGAATAAAGAGGAATTACTTCAATACATATTTGCGGTGACGCCATTAAATGAAAAATACAATAAAATAGCACAAATTCATTAACTGTCAGCAATTACTTTATTGACTCTACACAGCATCCTGAATATTAGAACATTTTTTTTCAAATATTGCATCTGCATCTGAAATCATAACTTGGTAACAAGCAATACTAAATAAGTTACTGTTTTGAAAAAAATTAAGTGATACTGATGCTTTTTGACAACATTAAACATACGGAAAAAACCAAGATTTTTTGAATTTCAGAAACAAAGCTTTAGAATTATTTTGAGGGCCTGAAGACCCTTCAATAAATACAGCATAAATTCCTCTTAGTCATGTTTTGCTCCTTGCTCTCTGTCCAGTTTCTCTAGGATTTCAGCCAAGTAATTTGATCACAGTGTGATCACGAAAACAGGGTGTATTTTACACCAGCTGAAAAGTATAGTCAGATAAAGATTACTGGCGGAGGAGGGAAAAAAAACTCTTATATAAATATTTGAACATATCTTAGCAGTAAAATATCCAGGTACTTTCTCTTTAAAATCCTCTCCTCACAACCTGTTCTCAGTTTAACTCCCTCAGCCTGTAAATTAATCAAATCAAAGGAAACAAGTCACATCATGGGCCTAGAAGATGTCAAAGGAAAAATAACAATAATAATTAAAAATAATAAAAGAAAGATGGAATGAACAAAGGAATTTGAGGGCAAAGCTGTCAAAGATGATATTTTCAAAAGAACAAGAATTAGTGAGAAAATTCATAGAATCATAGATTCCTATGTGATGGAAAGAAGGTAAGGAATGACATGTGAACAGAACAAATAAAGCCAACTGCCTTTACAAAGATTTTTTTCAATAGTAAAAACACAGTAGGGGAAAAACTTTTAATGCTTAAGGGCTTGCTTAGACACCCCTAAGAATGGTAAAACAACCTGTCTGCTGACCCTTAGTAAATCTATCCTGCATAAAATTTTATCTTTTGGTGTTGCACATTGTTATTGCAATAAAAATAGTGCCATATTTAACAAAAGAAAAAGATAAAAGTCTACAGATATAACAGCAAAGGACTGATGCACTGACCTAAATTATTTACTCTGTATGTGTTTCTACACCCCAGCAGGCACAAAAAAATAAAAAGGAGGTGATTTTTATTTTACCTTCTATTTTCTCCTCCCATATAAAATAAGTAGAAAAGTAGTTTAATACTCTATTTGAAATGCAGTGCTTACATGGGAAATTACTATTTTAAATTATAAACTTAAAAATAAGTACTTGAACTTTTAAAGACAAATGTAGGTAAAGGACACAGTAATACCTATCATCTTATTCAAAAACCAAATTAATCTTTATGATTACTACTAAACTATTACGACATCCTAATGCCACGTTGAGTCCCTAAGACAGCTACATGCTGGCAGTAATATTAAAATGATATCAAATCCTTCTGCATGAGTCATCTGTGACTTTTGAATGTGTCAGAATGTTACTTACCAAGGCTATACCAATAAATTTTTATTGTCAATTTTATATATCATAAATAAAATATGAAATCTCAAATATTAATTCTGGGCTACACAAATTTTAAACAAACAAATATTTTTAAATATTCTCTTGTTTGCACTGTATTTAATCTCAAAGAAATTTGTAAGTAGAACCAAGATTCTGCTCAGCAGTGTATACTGAGCCAAGTACTGTGCTGGATTGAGAACATCCTATTTCAAAACAGGATTCCATCTGGTGTAGAGAAACTGCTGTCTCTGTTGTCACAAGGCATTACAGATCTGTTGCCTTAAAAATATAAAGGTTCACATTTTAAAACTTGGTCAAAAGTAAGGTCCATATTATAACCAATAAAAGATGTGATTTTGGGGGCTTTCCATCAATTTCTGCTACTTATATCTTAGTTTGCAGTAATTTGCAGTAAACAGGCACATATTACATATGCTGTTTTCATTGAAATCAGCACCATGATGTTCTTCAGCATATTCTTTAACTTTTTTTACAAGTTCCCTTCTGTTCTTATTTATGTAACGACGTAGTAAGGAAAACACTAATTTGAATTTTTTTTAATTTAAAATAACTGTTTCAATTTCCAGTGCTATTCAGCAAAAAGAAACAAAACAAGGAAAGTAAATTATGAATGCAACCAAAGATTTTGAAAAGCAAGGAACAGACAAGACTGATGGAATGTAACACTAATGAGGACAAAGGTGTTTTTTCGACAAGAGAGTCTCTATAACAACTGCTGGAAAAATGAGACTTCATTTAAGTCATGTGTTATAGGCTCCTGGGAAGCCTTGGGGGTTTCACATAGCTCTGCCTTCTGGCAAAGGTAATACCGCTTCTCTGCAAAAACCCTTCTGCTGTCTTCCAAATTGGAAAGAATACTGCAATGGAAAAATGTTTTATTCCCCTTTGGATACTCTGCAGCAGTGTTTAATGTGAACAATCTTGGACTAGATGACTTCACAGGGTCCTTTCCAATTAGAATTACTCTATTAGTCTAAAGGACAGGAGTGCTGTAAACAGGCAGGTATTCCAGCACTCCACTTTTAAGAATCTGTACACAGTTGGACACAGAGTTATTAGACAGGTATCTTGATATTTCCCTAAATTCATATCATAATAAAGGCCAGGTAAGTGAAAATATTTCTCCATTGAGAAAATGAAACAATTAAAGGTTTACAAATACATATGTGCAGAAATTAAGATAAAATTTATATATTGCATATATCTAGTCCAGCTATTAGTTCTATGGTACTTTTTCCTCTCAATCTGTATGTCATCAGCACTTGGCTGAAGGAGCCATTTCCTTCTTACAGTCCAGGTCAACCTTTGGGGTTTATTCCCTTCCAAAACTTCACCTTTCTTTCTTCAGGAAGAGTTATCACTGATTGTTCCCCTCACCTTTGGAAATACTAATATCTCTACCCAAGGGACAGTGCAGCTCTTTCCTGCTCGGACAATTAATAACTACTCTTATACTTGGCTTAGGAAAAAGCAAGTTTATAACTTATTTTGAGATAGAAATATGCTTTTCTATATAGGACAGCACGTATAGGACAGGATGATTAGACACTGAGCTTGTATTTAATACAAAAATGTACATTAACAACCATATTATGCATAAACACAGCAGACATGAATGATTTCAGCACAACTAATTACTACTGTGCTTCAGCTTAGTCATTTTGGGCACTGTAATAAATTTCACTAAAGGGCCTTTGAGGCACACCTCAACAAAAAGAGTAAGAAAATAGGGCATGTTTAATCAATGTAACAGAAATTATTTTATTAATATTCATACAAAAACATTAAATATATATACTTAAACTTATACTTTTATATTCATAGATTAAAACACTGAAAAATATCAGGACAGCTGATGTCCAATTAGGTAGTGAGTATATTAAAGGAATTTTAATACAAATGTTTATCAAGTGGCATTCCTGAGATACTCACCATACTTACCATGATTTGCCAAAAATGGGAAAAAATTACAGCAGTAATAAATGCCCCTGCACAACATCATATGTACAGTCTACACTGCATAGCCTTTACATTGAGTAAAGAATTAAAAAACTATGTGGTGAGAAACGAGCAATCAAGGGAAATTTCCTGATAGTTTTTCAATTAGTTTGATTGGCTAAAATAAAAATTCATTAAATATCATATGCAGTCACACTAATAAACATCATTACTTTAAACATGCTAAGAACACTAACAAAAGTCTAGCATCTGTCAAGACTCTTAATGCTAGATTTTATCTAGTATTCAACTAACTTTAAAGATTCTTTCACACTACCCTTCAGGGACCATACAGCATTCATAATTAGGTGGAAAATTTAGTTTCTCACAGTTAATAAAAAACTATATTGCAGCATCTATGCAACTATTTATAAGTAAAATCATGAAAACAAATAAAAGCTTTTAATCATTGTCGATTATAAAAAACTTCCTGGGAAAAAAATTTATTAATTTCTCCTACCTCCACAATCAATCATTCTCCATTCTCTCTCCCATGTATTGTTTTTCCCAGCTGGAGATGATGATAAAGCTAGTAACATGCAATTAGCAGCTCACTAGAGAGCATAGTTTGAAAACATATGGTTTAGAAATCACTGAGTACATTTTCCTTGCATTTAGGAAAAATTCAATTGAGTTCACTTCAATTCCCATCAACATACTGCACAAAGAATAGCAACTGAACTGAATTCAATTGAACTAAATTATGACAGATAGAGCTTGAATGTATAACACTAATGAGATTCTAACTAAAATGATTCTATAATTATTAAAGTATTCATTATAAACCACTGTATCTTGCATTGTATTTGTTTTCAATCTTGTTTTTTACTGTGGTAACAGTATAGTTTATTCTTAAATTTATTAATCATCCCAATTTTTTCTAAAGGAGACCTTTGTTACTCTTGACTCAGTTGTTTACCTTTGTATTTCAATGAATAATCACTGTCAATTACTTCAATTTAGAAATTAAAAGTAATTTATACAGTTTTTGAAACAACTCAGATTTAGTGTTTGAGTGCTCCACATTCAGAACAAATTTGCATTTATGTTATTTACCTTTGATGCTCTGAAACAAAAAGCAGTAGATGTTGTGTCTGACTTTTCTCTGTCTAATATTACAACTCCTTCATCTTCATTCAGAGCCAAATACTTTCCTGTTGTAATATGTCGAAGACGGAAAGGCTGTCCCCATCTGATATTACTTCCACTCCAGCTAAACATAAGAGACATCAAAAAATAGTTTATGAACTAAACAAACCTAAAATTTCTACTTTGGGCTCTAAAGGGTGTTCAGAAAATAGAATGTGCTATATATTACTTTTTGGTTGTGATTTTAATATGTGCATAAAAACACATGAAAAACTGTTAATACATTTGCAAAGGGAACCGTGGAAAGAGTATAGCTTTCATCTTCTTGTTTCTACACTCTCTCTCTGTTTTATTAGGGTATTACATGTGGTGTCCATAAAAACATTCTACATGTGTAAATTAACTACTGTATTTTAGTTGACCGACTAAACAAACAAATTAAATCTAAGGGAGGACTCAACATTCCACAGAATTATCGTATATCTCTCTTAGTTATGAGGGTATTTCATTTGCAATCACAAATGCACCAAGGGTAAAACAAACTTACAGTTCAGAAGGCCATCAAAGTTAAAACATACACAATCTTATGGTATATATTGAAATTTCACTTCCAGCAAAATAACAGATAGCTAATCACCTGGGAGGCTCATAGATTCTTAAAACAAAACAAAACAAAACACAAACCACAAAACAAACAAACAAAAATTCACACAGGAGGGATATTGCTGCTCTGATTTCCACCCTTGCTTCTAAAACTCCAAGTGAAAACCAGAAAAACCTTTTACTTGTGGACAGAAGCAATATCCCAAGCAGACATATGTCATAGCCAATGCTGCTTTTAATATGGGAAACAGAAAAAAAAAAAAGTCTTAAAATACTGACATTCCCCATATGAATATATCACAATTTGATTGATTTTTATTATTGACAAAGAACATACTAACACATATCATACAGCATGACAAATATATTAGTCATGTTCTGCCTTAAGGGTCTGTAATAATCAAATTGCTGTGAACATAGGGAGAGTCGCTAACAAGAAAAGTTAAAAAAATATCAATACCTTATTCGAAGGGGTTCTACTCTCCACAAAGACCTTGCTCGAACGCCAGCTCCTCCAGTTTCATAAAGGACTTTTCTACAGAAAAGATTCAGAAGATCATCCTCTTGTGTTTTTTGTGTTAACATAGTATTTATAGCTTATGTCTCTGCACATCACTCCCTACTTCCCTGCTAAACAAATGGAGCTGAATGGACAGAAGATTCCTACTCATCACTGAGACCATCATACACAATCCAAATATCCCAGGTAAATTAGACTATTTCCATTAAGCTATTCTCTCTCAGGAGTTGATAAAATTCAAAGTGGCTGAAGAACTTTTCCAGTTACTTAAATAGTTATACAAATATGTAATTCCTACAGTTCCAAAGAGATTACTAAAGGTTTTAAATACATATACACAATATTAAAATAAATATATATGTTTTCAGATACTAATGATTCTCTTCATGAACATGACACTGAGACTTCATTCCTACAATTACTTGTATGATTCACATGAAAGGACAAAAAGAGTGGTGATAAAAAAAATTCTGCATTATAATCTTTACAAAACAGATAATACAGATAAAATTATATAATGGTTTTAGAAAATTTAGAGAAATAAAAAAACAGGAAGTGAAAGAACTAAACCTTTACTATAATCTAGTTTTCTTGAACTATTGTCTGGAGATCAGTGGTATCTTTTAGTGCTGAAACTAATATTCTATTCAATAGTCAAATACAAACAAAGACAATCTATGGTGGATTACAAAGACAGGTTGTTTCTAAAAGTAGTCTAACTATGGCTTCTGTTCTACATAAGGTATCTAGTTCTCATAATTTTCTAGTATTTTTATACTAGGTGTGTATATTTTGATACTCAGTGCAAACTTTGTATCTTTTTTTCTATACAGATATGAAGAGAATAGCAATAAATATTCACCAACAAGTGCATTTTGCTGATATTCCATTTGGATTTTCTTTTGGCTTTGGAGACAGTTTTACTCCACAGAAATGTAAACATGGAAAATTTAGAGCTGAAAAGTTTACAGGACTGAAAGTTACTTGTGGTATCATATTACCTAAAGCATAACTTATTTGCCACATTGGTATGAAGATCTTATTTGTTGAATATGATTTTTAAAGCTAGGGGGTTTGTGTATCAAATTACTAGCTTGCTGTGATTTTGATTAATGGCAAAATATAAAAAAATGCATAAAAATTTCAACATAAATATGTAACAACTGTAGATGCAAGTTCAATACAAATGTAATTTTGTCTACGTAACATGACCTAATTATCTTAATATATTACTCAAATTTAAGACAGCAAAAGCTTGTCAAAAGTTGCAAAATACATAAAATATGGAAGTCATTGTAGAGGCAAAACTTATTTGATTTGGTTTGGTTTTAGAGGGTTTTTTATATTACCATCTTCCCTACTAACAGTAGTTTACCTCTACTTATAGCAGTACACATTAAAGACAAATAATATAACAGGATGAAATTTCAGTGGAAATCAACCACTTAATTTTCAACAATAAATGAACTCATGAATGATTTTCTGCTTAGTAGGTGCCTACTTCTTGTAACAATGCCACTACCTAATGAAAGACTACTGTAAAGAGTTTTAATCTATCTAACCTCCAATTCAGCTGACAATCTTTTCCATTTCTGAGAGAAGGAAACATATAAAAATACACCATCACTTACTTGTGCTGTGAATCATTCTGATCTGTAGATGGAATTGTCAAGCACTCATCATGGCCATGGAAAAAACGTACTACATGCCCACCAAGAAGATATCCTGTAGAAGAAGTTCATTTACTCATTAGCTTAAACATTGACAATATGAAAATAACACTCTCATAAAATTTAAAAAATTTCAAAAGAGCTAGATGAAGTGTTTTCCAAATTTTCAGTCATAACTGAAATTAAACAAGGACAAATCTAGTATGATGACAGGCTATTTTTAATACCTTTTTCAGTTAAAAATATTTCTTCTGAAAATGAAGACAAAAAGAAAGCAATTTCTTAACTTTCAAAAATCAAATTAGGATTCTGGAGACAGAAAAGGAAATGAAAACCCTCCGCAACATTTATTGGTTTGAAAATTGAAGAAATTAAATAGTGTAAAAATGTCCTGCTGAAGTTATGCTCTCTTAAACAAAGAAATGGCTGTGCCATGACAGACTAAACTTTCTTCTAGCCTTGAATCCTGTTTCCAAAGGTTTTAATTGTGCGTGTCTAAGGAAAGAGTATAGGGAGAAGGCAAGGAGCAGCGATGCTTTTCCAAACCCTATGATTTGTGGTTGTGAGATTTCCTGAACTGGAGATTAAGTCTTTGTACGATTATACAGTGCTAAGAAAAAAGATATTCCTTTACAGCTGGAATTTAATTGTATATTAACACATTAATTACTTATCCCTGCAATCCTCCTGCACTTGCCAGGAAAGAGTTGTTTTATGTTCCTGGTGGTGGTAATTGATTACCATACAGTAGGCTGGGAAATACCAGAACAAGAAAACAACATGCAGAAAATGTTCAGGAGGGAATTTTTTGCCACCATTTAAGCTGGGTAGAGAACAGTTCATTTCCATGCAGACTAAAAGCTGTGAGTAGTTTTAACTTCTCTGCATATTTGTGGATCTTTTGTATAAACTTAGGCCAGTTTTGCAGTCAACCTGATTTGTGGGTACTCAGAGAATGTAATATTGTGATGGTATGTAGTTTTTACATCAATATATAATCAAATCAATATATTGCCAAATCAAATATATATGTACCACAGTACAATTTAAATTAGCTCAATGCAAAATAATTTCATGAGTTCATCAGTTTGTCCTGACATTTATAATCTGTGTCAAAATCAAAAGTGTAGCAGTAGGAGAAAGAGAACAGAAAAACACTTTGAAGTTCTGAAGATTAAGTTTAATGGAAACTAGCTTTCCAACCCATTTAACACAGAGTGCAGGCACTTTGCTTTACATTAAAGAAGAAAAGACGAAGGGTGTAGGAGGAGAATGGTTCATCAGACTTTCAATTTAAACAGTTCTGACCTAGTAAGTGAAATTAATGCCTTTTGAAAGAACATACATAAAGGAGGAAGGAAAGAAGAAAACTTTCATACTGTGCAGCTGATTCAAAATAAATTTGTAAATTAGGAAAACAGTAACTGACAGTTACTCTGTTGCCAACTAATGCAAAAATTAAAGCAAAGAAAGAATGTGAAAAAAATACGCTTTCCTGATATTTACGTTCCATCAAAAGTTTCTCAAACATTGTAAAATGTACATTGTCTGATTCCAAATACAACTTTACACTCAGGAAATCCTGCTTTCTCAGTCTGTTCATTCAACGTGAGCTAGACTGCTATGTCTTTTTACATATGATCATCTCTCATAAACCATTCTGAGAACTGTATATACAACTAAACCCATGTCTAAGTAGTTGGAAAAAAATTGATGGACACAGAAAACCTACTTCTCTGCTTACCTTACCCCAACCTTTTTAGTTTAATTTTTTTAATTACAAAATTTTGGATTATGTAACCGATTGTGGGCTACACAGTATAAGGGTTCCAAGTACAGCAAAGGGACACTGAAATGATTAAGAAACTGGTGCATGTCACACATGAGGAAAGGATGAGAGAACTGGGACTGCTGGACCTAGAGAAAAGAAGGCTCGGGGGGGATTTCAGGAACATAAAGAGGACAGGATCAGGGTGTCTTCAGTGGTGCCCAGTGACAAAACCAGAGGCAATGGGCACACATCAAAACATGGCAGGGTCTTTCTGAACATCAGGAAACGCTTTTTCATTTTGAGGGTGTCTGAGCACTGGCACTGGTTGCCCAGGGAGGTTGTGGAGTCTCCATCCTTGAAGAGAGTCTAAACCAGTCTAGACACAGTCCTAGGCAACCTGTTCTAGGTGGACCATCTTGGAAAGCAGATTGGACCAGGTCAGTTCCTACCTCAACAGCTCTGTGATTTTGTAAGCTCTGAGGAATTTTATCTGCCAAATCCCTTCTGTTACAGAAATCTAAAATATACCATTGATCTTCCATGATCTCTCTGTGTGGCTTGTTATGTTTGTCATCTGTTACAAGTTTTAAACTTTGCTATAGGATGGCTTTTCTGTTTGCTTGGTTTTGTTTTACCTGTGAAACTCGAGAAAACACAGAGTTTTCCAGAGTTGACCTCTATTCTATTTATGATCCAGGATGGCAGGCCCCCAGACAGCCATTTTTAAATATCTGGCTCAGTCATGCAGAAGCAATCAGAAAATCCATATCCCATATGCTCTTAAAATGAAAACCTAAGAACACTCTGAGATATGTTTCTTATGGACCAGTGAACAGAAACACTGTGAGATGCTGATTTAAATCACTTGGAATTAGAAGAACCCAAGCATAGTTCAGATAAGATTACTGAATTAAGTCTTTAGCATCAGGATAGTCATCTTCTATCATGACTTGCAGTAGCTGATCCCAGGAAAATCCTACATCTCTTTCAGTTCCCTTACAGCTCCATTTTGTCCTATGATAGCGTATATTACTATATCACAAGTGATCAGTTTTACAGACAAGGGGTACAAAATGACACTTAAAGACATGTAAGTCATTTGTGAACATCAAGGGTGGATGCTTTGAACAGAGAAAAGTAGAGGTAAAGTACAACGTTTGCTATGACAGTGTTAATGTCAAAGTATGGCATTGAAATAAGGAACAATACTGAGTGGATCAGCCTTCTGACACAGAACGAGACATTTCTCAGAATAAGGTGAAACATGACCATAAAATGAAGTCAAGTACCTAGAAAGAAACCCTCACTCTGGGGTAGGATATAGGCTGGTTAAGAGAATGAATTTTCTTGTCTATTATAGACAGACAATAAGCATGGCTGTGAGATTCACAAAGGATATTGAGCAAATGTCCATGAAAAACACAAGACACTGAAATAGCAACTTTGGAAAGCTGCTTTCCATTTTGCCTGTACTTTTATCTCTCTTCTGCTATATCTGTACTGGAAGAACAGGACATAGGAAAGTTTTATACAAAATCTAAGTTTTCTGGATTTAGTTATTCTGCAGCTCCTGCTCCCCAAAATTAAACTGAATCTTCATTTCTCATGCAGCTTTTTATGCATTGCTATGCTATAGTTACAGTGCTCATTTAGCTTTTCTTCAGTTCATCCAGCTGATGTATATGTATTTCCCCCTTTTCCCATCAATTATTCTTCTCTCCTATGCTCCTTTCCTTTATTTTCATTAAACTTTTTGGTTTGGAGTTCTGAGGGTGATTTTTTTTTTTCATTTTCAGTCTTTAAAAAAAGCATAAAAGTAGCCTATATTATATATATTTCTAAATAAATAAAGTGACAAACCTTCTGTAATATTGCTTCCTGAGCATATAGGATGTACATTCCATAGTGTCTGCATAAAGGAGGCATCCACATGAATACTTCCATTTGACACGGACAGATGCTGAAATAAGATAATGGTAGGAAGAAACAGTGAAAATTATGCACTTACAAATATTTAGTATATGAATTTAGCAACAGAATATATCATAAATATACAAACATTTTTTAAAAATTAGCAGTCACTTGCTTTTAAAATGAACTCATTTCTAAATCCAATCAGCAGACTCCAGCTGCAGATTAGCAATCTTTCACAATTACAGAAATTAAAACTTGCTAAGATGAAGAATGCTGCAGTACACCTCAGGAAAAAGGCATACAAACACACATACACCCCCCGCCCTTTCAGTGAGGAAAATTAAAAATGCATTACAATCAGGTATTAATTCCTAGATTAGAAAAAGATGATTCATAAGAATCCCAACTATTTTCCCCATCTTCTCACAGCACTTTTTATATTCCCAGCATTTGGCCCCTTGTTAAAGAAACAAACTTACCAGGTATCTTTCAGAGGACACACTGACCAGGATAAGATCATCACCTATTCGAACTTTTTCTCCTTCTGACCTTTGCTTAGAAGCAGGATGTATTGTCCACCAGCATGCCTCACCTAAAGGACAGACACACTAATCAAGAGTCTACAAAGCAGACAACTGACAACTCCAAGAAATCTATGGATGTATTCATACAATATTGAAATATCATAATAAAAATTGTGTCTTATAAATCCACCTTATTCCTCTTTTTAATCAATTTCAGTACTTTTCCCTTGAAACTTTTTGTCAATCAATCTTTATCATATCTGAAGCTGATATTTCACTTTTCAAGTCTTTTGAAAGCAACTAACTCCTTACAAAACACTGCTCAGGACTGCCCTCCCTTCATGGCCCTCCCTGCCAGTAAATTGCTGACAGCTGTGTCAGTCTTATTGATCACATTTTAAGTCTTCTTTTGCTTAATGGTCACATTTAATTCACAATCTTCTGCATCATTTCCACTCTAAGTTACACTTCTCTTGTAGAATACAGAATTTTGAAACAAATACTCCATAACTTTACAATATTGCTACACTACAAATATCAGACCTGGAAGCAGTTCCATTAGCACTACAGACCACATGACTACAAGATAGTCAACAACAGCCAGAGAATATTTCCTACACATTAAATGTAAGATTCCAGGTTACTCTGCACACACACACACACAATTCTGGGAAGATTACCTAATTCATTTCACAATTTCACACCCTTCAGAGTTTAGATAAGACCTTGAAGAAAACTAGTTGAATACAGCTTTCTCACCAGGCAATGCAAAGTGATAAAAAATAAGCAAGGTAAAATTGGTAGCATCAGACAAAGCATAAAAATTTGTTTGATCAATTAAGGTATTTCATGCAAAACTCTCTTAAATGAAACTAATTATAGTGAAGACAATAAATAAAGGTTACATCCCTAAAAGTGGAAAATGCTAAATCTTTGAAGGGAATAATTTTTAATAGCCAATGGCTTTTCCTTCAATACCTGCTAGATGAAGAGTACTTCCTGCAGCTGAAATTGATTCACTAGGAGAGTTTTGCAGGTGAGGGATTAGGAAGAGAGGAAGTGATATTATGGCATTCAGCTTATGAGGTTTACAGGCATGCGGCAGTTACCAAAATCCTCTGGGCAGGAACACAACTAAGCACTCCTTTTATTCGTTGCCTTTTTTATCTTACCCATGTGTACAAGGGTCTTTTTTATATGTATAATTAAGCAAATACCAATGAAACAACTGCACATATTCATTAAAAAACCTCATAGGTAGAAGCAGACACGTGCAATAACTCTGAAAAAAAGCTATAACATTATAAAGACACATTTTAGTGAAACTATTTCCACAGAGATTAAACACACGCATTCCTTTTATCAACACACCTAAAGAAAATGTTCTCCATCTAAGGCAACAATCAAAGATAGCCAAGTAACAGGCTGCTAATATCTGAGACCATCTTCTGTATGACTATAAACAACTGAAACCTCTCTCATTCAAAAGAGAAATTTTTGGAGCTAGAGTCACCTGAAAAGAAAGTTTCAAAGATCAAGGTCCACAGACTTTTTAACATCTACACTGGCAGTTCCTCTCCATCATCAATTAGTCTACTTTGATTTTAATTTATTTTCAATATAATGAAAATGCAATAGAAAGCCCAGGTTTACATTAACACAACTTGTATTTCTTTATTTGAAGCCTCATATTAATGAGGTGTGTATACAGGCACTTTGATATTCCTTCAGTGTAAACCTGTTCATAGCACTTTGTAGCTAAGTTGCTTTTAAATTCATTTATTGTAGGTCTTAGTGGCCACCCATAATTTATTTGTGCTTTTGTGGAAGTAGAATTTTTTTTTTACTACAGTTTTGTCAGTAGCACTGTTACTGGCAGTACTCCCAAAAATCTATTAATTAGATTTTAAAACTTTCACATAATGTCATGTTTGTGTTGTACCTCTTCTACTTCGTCCCATTATTGTTTTGCTCCATTTTATGCTTTCATTTTTCTTCAGCTCTTTCAGTAATGTGCTCATTACACTTTTCTGTTTTCCTGTGTTACAAGTTGCAAATTTCTTTTGCTACATGGTTATAGTGTATATCATGAATTCACCAATGTATATGTTTTTCCATAGTCTAATTCTATTGAAAGTGTCAAAACACAAAACCAAAACAACCACATCAAATTTACTTTATTCAACAGAATTTTTTTCTATTTTGACCATTATCACCCATGTTATTGCAGCTGTGCTCACTCAGTTTAATTGCAAGGCTCTCTCACATTCTTACACAAAGGCAGTTTATTTGCTGAAAGTTGTTAGTACTGACACACATTGGTACCGTCAGTCATCATTTCTTTCAGTCCTCTTATATCAGATGAACACATAAGCATGCCATTCATAAGCTTACAGTTACAATAATCTCAATGCTGCTTCTAAGACCAGAACTGTGTGACACATTTCCATTCAAAAATAACTTGACGTACCTGCTGCATTTTCTCGTAGTCCTACATCAAATGCAAGTTTATCTGTCTGGGATCTTGATGATGTTAAACATGTCAAATACTGCAAAATAGTAAAGTTATTGAAAACAAAAACCCAACAGTATCCATTAAAACACATGCCAAATGAATACACAGACATTATTTCATCTTACTATCAGAATGTGTTTAATTTTTTTAATTAGTTAAGAATTATGTTGTAAATCATATAGAAGGTCTTCCTAAATTGAAAACATCAAAATCCTTTTCCACTGTGCAATTTAGCACAGAGAAAGTTTCGCACAGATGGGAACATGCAAATGTCTCATTAAAGTGTTACCATAATAGATTTACTTCATGGAAACCTGACAAACAGACTTGCAACTCTGGTATATCAAGGCAACTGCAATTTGTATGGTTCATAAACATAAGTAACAAAGTTTGAAGATTATTGTAGAGTTTTCTAGTACAGGAAAAAGGAGGTAAAATATTTTCCTGACTTCTCATTTCTCCAGTCTTCTATAGGTGTATTTGCATGGGCCCTAATAAGTCAAAGATTCAAAACAGCTGAAATTTTCCACTTGCAAAATGTAGTGAAATGAAATTTATACAAGGCAGCCTGAAGACAGCTTGTTTGTGGGCATTAACCCTGGGAACTATAGAATGTCAAACACCTTATAAAATATACGGGGGGGGAAAATAACATATATCACAACAAATTCATCTGCAGTAGAAGCACTTGCTAATGGAATTATCATTAAAATGGATTCCTTAAGGACACAGAAATAATCCATGGCCAAAGGAGCTTTTCAGCTACATTTCTGAGTTACATGAAGAATTTGAATTTAAACACTTCTATTATGTCAAGACACCATAAGCTATAATATTTTTTTTTCATATAGTGCAAAAAATAACTTGGAAAGAGCATGACTTTAAATTTATGTATTTTTTATTTGGTAAAAAGACATTCCTTTGACTTTCATGTTACTCATTCTGTGCAAGTGCTCTTTCACTTACCATTTCACTGAACGAATGTCGAAGTAGTATTGCATGGCCATAGAGCAGGGTTCTGTGACCACCACCCTGAGCTGCCTACAGAACATGAGGGAGAAGGTCAGAACTCCACTGCCTATATGGACTATAGTCAGGATTATGCAACAAAATGAATAGCTTCTACAGTTCAAGGAACAAGCACAAATATTCCAACAAATTATGAAAATTATACGTTGGGCAGAATAATGAAGTAGCTACAGCCAAATATCTGCCAAAGGAACAAGAAACATCCTTTGTCAAAGACTCTTGTAGTTACTTAATTTTTACTATGATTAAGTAAAACCATAGCATTTTCAAAAACACATTTTAAGTTAAATAAAGTAATACTCACCTTTCTTATAAACTTCTCAGAGGCATTAAAAAAAAAACCCAACAAAGTAAATATGTATATACACATACACAAAACTAAAATCTGAAAGAGAAAAAAATGGACCTAGTTCCTAGAATAGTTTAAGCACATACTAAGAATATCTACTTGCTAGTATTAATGTTATCTTAAGCATGTATCACATTAATTAAAGCAACTGCATCCATAGTTTCAACAAAGTACAGAAATTAATTTTGAATACATAAAATTATGACAAGACCAGGGAGAGGAAAAACTGGATTTTCTATTTGCTTCCTTTAGAGAATTGAACGCATCTTTGGAGCTCCTTGTCAACTGCATTTAAAGTCAGTTTCTTCTTTGGATTCATTTGGAAGGGACCAAGATAATTAAAGGTAGTTCCCAGAACTCAAATAATTGTTATACATGTGTAGGTAAATTATTTTACTCTATGATGAATACATAAGTTAAGTTACGAATTAGGTCAAAAGGTTTAAAAACTATGCACAACTTGTGCTCTACAAAACCCCAACTTTGTCAGAAGGAATAAAAATCTAAAAGAAATAGAGCAGAGGACTTTTATTACAACTGCAATAAAATAAAAATCCTACTTCAGGTTTTCTAGCTAGTAACAAAGGCATTACAAATAGGAATTGTATACTGGAACTTACTACTGTTAACAGTTACTGTTAATAAACAGTCTTAAGAAATTCAATGCAGTAAATTTAATTGATAAATTTCTCAGAATTATATAGATGCTACATGTAATACGTATTCTCTTTCCCAATATGATCCATATAATTATGTAAAATTTCTCAGTACACCTAGTAGCAAACTAAAAAAAAAAACAAAAAAACCCCAAATAACAACAACAACAACCACCAAAACAAACGAAAACCACCCAGCTCCTGAATAATGATTTTTGGATCCACATAGAAAATGAGTTAGATTATCAGAAAAAAATGGAGACAAATATATAGTTATCACTGGTAATTCAGTGAATATAGCTTACTTTAAGATATTATAAAAAGGTTATTAGTACAACAAATAAAAAAATTCCAAGAGTTTCTCCAAAACATGTCATTCATAAAAAAGGATTTTAATCCTGCAGGAACTTCTCATTGCTTGGTGCAGAAAACAAGAGAGATGAATGTAATACTTCTTTTATATATTACAACTCTTTTATTTTAATCAACAGGAAAACCGTAACAGCAAAATCAACTGTAATTACAAACAGGTTGTCAGAAGAAAATTACATGTATTCAGTTTGCAACAAATATATGTATACTGAGAAGAAGCAATAAAATACCACATGCTATTTTATTAGTGAAAGCTTTTAAGTAAATTACTTGTAATTTCATGGCTGACTCATTTAAAAAAAAAAAAAATCAAAGAAGCTGCAATTTTCCTCTAGAAAAATCTGAAACTAACAGCAGAACTATATTCCAAACTAAATTTCACAGAAACACAGAATATTCTGAGTTGGAAGAGTCCCACAGAGATCATCAAGTCCAACCATTAGCCCTGTACAGGACCATCCCCAAGAGTCACACTACGTGCCTGAGAGGATCATCCAAATGCTTCTTGAACTCTGGCAGGCTTGGTGCTGTGACCACTGCCCTGGGCAACCTGTTCCAGTGCTCATCCACTCTCTGGGTGAAGAACCTTTTCCTAATATCCAACCTAAACCTCCCCTGACACAACTTCAGGCCATTCCCTCTGGGTTCTCTCACTGGTCACCACAGAGAAGAGATCAGTGTCCGCCCCTCCCAAGGGAGTTGTAGACTGCAATGAGCTCTCCCCTCAGCCTCCTCTTCTCCAGGCTGAACACACCAAGTGACCTCAGCCACTCCTTATGCAGCTTCCTCTCAAGGCCCTTCACCATCTTCATTGCCCTACTTTGGATCTCTCTAATAGCTTAAAATCTTTCTTCTATTGTGGTGCCCAAAACTGCACACAATATTCAAGGTGAGGCCGCCCCAGTGCAGAGCAGAGCAGGACAATCCCCTCCCTTGACCGGCTGGCGATGCTTTGCCTGATGCCCCCCAGGACACAGTTGGCCCTCCTGGCTGCCAGGGCACTGCTGACTCATGTTCAACTTGCTGTTGACTAGGACCCCAAGGTTCCTTTCTGTGGCAGTGCTTCCCAGCATCTCATTCCCCAGTCTGTACATACACCTGGACTTCCCCTTTCCCAGGGCAGAATTCAACACTTTCCTTCAACTGAACCTCATACTGTTGGGGATTGCCAAGCCCTTTAATTTTTTGAGGCACCTCTGCAGGCCCTCTCTGCCTTCAAGGGAGTCGACAGCTCCTCCCAGTTTTGTGTCATCTGTAAACTTGCTTAGTATCCCTTCCAATCCTGTGTGCAAGTCATTTAGGAAGATGTTAAAGAGCACAGGACCCACAGATGGAGCCCTGGGAAACCCCACTAGTGACAGGTCACCAGTTTGATGTCACCCCATTCACTATTGTCCTCTGTGCTTGACCTGTCCAATTGCTCAGCCATCACATGATGTGTGACAAATTTAGTATGAAAAGCAAGCCTTTCAGTGAATGAGACACTTGTGGAACCAATAAAATATTAATGTTAATTCTATGAGGCCAAATTATATTTTTGGCAGTGAATTTGTATTGAGAACAATGTAAATGACCATTTTAAGATGTGCATACCTACATCTCATGTTACTATTTTCTCTATATGTATGACTACTATTAAAAGACAACATCGTGTATTATTCATTTCAAAAATAGCTTTTTCTGAAATCTAGTTTAAAAATTACTTATCTATTAGCTTTAATTGTACTAAAGATAGTGCATCATACTACAGGTCATTTAACTTGGTTGGTACTTATGACATGTGTCTTAAAACAGAATCAGTTAATTGTAACCTAAGAAATAACCCATTCATTTTACCAACAGCTTATTGGTTTCATGTATCATTGTTCAGGCTTTCATTTTTTATTTCATTTGCTGTTAATATTAACTGCTGTGTTCCTATTATAGTTTCCCCAATGAAGGATACCTAACTTCAAGATAAATGCAGGACAAGGTAGTTTCAAAATAAATACAGCATAACAGATTAGATTATAATTTTTTTTATTGCCTATTGCTCCTTAAGCAACCATACCATTGTTTTTACTGAAAAGATTTTTTTCCTCTGCTTCCAGTTCCAAATAAAATATTCATATATTGCTATTAATTTCAGATTAAATCCTTTGGCTAAAGTTTGGGATGAATATTTTGAAAATACTAAAAATTGTGTGGTTACTTAGATAGTGTTTCCTAGAAGTGTTTAAATCAATCATATTTTCCCTAAGCACATGCTTTTATTTTCATCAGGTCTTATGTTTTCTAGAAAGCCATATAACTGCAAAGATAAAAAATTACACTTTATGTAGTGGAAAAAAAGAGGTCAGTATTAATGAAGTCTGAAAACCATGTATGCAAAGGTTGACAGTGGAAGATCAGAGGTGGCAGAAGAGAACTCTAGAATCCCTGATCTCTGCTACCAGTTAAAGACCTGAAGTGCAGAATTAGACAGTAGGTTGTGGTTATCCTGGCACCAAGTTACAGAGAAACATTAAGGTTCTTCTCAAAAAGTAAAAATTAAGGAAGAATTTAACTTCTGTGAATCAAATAGTAGTTTGTGATGTGAAAGCATTAACTGAAATACTGAAGGGTTTCTGAATACATATAATATGCAGCCTTTCTAGAGCACATATCTCATCCCCATGCAATCTGAACAAGAGAGATGGCTACAATAATGACAAATTAATATATAATTTGTAAAGAGTGTGATCATAAAAAAATAGATTTCTTTTCCTTTTTTTCTCAAGCTGGTGTATTTTTAATTAGAATCCATATTTATTATTTCACTATCTTAGTTTGTAAGATATAAAAAGTATATACAAAAAAATTTGCAACTGATAATTTCATGGTTATATAATTTAGTCTATATCTATTTAGAATGCTTTATTAATTTGGTACAAAGTAACTTCTAAAAAAGTTAGTTCCTGCATTCAGGAGTTTCTCAATATCCAAAATTACTTTATTTTGTTGTTTGTGCTGATGTATCACTTACATCTATGCGTGCATACTTACATTTCTATATGAATATTGTTTACATACCTTGGAGCTACATATCCTGAGTTGTCATTTTGTCTCATAAAATAAGTAAAGTCATAGAGTTTTTTCATGCTTTGTTTGTATGAAAATAAAATCTTGATTCAATTTGATTCAGCTTAAATTGGAGAATTAGGGTAAAAGCAATCAAATTGTTGTTGTTTCAGGTTTTGTGGATTGTAAATATTTCAAAAGACAGATGCACCAGCTCCTCAATGCTAAAGGCAAATTAATATGAGTACTGGGGAGCAATAATATACCAAGAAAACTGCTGTGACATGAGGAGCCTCCTCTAGAAAATCCTGGACAAGGAAAAAAATGAGAACAATCTATATTCAGAAACTTGATGTTCTTTGAGGTCAGTTTACTTACCCCTTCACTAGCATTATCCCCTGTGCTGGCCAGCATTTCTTGAAGGGCTCTGACAGATAGGGACTGTTCAAGGACGAAATTACAGACGCAAAGGTCCGGAGGGACATACTGTAAAAATAAAACAGTGCAAGAATAGATCAGCAGAGCAGGTGAAACAGGATGAAAAGTGTGTTTGAACACATGTGTATTTTAATTTTTAAATCCATACTTAATGTTTACCCATTTAGTTTTCAGACACATGCTATTTGCCTGTATGAAAACAATACAAATCTTCATAACTTGACAACACAGCAATCCAATTTTTCCTTGAGCAGTACTCTTCACAATAAAGTGAAACATCTTCAGGTTCATAAGCAAAAACTCTTTCTCTACATATTATTGCTTTCCCGTCTTTCAGAATTCCACCCTAAACATTGTATTTGTCCTCTAACACCACTGACAAAACAGAGGAGAAGGTATATGATCTTATTTGATGTATAAGGTTGATAGAACATATTTCTAGTAGTAATAAGATGGCTAAGATTCAGAATCTTGTGACATAATAATATTTTAGGAGATCTCAATTGTTGAATCTATATATTGTCTGGTTTTGAAACATGAGAAGTACATTCACTTCAGAAGCAGCAGACTATTTTTTTTCCCAATTTCTTGCCACTGATATGTCCAAGGAAGGAGGTGTCCAAGAAAAAAAACAGAAAGGGTATATAAATCTTTGGCAGAAAAGCACGAAGAAGACAGATCCAGACTCTATGCAGTGGTACCCAGTAAAAGGACAAGAGTAAGCTGACTCTAAGTGAAATACAGGAAATTTTTGTCAACATGACAAAAAACCCCTTTTTTTACTGTGAGCATGGTAAACAGTAGGACAGGTTGTCCAGAAAGGTTGTGGAGTCTCCATCCTTGGAGATATTCAAACTCTGACTTGACAGTGTCTTAAGCAGTCTGTTCTGTCTGAATGTACTCTGAGCAGAGGGTTGGGACTTGATAATCTCCACAGGTCCCTTCTAACCTTAATGATTCAGTATTCTGTGACTGGCGATACAGATCATGGCAATGAATGAGCTTTAAAGTGGATATGCACTTATTTTCTTTTTTAAAACAGTGTGACAAGAGAATAAAATTCTTGATAATGCTGAATTTTAAGGTGGTGAAAGGATACAATTAAGTGATTTTTAAACTTGCTGAAGTGTTTACTTAGCAAGCTAATCAAGTACAGTCCCAGAATTCCCATACTTTGATCTCTACTTTAGACCCTAATCATATTTTTTGGTGTTTTCAAACAGCAATACTTCTAGGCCAAAGATGTGACACTGAAAATGCATACAATAGAGATATATTTATATAATTTTAACACATCACAAGCAAAGTGAACTCTTGCAGGTTTTTTACACAACTAAATAATTTTAAGTAGTAAGTAGTTAATAATTTCATTAACTGCAACCAGAAAAATTTAAACTGTAATCCTTGTCATCACTCATCTTCACTATGGGGTACTATATTTTTAGCATTCATTTATTACATCTGTGTACATATAGACACACATACATGCACACAGATTGTAGCTGAAGTTTTACTCTTTAATAAATTACATTCAAGGCCTCCAATATAACCAGACACAGAAAGATAATGTCATTTCTCAGTGATGAATAACAAACAAAATTGGCTTAGAATTTGTGTCTCATATTTGTTACAAAAGTCTGGTAAGACTCATTTAGAACATTTAATTACTACAAAAAATAAAAAAATCTGTATAGCGTTAAGTAGTCTCAACTCGCCAGTGAACCAGACAGGTAAACAAAACCTCTGAGTAATACTTCACCCATTACTTTACTGCCTTGAAATGCACATAGCAGGCAAACAAGTCACGTAATTAGTGAAAAAAACCACAAAACACAACAACAAAAACCAAACCAAACAAACAAAAAACCAGATCTTTTTCTGTTGTCATCTTATTGCAGCTTTCAGGTTATGCAGCATCCATTTCATTAAGACATTTTGAGTATCTATTAAACTGCAGTGTCCTTGAAGCACATTTGACTTTTGAAAAAACAAACCCCGCAATGTTTATAAAGACTTTCTATTTTTAAGATGGAACTTAAATTCAGAAACTAACCTGGAATTTTATCTGGGAAAATATAACATAGCTGGATATGCAGTTTTAATCAGTATCAGGCAATCTCTGACATTTAATCCCACTCCAAATTGAACATGGTATAATCAATGCAATCAAACACCTACCAACTGAACAAAAGAACTCCCATCTGTTTCACTGGTGCCTGGTCTTGTGCCACATGGACAGCATTTTGATTTGGAAATTGTTGCAGCCCTTACTTTATTGCTGTATTAGCTAAAGACACACTCTAAACCATTTTACTCCTAGTCACAGTTTGTATAAAATTTATGTCTTAGGATAACACAATTAATTTTTCACTTCCTATTCTTCTTCATAGCCTATGTAACATTATGCTTTTTTAAAGAATACTGACAGTGAGAACTACAAAATTAATGATTTTCTACCCATGATTTAGAGTAGCTAATCCCTCTTTCAAATTTGCTGTGTTGCATAATAAGGTAACACATACATGCTGTCATATACTCCATTTCTGCAGTTGAATGACAACAAATTCTTTTTTAAAATTCCATTGACCTGAGAAATATCAGTGAAAGGTAATTTATGTGGATGGTACATGACCTAAGTAGCAACTGACCTCCTTAATTAATCTAGATTGCATCCTTTAAAAAAAGCAATTACCTATTGAATTTGTCAAGGTTCATTAATTTTCTCTTCTTTTTGCAAATGATACTGTTTCATATGTTTGATGTTCAACAAACCCTCTGTGGCAGACCATTGTACATTCTTAATAATTACACACCTAGAAATGGTTTCATAAAACCTTGACCATCTGCTAATCTACGCTTTTTCCCCTCACTTTGAGCAAGGTTGTATAGTAATGGAATCCCTCCTGCAAAAAAAGGAAAGTGCTAATAAGGGATATTCAGTGGAAAAAGAATACTTAGAGGGCAGAGCTACAGTTAGAAGATGGGAAAATATTAATGTCAGGAATCTTTAGGCTAAAATGAAAAAAACAAAATCTGTTCAGGTACTAAGACAAAGTTTTAAAAATCGACTTTAAAGCAGGAATAGACATATGTATTTATGTCTACATAAATACTTCTGGCTACAGAAAGTTGTAGTTAGCATACAGAAGTAAGACAAAATAATTTTCAAGAACCAACAGTAAAGGAAAATATTCAGGTGGAGAATAAAGCATTTTATTTCACAGGTATTTAATGATATGCTGAGCAAGTTTTACTGTAAGTGAATTTGTAGTGAAGAATAAGTAGACTGATAAGAAATATCATAAAAGAAAGCAGGAATTTGGAATAAATAGTTTTCCAAAATCAATGAGAATATTTGGTAGTTTTTCATCACACCTCTGTGCAGTCTTGTCCATACACACAGGAAGATAAACAAAAAGACAAATGTTATGTAGGAAACCTACACAATTATTCAAAGCTAATCTGAAGAAACAATTGACAGTTCCACCCTGGCAGCTGCTCTTTTAGAAGAAAATATTTATTTCTGGGGTTATGCTCAAACAGGTCTATCATGTAGTTAACATTTTTCTATCAACACACTTATAACACTGAATATATCTAATTGTCCTGAATTCAGTCCTCTAGTTTCTTTCAGGCACTATCATAACATTAAATTCTTTCAGTTGATATGCTCACTAACCAAATCTTTCCCCACAGCTTCTGGTCTGCAGTGTAAAAAGCCACAGAAACATAAATTTGCATCTCTTACCAAGATTCTTTTTATTATACTGCTAAAAACATGCTAGATCCCTTCAGCACATAAACACAGGGAACTTACAACTATCATCCACCTGTAAAGTGGATGAGAATAGTTTCCCATTTTGTAAGCATATTTACACACTCAGTCATTAGACTTTGGCAGCCCAAAATGTACCTCTACTTTCTATTAATGTATAAGAGTGCTGATCTTTCTGTGTGTGCCATCATCAATTCCCAGTTCTGCAAAGTTTTTATCATCTGGAAAAATTGCATATATCAATGCTGTCTTAATTGTCAACAATATCCAACAACTTAGCAACAAGAGCAGAACCCTGTAGGATCTTATTCAGAACACATCTATTTAATAACAATTTTTTAGTCCACTGGATGTGTACCATTTTGGTTTTCTTTCTAATTTCTTAAATTGTGTCCAAATGTAAATGAAAGTAAGTATCATTGCTAAGGGCTGTTGATAAGTATCGTACTCTCTAATCATCCATCTCCATCAACCTTCAACACTTCTTATTTTTCAAACAGATGTATCTACATGCCTTTTCCCAAAATTCTTCCTGTTCTCAGTCAAGACCAGCAGTTCAGAAAGCTCCTTGTTAAGCTTTTTTTAAAGCAGTTACATAAAAGTTTTCTGAATCTCTTATCAAACTTCAGAAGCTTCTGTAGTATTATCTGCTACTAAGACACTTACAAAAAGTAAAGCAGATCTATGGCACTCTCCAGTAAGACACACCATTCCTCCTTCTCTCTTAATAAGAGAAGCAACATACTGTCTTACAGATTGAGGTGGTCATCACCACTAATAGATAGATAACACTGCAATTGAGTTGTCAATTAATAAAAAGTTCCCAATCACTGTTGAAGATTTTAGGACAATAATCAAACATACATATGTGAAAAATAACTGATTTTACTCAAGCATATGCAAAGATTACTGGTGATTTGTAAAGTATATGAGAGAGAAATTATCTGAATGGATTCTTGGAATGCAAAAGAAAAAAGTAAATTTAAAAGCTGCATAATTTTTCACCTTAGAGATGAACAAGAGACTCTCATACTGCATAAATAAACACTGTGGTTATAACATGGTCATAATATCCAGACTAAAAGTAAGACCATATAGCAGCATTTCCAGAAAAAAAGATACAAAAACGTCCACTAAAAATCCAGAAGGAAAAATAAATTATCAGAAAGAAGAGAAAAGAAATAAAGACAATTCAAGAAAAATAAAAAGATGCAGAGAGAACAAAAGAGAAGGAGGAGGTCCTCCTCTGTTTGATTTATCCGTAATATTCTGCTCTTAGTTAAAGAATAGCAGCTTTTGACTGTTCACAGGTGTGCCAAAAAGTATATATGGAACCTCTAAGAAATCTCATGTTGAAGTCACAAAAGAAAAGCATACATACGGTGCATCTAGCACCACACACAAGAAACCATAATTAAATGTGTTTGTGGATAAGTAGGTTAATATTCACTGATCAGTTACACCACTTGAGAGTATCAGCTTCTTACTTTAGCTTCTGATGTTGGTTCCAAAAAGCACAGGCGATTCCCAAGTCCCTCAGCTGCCAAGCAAAACTTCCTTTGTTCTTTGTGAATACTGGCAACACACTGAAGTACTACTTCGTCATCCTGTCAGAATACAAAGTATAAGAGAAAAAAAAGTAAATATTTGGAAGTTACATACAGACAATAAAGCTAACAAATTCTGTAACATGGAGTCCATTGAAAATTAACACATTACACTCCTATAACTGATATCATGTACATACACAGAGATTCTTTTGAAGTATATGTAAACAGATGTTCCTTATAGATATATGTTCAAGACTATATGAAAATGACAAAGACTACACATACTGTCTCCAAGGCTTTTTCAAGTGTTGTGTCCTTCTCTTGCTTTATATGCATAAAACAAACCATAAGTATACTGTTACTCAGTTTTGTTGAGAAAACTATGTTTAACGCTTACAGTTAAAAAATTTTCCTGTCATTTTGCAAACAAAAACTAACAGAAACTAAACAGAACAAAACCAGAAACTAAATATAAACATAAACAAATATAAACTAAATATAAATAAATTATTATTTTAGTGCATCAACGCATTTAAGCTATCAATACAATTCCTCTGTTAAAGTCTCATGTAAAAAAGTACTCAGAAACCTCTGAGTACAACCAAAGAGGCATTTTTCAAGTAATAATTCAAATAAGTCAAAAGAATGTGGTCCTCAAAAGACATATTCCAGAAACAAGTGACATGAAATAGCCCTATTGCTTAGTTGTCCTAAGTATTCTAGAAGCTCTTTTACAAATTGTTTGCATGGTACAATGCCAAGCACACAAGTAGTTATAAAGTGCCAAGTACTTTTTCACCCCTTAATATCTGACACTAAATCTGATATAAGCAAGCCGAAACAGATTGCTTTTAGTGTTTGACTGTGTCAAAGGTATATACAGAATTTAAAAAATAATATTTTCCAAAACTTGTCCACTGACTAAGAAAAAGACCACTTGCAGACTAGCATGTAGGAACACTTATTCTTATACAGGCATGTATCTGTTCACCAAAAGACACTACCTTAGAAGTTTCTCAGGGGGTGGAAGCTGGTAAAACAAAAGCGATATGATATGTCTGTGCCCCCTCCGGTTATAGTGTTATACCGGTGTCAATTATTATTATCAAAGCAGATACATAAGAGCCGCCTGTACTGAAGTCTGAGATCACTTGAATAATTATGTTCTAAAAGCAGCATTGCTATTTGCAGTCCCCTTATGAAACTGCAATACTATGACAGTAGCACAGCATTGGGCACTTGAAATAAAAGCTGGGAGTGACAAAGTCATTTTCACTAAAGGAACTAAGTGACACACCCTTTAACTGGAAATTCCAAGGCACGTTTCTCATTTGTGTGATTTTGCAAGTGTGTTCTTTTAGGTGACCCTTCACTGCTTACTTACTATTACTAAAATGAACAACTATTATAATTGAGATTAATCAACAGTTACAGACAGTATTTTTCTTACCTAGCTTTCTATAGCAATCAATACCATTTTTAACAGTACAGAATAGGAATCCAAGAAACTTTGGCAAACAATCTTATGATATTTAGTCAAGTAGAAGGTAGACAGAATTAGATAATTAATGCTTAGAAAATTAATTTTCTTCTCCCTTGCTGCTTCTACTTTTATTTCTCTAAAATGCTCTCAGAAATTTTCAGCTTTCAAGTTCATTAGTAAAAATGTTTTAATGTTTTTTAATCTTCAGAGTAATAAGTTGCAAAATATTAACAATACAATTAAGTACCCATTACTACATCCCTCTGTTCATGAATTTTTAAATATTTACATCAGTATCATATCTATTTGGTGGAAAAAATCAGATCATATGTAAGATAAAAATAAAGATATTTAAAATATTTTTCATCATCTGCTTCCTGTATCAATTTTTGAAAATACATATTTCAGAGATTAAAAAATAATAAAATACTAAAACATGAAATTACAAACACTGAGATTTAGGATAAAATTAAGATATGTCACTTAAATTGCACTTACCAGCAGATTACATTAAATTACTTCTATATAGCTCAAATTGTATTTATTCTCTCTACTACATTAAAGAATTCATCATTCCACAGAGACATTTACATAATCTCTATTGTAATCATAGTTTTCTAAAATATAAAATAATGCCTTCAGACTTTTTACAAGGGTATGTAGAGATAGTACAAGGGGCAACAGCTTCAAACTGAAAGAAGGAAGGTTTAGATTAGATATACAGCGGAACTGGTTTCCCAGGGGAACTATGGACGCCCCATCCTTGGAAGTGTTCAAGGTCAGGTTGGATGGTGCCCTGAGAGATCTATATATTTGCTACATAGGACGAAAAACTTCTTCAGCAGAGCTTCTAAAAAGTGGCAATAATAGTGTATTTCAGAATGTTTTGCAGCAGAATTTTAAACAGTGTATCATTCAGGTGCAAATGGACTGAGCATAAAGAATTAGTGGAATCTATGCAATCTGCAAATAAGACAATTACTCATTGTTAAGATGACTCAGTATTTTAGTGTTTTTACTGAAGAAAGATCATTCCACCTGAGGTCTGAAATCGTTTTTCTGGCCTGTAGTTTCCAATAGAAATGAGTTTTATGGAGTTAATATGCTATCATGAAAATGCAGATCATGTCTCAGAAGTATCCTGTTTTCCTGAGTCTTGTCTCACACAAAATCAGGTATTCTAAAATTCTTTTTTTCTGGTAAATTAATTTTCTTCTTCCCTTAGTTTTTAAACACACACAGTTCCAGAGTCAATTAACCTTGACCATCACTTCTCTTATATAGAATTACATCTGTTTACTTGAATATACCTTGAATATGCATGATCACTGGGATGTTGCGACTTATACAATGAGCAGTGATGAATTGTTAGTTGTTATACGCAGTCAATTGTCAAAGAAAACCAAAAGCAAAATAAAAGAAAACAAAACCTACATAACTTCCTTGAGATCTAGTTTGTCAACCAGCAATCCAACAAATTTCAGTGTTTTTAATTTAGTAAGTGCTTAAAATGTCATTTTTCTCATCTAGCAGCTCTGACATTTCTGTGCTCAGGAATTTAATTTGTTCTAGTCCATTTAGTTTTGGTAGGAGGTTTTTGGTTGGTTGATTGGTTGGGCTTTGTGGCTTTTTGGTTGGTTGGGTTAGGGTTCCTTACATATTCCATAATTAAGAATTGTAGTGATTTATACAATACTCATAATTTTGTATAGAGGTTGTGTTCAACAATAGACACACTTCAAAATATTTTATATTACGAAGCATAGAGCCATCAATACACTAACTATATACATGAAAATTTACATAAAACTATATGGAAAATGACACACTAGATTTAGTTTGTTACCTACTGATTCAACATCTATCTAACCTCTACATAGTCTATTATATTCAATTATATTCAGTACTAAAAATAAACTAATAGAACTGATATGACACGACACTGAAACCAATCAGTCCTAGACGATTAATCAGCTTTGTTATTATACCTGTAGACTACAAGAAGAAGCAGTTTTCTCAGAAAAGCATACATATTTTGTCTATAATTTTCTCACAGCTGCAATAAACATTCAAATAGCTCCTTGCACGTGAATGACTAACTTAAACGCAAAGTGATGTGGAATTGTTTTGAAAATACATTCTTCTGTAAAAATATGAAAGTTTTATTTGATAATATATCATTTCCATCAAGAAAAACATATTACTTTAAAAAAAACCAACACATATCTATCAAACAAAGAAACTCAGAATTCCTAGGTTTTCATAGTAAAACAAGCAAGCATATTAAGTTCATGCTCTTTACAGGCCTGATTACTATCAGACTAACATGTGCTGATTATAGATCAGTGTTGCAAAGAAATGCACAAAGTAAAAATCCACAGCTGCCTTCACTCTTTGATAGACAACATCCTACTCACATATTTTACTATATCACAAAACACAGGATGTAAACAAACAATATCTTGATCAGTGTTTGAACATTAGCTACAAACTGATTCTCTACAGGACTGAATTTCTTTCAAGTTTTCTGGAATAATCTCAGAAAACAGGTAAAGTTTAGCATAAATTGCCATCTACATTGGCTGCATTTTTCTTTACAAAATAAAGAAAAATAGACAGAGTTGACAATGCTCTAATCAAAGATGGATTTGGTAAATATTTTCATGCCCACCACTTAGTTTCACAAGGGGAATGGTCTCATTGAAATGGCTGGTCTCACTCCACACAGTTCTATTTTTTTGCAGAATTTTGTCCAAAAGGCGCAGCTTCAGTGCACTGCTAACGTCACAAAATATTTTCAGTTATTTCTAAAAACAAGTACAGGAAACATTGTTTTGGCACATTTAAAAAACAGTCTAACAGTCTTTCAGTTAAGAAATAGAAGAGTTTTTCTACTTGCAAGCTGGAGCTTGAATAGTGTTGCCCTAGGATATGGAACCGGATTTTCTTCTTCTGAAGGGAAAAAAAAAATTTCTCCTTAATCTGACCCCATTACAAGCATTTGAAAAAGTGGGGAGGAGGGCATCACAATAGATGAACACACAAATCCTTGCTAGAATTTTACATTTACTAAAGTTTGGCAACTTAGTTTTGCAAAGATCTTGACTTCAGAGTACAGAAGTGGACTTCTTATGCTGCTTATGATTTCTTCTCAGTTATCCAGGATTCAAGGTGGATGAGCACCATTATTTTCAGGTCAAGAAATTTTCAGATGCAAACACAGTTTTTAAATATGAAGGGAATATACCTTCCTTCCATCCTCCTTCTGCCCAGCCTCCAGCCTTCTCTTGAATTCACGTGAAATTGTAATTTGTAACCTCCTTTGATCTGCAGTGATACAACTCAGCTACAGGAAAATCAAATTCTTGTTTTTGTTTTCAGCCTGGTTCCTACAAGTTCCATTTCATATAACCAAGTTCCTGCATCACAACAGTCAGAGAAGATTGTAGTCCATCCTCATCATGTCACACATTTTTCCAGCCTGAAAAGTCCAAGCTTCCAAATAAGTGGTTCATCATCTGATTGTTAACCTGATTCTTATCTGACTTTTTCCTCAGCATTTTCCAGTTGTAAT